GAGACCTTCAACTGGGGTGACTCTTCATCTTCCAGCATGACAATGACCCTAAGCACATGGCCAAGAAGACAAAGGAGTGGCTTCAGGACAAGTCTCTGAATGTCCTTGAGTGGCCCAGCCAGAGCCCAGACTTGAATCTGATTGAACATCTTTGGAAAGACCTGAAAGTAGCTGTGCACCGACACTGCCCATCCAACCTCACTGAGCTTGAGAGGATATGCAAGGAAGAATGGGGAAAAACTCCCCAAATCCAGGTGTGCCAAGCTTGCTGCATCATACACAAGAAGACTGGAGGCTGTAATCGCTGCCAAAGGTGCTTCGACCAATTATTGAGTAAAGGGTGTGAATACTTATGTATATGCAACATTTGAGTGTTCTTATTTTTATTAAATTTGCAAAATGTTCTAAAAAAATTTTTCGCTTTGTCATTATGGGGTATTTTGTGTACTTTCTGGATGCACTGTATGTGTGTGTGTGTGTGTGTGTGTCACCTTTCAAATGATGCGCTTGAATCGAGAGGTTGCTGCAAGTCTGGTCTCTCTGTATTGTCTGTAATTTTTGTAATTTATGCTAGATTTTTTGTCATATTTTTGTTGTAATTCTGTTGGCTGCTGATGGATACTTCTGCTGGGCGAAGAGGTTACTCAAGAGAAAAGCTCCTTTCATTGAGGAATTGCAAATCTTGGCAACAACATATAATTCCAGAGGACATCAGGAGGTGTTATAGCGGTTGCCGTGCTGGTCCAAAGGTGAAGGCAAAGCTGAATGCTAGGAGGTGGCGATATAAACCCTTTCTTCCAACAATCATCATGGGAAACATCAACTCTCTGCCCAACAAAATTATGAGCTGGAGATCTTGGTGAAGACTGAGAAAGCATACCGTGAGTGCAGTTTCCTGTGTTTTACTGAAACCTGGTTGAATCAAAACAACTCAGACTCCAATGTGGATCTACCTGGCGTCACTCTCCTAAGGTCAGACAGAGATTCTCAAGCTAGTGGCAAGAAGAAAGGAGGAGGTCTGGCTTTATTTGTCAACCAGAGATGGTGTAACCCTTCACACATAACTGTCAAGGAGAAGTTGTGTCGTCCAGATATTGAACTGTTGGCAGTTGCTCTTTGGCCATATTATGTTCCAAGAGAATTTAGTCATATCATAACAGTAGTTGTTTACATTCCACCCAAATCAACTGAAGAATGTTTCAATGTTTTGCAAAATAGTGTTGCCAGGCTACAGACTCAACACCCTGAGGCACTAATAATAATATGGGGAGACTTCAACCATGTCACCTTCTCCTCTCACCCGACTCGATACACACAGTTTGTGAACTGTCCTACCAGAGAAAACAAACGTCATAGAAGCCTACAGAGCCACTGCCTTACCACCACTGGGCAAGTCAGATCATAACTTGGTCTATCTGCAAACCTTTTACAGACCTTGTGTGCTGAGGCAGCCTGTGACCAAAGTCAAAGTCAGAAGATGGACACCTCAAGCCAGTGAAGCTCTAAGGGACTGTTTTAAATCAACAGACTGGAATGTGCTGCTGGAAGCAGATGTGGATAGTATGAACATTGATAAACAGGTTGACTGCTTTACTGATGTCAACTTCTGTAGAGACACAGTTGTACCCACTAAAACTGTTCGCTGTTTCCCCAACAACAAACCCTGGATCACAAGAGACATAAAAGCAATCCTTAACCAGAAAAAGAAAGCTTTTAAAGATGGTGACAAAGAACAACTCAAACAAGTGCAACAAGAGTTGAAGAGGAGACTGAAGATGGCAAAGCTGGAGTACAAAAAGAAGATAGAGAATAATCTACAACACAGCTACATCCGTGAAGTGTGGAGAGGAATCAGTACCATCTCTGGACACAGCAGTCAAAAGAAAATACAGCCAGTGGTGGGTGATGTGAAAAGAGCTGATGAACTCAACCTGTTCTTCGACAGATTTGACACTGCTGTCACTCCCACTTCCACTGCTACTCCACCTTCCTCTCCGCAACAAATCTCCACGACAACTTCTCCCCTTCCTCCTCCATCTCGTTCATATGTCTCAACCACTTCAACTGCCTCCCTCCTAGAACACCAGTCCTTGTCTGTCACCGAAACAGGGGTGAGGATGGAGCTTGGAAGACTTTGTCCTGGGAAGGCAGCTGGTCCAGATGGTGTGTGCCCAAGGCTGCTTAGAGATTGTGCTGCAGAACTGTGTCAACCTTTCCACAAGATCTTCAACCTGAGTCTACAGCTGGGGCAGGTACCTACTCTGTGGAAAACATCCTGCATTGTGCCAGTCCCAAAAACAAATGTCCTGCTGAACTCAATGACTACAGACCAGTGGCCCTCACTTCACACATCATGACCCTGGAGCGGCTTATTCTACACCTTCTGAGGTCTGAGGTCAAAGACAAACTGGACTCCCTGCAGTTTGCATACAAAGAACATATTGGAGTGGATGATGCTGTCCTCTACATGCTTAACCATGCCCTGTCTCATCTGGAGGAGCCTGGGGTTTATGTGAGGATCATGTTCTTTGACTTTTCAAGTGCATTCAACACCATCCAACCCACCATACTCAAAGAGAAGCTCACAGAGATGGGAGTGGATCCTGCCTGTATTTCCTGGATCGTAGATTACCTGACAGGAAGGCCACACCTTGTCAGGCTGGGGAACTGTGTTTCTGGGACATTAATGAGCAGTACAGGGGTTCCACAAGGGACAGTGCTGGCTCCATTCCTGTTCACACTGTACACGTCAGACTTCAAATACAGTACTGAGTCCTGCCACATCCAGAAATACTCAGATGACACCGCTATTGTGGCATGTATCAGAAATGGACAAGAAGCTGAATACAGAGATCTAATGAGAGCCTTCAGTGACTGGAGTCACAAAAACTGCCTCCTCCTCAACACCTCAGAGACAAAGGAGATGGTCATAGACTTCCGTAGCTCCAAACCCCCTCTTCAGCCACTGAACACCTGTGGAGTGGACATCGAAGTGGTGACATCATATAAATACCTAGGTGTACATCTGGATAATAACTTGGATTGGTCTAAGAATATAGACTACATCTACAGAAAGGGGCAGAGCCGCCTCTTTTGTCAGTAGTGAGACGCTGCAGATGTTTTATCAGTCTGTGGTGGCAAGTGTGCTGTTCTACGCTGCAGTCTGCTGGGGAGAAAGTATCAAACACAAAGATGCAAGACGTCTTAACAAACTGGTGAAAAAGGCTGGCTCTGTGGTTGGACTCAAGCTGGACTCAGTGGTGGAGAGCTCTACACTGAGGAAGGTGGAGACTATTCTAAAGAACATGGATCACCCACTTCACAACACCTTGATGGACCAAAGGGCAAATGGTGGTGGACGGCTCCTCTCTCTTCGCTGCAGGACAGAAAGATTCAGAAGATCTTTTGTACCAAGAGCCATCAGGCTTTAAAACTCTTATGTAAATAATAGATAACTTTAATAGACATATTACATGAGACAACAAACAAATTGAATTCCACTTCTTCTTCTTCTTCTTCTTCTTCTTCTTCTTATATCGATATAGATAAAGATAAAGATACAGATACAGATATACACTCACCGGCCACTTTATTAGGTACACCTGTCCAACTGCTCGTTAACACTTAATTTCTAATCAGCCAATCACATGGCGGCAACTTAGTGCATTTAGGCATCAAGACATGCCCAAGACAATCTCCTGCAGTTCAAACCGAGCATCAGTATGGGGAAGAAAGGTGATTTGAGTGACTTCGAACGTGGCATGGTTGTTGGTGCCAGAAGGGCTGGTCTGAGTATTTCAGAAACTGCTGATCTACTGGGATTTTCACGCACAACCATCTCTAGGGTTTACAGAGAATGGTCCGGAAAAGAAAAAATATCCGGTGAGCGGCAGTTCTGTGGGTGGAAATGCCTTGTTGATGCCAGAGGTCAGAGGAGAATGGCCAGACTGGTTCGAGCTGATAGAAAGGCAACAGTGACTCAAATAACCACCCGTTACAACCAAGGTAGGCAGAAGAGCATCTCTGAACGCACAGTACGTCGAACTTTGAGGCAGATGGGCTACAGCAGCAGAGGACCACACCGGGTGCCACTCCTTTCAGCTAAGAACAGGAAACTGAGGCTACAATTTGCACAAGCTCATCGAAATTGGACAATAGAAGATTGGAAAAACGTTGCCTGGTCTGATGAGTCTCAATTTCTGCTGCGACATTCGGATGGTAGGGTCAGAATTTGGCGTCAACAACATGAAAGCATGGATCCATCCTGCCTTGTATCAACGGTTCAGGCTGGTGGTGGTGGTGTCATGGTGTGGGGAATATTTTCTTGGCACTCTTTGGGCCTCTTGGTACCAATTGAGCATCGTTGCAACGCCACAGCCTACCTGAGTATTGTTGCTGACCATGTCCATCCCTTTATGACCACAATGTACCCAACTTCTGATGGCTACTTTCAGCAGGATAATGCGCCATGTCATAAAGCTGGAATCATCTCAGACTGGTTTCTTGAACATGACAATGAGTTCACTGTACTCAAATGGCCTCCACAGTCACCAGATCTCAATCCAATAGAGCATCTTTGGGATGTGGTGGAACGGGAGATTCGCATCATGGATGTTCAGCCGACAAATCTGCGGCAACTGTGTGATGCCATCATGTCAATATGGACCAAGCTCTCTGAGGAATGCTTCCAGCACCTTGTTGAATCTATGCCACGAAGAATTGAGGCAGTTCTGAAGGCAAAAGGGGGTCCAACCCGTTACTAGCATGGTGTACCTAATAAAGTGGCCGGTGAGTGTATATATATATATGTGTGTGTGTCAGTTTCTCCTCATATTGATATACTATACTCAGAGGAGGAGCACAGACATGATGTAGACGCCTCATCACGCTCATTACGCGCTGGAGCTTAACCCCGCTTCGCCGGGTTACATTCTATTTCTTGATTTTTACAAGGCATTTGACTCTCTGGAGCATCAGTTCATGTTTAAAGCTCTTGATGTCTTCGGTTTTGGGAATATGTTTAAGAAATATGTTAAAACTCTATATGCAAATGCAAATAGCTCTATCAAACTTCCATATGGCACTACTAAAAGATTTACCATTGATCGTGGGATCCGTCAGGGTTGTCCGATTTCAGCATATCTCTTCCTTCTCCCTATGCAATTATTGTCCATTTATTTTAAAAAGAGTAATGTAATGGGTCTCTCTATAGTTGGTAGAACACTGTCAATTACCCAATTGGCGGATGACACAACTCTATTTTTGAAAGATAAATTTCAAATTGATGAAGCAATCAAAGTCATTAACACCTTTTCATTGGCCTCAGGTCTGAAATTGAACATTTCAAAATGTGAGCTTTTTCCAATTAAAAATTGCACAGATGCCATTATCTCAGGTGTACCTGTCAAGCACAAAGTGAAATACCTTGGTGTTATTATTGAAAAGGACCAAAACTCTAGATTATCTGAAAATTTTGACCCACTTATTGCTTCAGTTGAACAGAGATTTAATCTTTGGCATCAAAGGGATTTGTCCATTGCTGGTAGATCATTAGTAGCTAAAGTTGAAGGCCTCTCCAGACTTATTTATACAGCTATGGCTCTTGATGTTTCGAAAGACCAATGCAAGAAAATTGACAAAATATTATTTGATTTTATTTGGAAAAAGAAAATTCATTATATTAGGAAGAATGTTATGATAAATGCTTTGTGCGCAGGAGGCTTTAATGCTTTAGACTTCACCTCCCTAAATTCTTCCTTTAAAATCAAATGGATCAAACTCTTTCTTAAAATCCCAACTCATTTTGGAACTTTATTTCTGCTCATGTATTCAACTCAGACGGAGGATTGGACTTTCTACTTAGATGTAACTACAATATTTCTAAGCTACCGATCAAACTATCTAATTTCCATAGTCAACTTTTACAATCCTGGTCGATGTTGTACTCACACAATTTCTCTCCCCATAAATTTTTTAAATTTTATTTGGAACAATGAAGATTTAAAAACAAATCTTTATTTCTTAGAAGATGGTTTGATAATAAGATCTTATTAGTCAGTCAATTATTAAATGACAATGGTCAATTATTTAGATATGAAGATTTTATTTCAGTCTGCAATTTTCCTGTTACTCCTAAAGAATACTCTATTGTATTTGATGCAATACCAGATGGTGCTAGGAGGCTTTTGTTATATCATATTCAAATATCATATTCATTGTGTCAAATCTGCAAACCATCGTCCAGATGTTATCGTTCTTAAAGCTGTACTATCTTCTTTTCTAGAAACTATAAAACATTGTAAAAACACTAAAGCTATCAAAACTAAAAGAATATGTGATGAATACATTAATGATTTATAACCTCGAGCATTTTCTTTTCTTTTTAGTTTTTTGTTTGAATTGATGCCTATAATATTGTTTTGTGACTACCTTTCGTCCTTTGGTTTGTGTTTGTACTGTTAATATGTATCAATAAAAAAAAAAAAAAAAAAAAACGCTTCGCCGCCATATTACTCCAGACTCACGCAGAGAGCCAAACAGAGTAAATGGAGAACGAGCATATGTCCGTTTATCTATGTGATCTGGTTAAATATTGCATCGTTTTTTGTTTTTTTATTTAACCCAAAAGAGAACAGCTACGGACATAGAAAGGAGACACATCCAATATGGCGGCTCCGGCACACAATGAGGCTTCTACGTGTTGAATGTTTATGAGGAGGAGGAGGATTATGAGGTGGAGAAGTTTCCGGACTGATAACACACATAAGAAAGACGACCACTCGGCCTTTGTTTGACCCAGATCGTCATCCGGACTCAGGTCTCCCCAGAAGTCAAAGTTCGGTCTTTAAATCCAGTGAACACGGTTCTCACCCGCTGAAGTTCTGGACCGACAAACACCAACCCTGTTCGACGACCTGCTGAGTCCGGATCCGTTAACGGAAGTTTATCATGTTAATTTCTTCTCAGGTCCAGGACTCAGGGACCGGAGAAAGTCCGAGGAGGAGACGGAACTGAAGAACCGGTGAGTTCGGGAGCTCAGAGAGAGTCCTGTTTAGTCCGGTTCAGTATGGCTCAGTCTGGTTCAGGTTCAGTTTAGTTCAGTCTGGTTCAGGTTCAGATTAGTTCAGTCTGGTTCCGGTTCAGTTTGGTTCAGTCTGGTTCCGTTTCAGTTCGGTTCAGTCTGGTTTGGCCCGGTTTTGTCGATCTGGTTCAGTTTGGTTCAGTCTGGTTATGGTTCAGTTCGGTTCAGTCTGCTCTGGCCCGGTTTAGCTCAGCTCAGTTTTGATGATGTTCTGTATCTTCTCTTGGAACCCCTTTCTCAGAGAAGAACCTGGGTCATCTTTACTGGACCATGTTTGCTGACAGGAAGTGGTCATTTGACCCTCTCTCAGAACCAGAATCAGGATCAGAATACCTTCTATTGTCATTATACTGAAGTACAATTCTCCATTCCATTCTCCAGCTTCTCCATTTCTAGTTCAATAGAGAAACAAAATTAATGGTTCAATGAATATTAAAACTAATTTATAAACACTACAGGCCAAAAGTTTGGAAGCAAGATCAAATTTGTACAAAAAAGATCACAATACTTTGCAAAAAAAACATAATAATTATCTAAAGAAAAACTTATCAGAGAACATTTTTACTATAATTATCTTGTATTTGAACTTTTCTTGCTTAGACTTTGCTTTCCTCAAAGTAACCTCCTCTGGCTGTGACAACAGCATGGCATACGAGGCATTCGTTCAACAAGTTTTTTAAGGTACGTAACAGGAACTGCATTCCAAGCTTTCTTAAGTTCATCAATAAGAGACTGCTGATTTGTGGGATGCCCTTTTCTAATTGATCGATCCAATTCATCCCACACAAGCTCAATTGGAGAGAGGTCTGGAGACTGACGGGGCCAACCCATTTTTTGAAGAACACCTTCCTCTTCTTTTTCTGTCTAGGTAACCCTGACAGAGCTTGGAAGAATGCTTAGGATCATTATCTTGTTGCAAAACAAACTTGTGACCTACAAGTCTTAGTCCAGATGGAACTGCATGATGCTGGAGGATGGAGTGGTTCTGTTCCTTCTTCATTACTCCCTTTTACTCCCCTTTAACTCCCTTTACTTCAAACAAATCTCCTACTCTATCACCTGGGGCCTTATTTATCAATTGTGCGTAGAAAAGGTTCTATATTCTTGCGCAGGATTGAAATTTCGAATGTGCATAAGTACAAAAAAAATCCATATTTATCAAACGTGCGGACACCGGTCGTACGCACACACGTAAGTAATCGGTGATGATAAATCCCACCTGTTCTTTACTACCGTGCTCGTGCATGGTTAGAGTCATTTGCATTCAGGAACGCCTCCAATTGACCATATATGGCATCAACAATCCCTTTTAAAAATGCGTGTATGAATGTTTTTCCTCCTCCTGGAGGTGCACACTCACAGCGCTGTTCTGCAGAATGAATGAGTCGTGCCTTCCTCCAGGCCACCGGGCAACAACGTTTAACAGAATCAAATGTGCATCGCAGATTATTTGTGCATTGATTGAATGAAATCTTTTCCTGTTGACGAATCTGAATTTATCGTGTGAAGGTGCTTTTATTGCGATGTGGGTGCAATCTATGGCTCCAATTGTGTTTGGGAATCCGGCGATGGCGTGAAATCCTCGTTTTATTTCGGCTTGTTGCTGATGTGTGTTTGGGAACTGGATGTAAATTGAGGCCAGAGAAATTATTACATCCAACTCTGCCGGCATGATTCTGTTTAGCGTTGGCTGCGAAATATCGTATATGTCTCAAATCTCATGCTGAAATGTTCGGGTTAGGGTGGACAGGAGCTGGATGTGCGCTGGGATGGCTTTGGTGCGTTTTGTTTCTCGCTCCGACATGGGAAGTAAATCACGGCGTAAATCCATTAAAATGTTTTCGGGGAAGCGGTACCTGCTGAGAATCCACTCTGAGTTCTCACTGAACAGATCAGCACGCTCTTTGAAAACGCGCTCCCTGCGGAGGAGCAGACGCTTCTCTAAGTCCTCCAATAGCGCAAAATAAACCGTGATACTTGTATTTGTACGTGTAAGACTTCTTTTGAGGTTGTCCTGTCACAGCAGATTTTTATAGCTTGTCTCACCAATTATTCAAAATGTCTGCTAAATTACTAATTGACAAATTTTGTATAGAGGCAACGGGAACATGTGTGAAGTTTGAGATTGCAGAACGCTGTGACTCCTTTAATGGGTTCAATTTGTAGTTTTACTGTCCTACCACTAGGTTTTGTGTGTACGCATGGTCAGAGTTGTGCTTAAATTTACGCACGTTCCTAAGCACAAGTACAGGTTGATAAATTCCAGACTTTGCGCAGCAATGTTCGTACGCACTCTTTAAGCACACATCTGTGCGTACGCACGGTTGATAAATGAGGCCCCTGGTGATAAAACATCCCCATACCATGGCACTACCACCTCCTTGCTTTATTGTGGGTGTCACACATGGTGCTTTGAGATGTTCACCAGTTTTTCTGCGGACATAGACTCTGCGTTTGGAACCAAATAGTTCAAACTTGCTTTCGTCTGTCCAGAGGACTGTTTCCAGTCATCATAGGTCCAATTTTTGTGAGCTTTTGCCCACTCATATCTTTTTTTCTTGTTCTGTGGATGAAGAAGTGGGTTTTTTGCAGATACACAACCCTTCAGACCAGCCTTTCTCAAACATCTTTTCACAGTTGTCAGAGATATGGGTTTTGACCTTGTCATGTTGATTTCCTTCTTTATTTGTGGTGCTGTTTTTCGCCGATCTCTCTTACTGATGACAATAATATGTTTATCCTCTGCTTTTGTAGTGACCCTCTTTCTTTCAGGTTTTTTACTATCATCATAACTTCCAGTTTCTTCAAGTCTCTTCAGAGTGTAGTGAAAACCTTTTGTTGGACACCTTTAGGCATTTTGCAATTTCTCTTTCAGTGTATCCCTCTTTTCTAAATGTACAGATCTGTACTCTTGTTTCTTTACTCAGTTGCTTCTTTCTAGCCATTTCTGCGATAGTTTGTCAGAGTTTTGAACACGGGTGAGACTTATTGGGATTTTTGTATGCAGACACTCAAAAGCCAATAAGTATAAGTGAATAATGCAAAGTGAATTTGTGATCTTGCTAATCTTCTTGAACCTAAAACTAAGCCCTCCCTTTCTTTTGCTGACATTTATTCAGCAATGGTCTGGTAACATCAATGTATACCTAAAGGTAAATTGAGGAAAATGGTGCATATCAATGAAAGCAAAGTCTAGTCATGCAATAAATACATCCCAAAATACATTTAACTTATCCTTTTTTTTATGAAAGGCATTGTGAACAGAAACTTGAAGTAGTTTCCAAATGTTTGGCCTGTTTTGGTCTTGCTTCCAGACTTTTGGCCTGTAGTGTGTAAGATGCTGGCAGGAAAAGCATACATGGAACGGCATAACCAAGTAGCCAGTATAGTGTACAAGAACATCTGTGCAGAATCTGGACTGGAAACCCCGAGGTCAAAATGGGAAGAACCTCCTAAGGTGAAGGAGAATGACCAAGCCAAGATACAGTGGGACTTCCAGATACATACCGACAAAATGGTAATGGCCAACTAACCGGACATTGTAATTGTAGACAAACAGCAGAGGAAAGCTGTTGTGGTAGATGTCGCCATCTCAAGCAATGCCAACATCAGAAAGAAGGAACACGAGAAACTAAAGAAGTACCAAGGGCTCAAAGAGGAGATAGAGAAAGCCTGGAAGGTGAAGGCAACAGTGGTGCCTGTGGTCATTGTATACTGCGCAGGACCCTCAAGGGACACCTACTGGAATATTTTTTAAAGTAAACTAAAGACCGACCTTTTTAGTCTGGATTTTAGTTAAATTTTGTTTTAGTCCTACAGTAACTATTTTGTGTTTTATTCCCTCTTTTCTAATTTACTTTCTGTTATTGTTTGATTTTAAGACTGTTTTATTTATTGAACTTTTAACACTTTATCACCTTTTATTATATTTTATCATGGTTTTATTCTTTTAGTCCTAGATCCAGTGTTTCCTCAGTCATCTGTGGAAAGTTAGAGTCCTCACCAGGGGCCTCATTTATAAAACCTGGCGTAGGAGCCATACTAAAAGTGTACTTAAGTCGAAAAGCTGAAAAGTGCGTAGGCCAAAAAAAAATCTGATTTATAAAACCCTGCCTACGCACACCTGCACGCACTTTCCCTTTATAAATCACAGACCAGCCGGAAAGTTGCGCAGCAGGGATTTGATTCATGTCCCGCCCTCTCCACACCCAAAATTCACCATGTATGGTCATGCAAATTACCTCATGAATGTGATTTGCATATAAATAAGCCTGATGGATCCACGGCATTTCACGCTTAATCATGGCATCAACAAGTCGTAGAAAAAGAAACTTCTCAGAGACCGAGGTGGAGGTTCTTGTAAATGAGGTGGCAGCGAGACAGGACACCTCGGCGGCCATTCGAGTGGCATCACCAATAAAAGAAAAGCCACCGAATGGCATGCCGTTGCCGTGGCGGTAAGTGCGGCTGGCACTGAGCGCAGCGTTGCCGAAATCAAGAAGAAGTGGTCTGATCTAAAGGTGGAGGCAAAGAAAAAAGTGGCTTTGCACCGCGTGCCGGCGACAGGTGAGGATCAGAAAACACAAGCACGTGTGACTCTCATGCATGTGTTCCAAAAAAAACTGCTCCGTTATCCACCGCTGCTTATGTGGTGAAAGTTCGTAAACCAAAAAGATTTAGTCATATTAATCTTAAAACAAATGCATGTAAATGGAATTTGTTTTTTTGCACATTTGTAAATTCAAATTGGCAAACTTTCTACACCGCCACAGTGGGGTCTGTGCTTTCTGCGAGCATCACTGCCTCCAGGACATCTACACCCAGTGGTGCAGGTCCAGGGCAAGATGGATTATCAAACACTCTCCATCCCAACCACAGACTGTTTGAGCGGCTGCCCTCGGGTAAGAGGCTTCGCTCCATCAGAGCCAGGACTGAGAGGCTGAAAAGGAGCTTCTTCCCCCAGGCCACACGGATCCTGAACTCCTCATAACACACGCCCCATAACTGACTTCACAACACCCTCTGAACAGACTTTACATTATTATTATTCTGTTTTTTTGGCACAATCGCAGACGTCACTTTCATTTCACTGCCACTGTACCTGTACATTTAGACATGTGACAAATTAAACTTGAAACTTGTGCTGCATTGCGCACGACTGTCACTGTATGGCTATTTATACGCGCGCTTTCCATTAACCAATTGTTCTCACCTTGCTCCAATTGTCTCCAAAAAGTGCGAAAGCAAGGTGTGGAGTTTGCTTAAAGTTGCGCACATTCCTACACTAGTTTTTTTTTTATAAATCCCAACTCTTGCGTAAGAAGTGGCGTAAGCACTTTCAAGCCAGGTTTTGTACATGAGCAAGCTTTATAAATTAGGCCCCTGGTCTTTAGCATGTGTATCTGTGTGTGAGTGTGTGTGAGTGTTGAATGGGTGGGCAAGGTTTATTTTATTTTATTGTTTTTTTTTATATCCTGTACAGATGGACAGCACTCTATGCTACATTCTCTGTATGAAAAGTGCTTTAAAAATAAAGTATATAGATAGATAGATAGATAGATAGATAGATAGATAGCATGGAGCCCAGCAGAGTCCAGGACCTCCTGTGGGGGACTTGAGCAGACCTCATCCAGAGACCTAAGACCGGTCTTCAGGGTCCATGAAGAAACCTTTTGAGGAGCAGTTTCTCTGATCTTTGTTCCTCCTTCTGTCTCTGTTCTCCAGGTTTTCACTCCAGTCTTCAGGATGGACAATCCAGACGTTGATGGAAACCCTGTCAGCCATAAGGTAGTCCAAACTGTGGTTCAGGGCCCCTTAGAGGGTCAGGTCTCTCCTCCACAATGGTTCATCCTCCAGATTAGAACTTTTCTTCACACCAAGTCTTCATTCATTAAATAACCCCCCCCCCCCCCCCCCCCAGTGCTCCAGCTGTGACTCCGCCCCCTCCTGTTGGTGTGTCCACTGTAATGAAGCACTCTGTTCCACCTGTTTGTCGGCTCACCGCAGAGTCACCCTCACCAAATCTCACCTGATCCTCAGTCAGCCTCCTGCAGGTCAGACACACACACACACACACACACACACACACACACACACACACACACACACACACACCGGGTCTCTCCAGCTTCCAGCACTAATCAAGTCTCTTTTCTCTGTAACCAGGAGCCGGTTCGGCCCCACCCACTAGGTACTGCAGACTTCACCCCTCTGAGCCCCTCAAACTCTTCTGCTTCACCTGTAAGAAGACCACCTGCAGGGACTGTCAGTTGATCTCTCACATGAACCACAAGTAGGTTTGGCTCCACCCACCACGGCCCTTCAGCCTCTCACAGTCCTCCTCAGGACTCAGAACCTCAGGCTCACCTGGACCTGAGTAACCTGTGTGTGTGTGTGGTTGTAGTCTACACAATCTCTTGACACACACACACACACACAGGGATCCTGAGGGCCTGTTTTCAATGAGCAGCAGGGGGCAAAATTTCACGTCACCATGGTAATGCTGTGTCTGCAGTGTGTAATGATGGCGGTCGGTTGTTCGGTCTGCCCCCCCACAGGTATCTGTTCATCAGTGAAGCCATCATTGGTCTGAAGAGAAAACTAGACCGCCTGATTCAGCCAATCACAGAGTGGGAGGAGCAGATGAAGAAGAACCTGCAGGACATGGAGACCAGGTAAAGGGGGGGGGGGGGTTAGTCCATCTTGCTCGTAAATAAAGTTTATAGTCCTGACAGACTCCAACCCCCCACACCCAGGGTGTCGTAATCTCAAACCTTGTGTGTTTCAGGCTGAAGGACGTGTCTGAGAGAGAAGCTCTGCTGAAGGTCCGGTTGGAGGACTCTTACCAGGTTCTGACTCAGCACATGAGGAATCGGATGGAGCAGCTCCTGAAGGAGGCCAAGGTAAAACCCAGAGGAGGTCTCTGTGTCTTTCTGGGACCCTGATTCTTCCAACAGTGGAGTAGATAAGTGACAGAACCATTCAGTTGGTGAGACAAGCATGAAAATTGGAAATGGAAATGGACCCAGCCATTGTAAATTCAAGACGGTGGTCATTTTTAAGATGGCCTCATTAAGGCAGTTAAATGATGCAAAGTTGGTGATATAAACATGAAAAATTGGTAACACCATTGTCCATGAGGAACATTATAAGAAATTGCCCCTAGCTGCTTGAAATTTCAGATGGTGAACATTTTTAAGATTTCTTTCCATGAATATGAGTGGGGACAGGAAATGAAAAAAAAACCCTGAAATGCCAAGTCCATCTGACTGGGTATGGGTAAAAGAAGACGAGGAATGGAGAATCTTTTGGACTCTTCCTCTTGTTGCAGAGAGTTGTTGAGAGTTGACCAAATGTGGGTGAACCAATGAATGTACTGGATGATGTAAGTGCTTCAAATATGGACTCAAGTGCACATGTCTATGTAGTTGCCCCTGTTATAAGCTATGTGTGTATTCTTTGTGCAAGGACTACTTCCCCTTGTCAGACAGAAAAAGGTTACAAAAAAGGTACAAAAAACAAAAAAGTTTTTAAAGAGAGAGAAAAAAAATCCCCCTCGTGACTACTTCCTTGTTGTGTTAAGGGAGCTTACAGTCATGGCCGAAAATATTGGCACCCCTGCATTTCTGTCAGATAATGCACCACTTCTCCCATAAAATTGTTGAAATATAAAATACTTCGGTATTCACATGTTTATTTCTTTTGTTTGCATTGAAACAACAAAAAGGAAGCTGAGAAAAATTCAAATCTGATATTATTTTAAAGAGAACTCCAAAAATGGACTGGACAAAATTATTGGCACCCCTTTAAAATTGTAAGGAATATTTGTATTCTAAGCATGTGAGGCTCCTTTTAATTTGTAATTAAACTCACCTGTAGCAAGTAACAGGTGCTGGCAATATAGAAATCACACGTGCAGCCAGTTAAAAGAGAAAAGTTGACTCAACCTTTGTGTTGTGTCTACCACACTGAGCATGGAGAAAAGAAAGAAGAGCAAAGAACTCTCAGAAGATTTGAGAACCAAGATTGTGGAAAAGCATGGACAATCTCAAAGCGACAAGTCCATCTCCAGAGATCTGAATGTTCCTGTGTCCACCGTGCGCAATGTCATCAAGAAATTTAAAGTGCATGGCACTGTAGCTAACCTCCCTGGAAGTGGAAGGAAGAGAAAAATTGATGAAAGAATGCAACGAAGGATTGTTCAAATTGTGGATAAAGAACCTCGATCCACTCCTAAACAAATTTAAGCTGACCTGCAGACACAGGGTACAACAGTGTCAGCTTGCACTGTCCATCGCCTCGTCAATGAAAAGGGACGCCATGGTAGGAGACCCAGGAGGGCCCTGCTGCTGACACAGAGACATAAAAAAGCCAGACTGGAGTTTGCAAAAACTTACCTGAGGAAGCCACAATCGTTCTGGGAGAACGTCCTGTGGACAGATGAGACTAAAGTGGAGCTTTTTAGTAAAGCACATCGTCACACGGTTTACAGAAAACGAAATGAGGCCTTCAAAGAAATGAACACCATCCTGACAATCTAACATGGTGGTGGTTCACTGATGTTTTGGGGTTGCTTTGCTGCTTCTGGTACTGGATGCCTTGACTGTGTTGATGGCATAATGAAATCTGAAGACTACCAAAGAATTTTGGGGCATAATGTAGGGCCCAGTGTCAGAAAGCTGGGTCTCCTTCAGATGTCATGGGTGTTCCAGCAGGACAACGACCCAAAGCATACTTCAAAAAGCACACAAAAATGGCTTAAGATAAAGCGCTGGAGAGTTCTCAAGTGGCCTTCAATGAGTCCAGATCTAAACCCTATAGAACACCTGTGGAGAGATCTAAAAACAGCAGTTGGGAGAAGGCAGCCTTCAAATCTGAGAGACCTGAAGCAGTTTGCAAAAGAAGAGTGGTCCAAAATTCCAGTAGAAAGGTGTAAGAAACTCATTGATGGTTACAGGAAGAGATTGACTTCAGTTATTTGTTCCAAAGGATGTGCTACCAAATATTAAGTTAAGGGTGCCAATAATTTTGTCCTATCCACTTTTGGAGTTCTGTTTAAAATAATATCAGATTTGACTTTTTCTCTGCTTTTTTGTTGTTGCTTCAATGCAAACAAAAGAAATAAACATGTGAATACCAAAGCATTTGTAATTTTAACAATTTTTCTGGGAAAAGTGGTACATTATCTGACAGAAATGCAGGGGTGCCAATATTTTTGGCCATGACTGTACATACTTCCATGAACCCTGAGAGCTTTGTCATTGGGAGGAAACTCCTGGCAGGCTTTACAAAATTGGACAGTTTGAGGGCAAGGAGTTAAACATTTTCTCCTGAAGTGACTTATGAATGCTTTTTTTATTTCGGTTTAAAAACAAAAAATAAAATCATATTTTTACAAAAGAACCCATCATACAGCAACCGAAAAAGGAATAGGCTGAAGCCCCAAGGCTTATTTTTGCCTATCCTGTACCATCATAGGAATAATTCACAATAAAACATCAGTACTAGTATATCATTACAAAACACATAATAGCCTTAACTGAAAAATCGAATTAAATCAAATTTCATTGTTACCTTTGATCATTTTAGAGTCTTCTTGAAAACTAACATAGAATTACACATCTTTATTTCATTGTTTAGTCCATTCCATAATTTTGCATCCAAAACTGACACACATCTGTACTTGGGATTAGTTCTGACTTTGTAAGTTTCAAACATTAGCGGCCCCCTTAAGTTAGAAATCCCCTGCCTTAGCTTAAACGTTTTTGGAATACAAACAGGAATGGTCTTATTTACCACTCGAAACATAATTTCCAATCTTTTTAAATATACTTATGGAGAATGTTTTCATGTTTGTATCATCAATTGTACATGATATCACTGCTGTGAGGAGATGGTGGCTAGATGAGGTCTCTGTGTCCTTCTGTGACCCTGATTCTTCTAACAGCTGATGGAGGAAGATGAAGAGTAGGACTATCTGATCCAGAGACAAAGACCATAATCACTGTGTGTGTGTGTGCGTGCTTGCGTGTGTATGAACAGGAAGTGGATCTCGCTGAGTCCAGGTTCCTCAGGGAGAAGATGGAGAGGCTGAAGCAGGTCCAGCAGATCCAGAGCCTCATGACTAAAAAAGCAGAAACAGCCAAAGAGTCCAACCAGGTCCTGGATCTTCTGACCACCATCCACTACGTGAGTCTCTCTGCTCCACCTCCTGAAGATCTCTGAGACCCCCAGACCCTCAGTCCCAGACCCTCAGACTCGGACTGTTTCCTCTTTGCAGGTCCAGACCCAGATGAAGACCTTCTCTGAGGAGAGCGTGTCTCCTCCTCAGACCATGTCCCAGGTCAAAGTGGTCTCTGAAAGACCGGTCCTGGAGGCCCTCCTGAACTTTGGTAGGTGGACTCTGTTAGACCCTGTAGGGGGGTATGGTTCTGAACCCAAACAGGTTCTGGAAGGTCCTCCCTGTGGGATTTAGAAAGGAAGATCTGATCCTTACTGGAAGAGGAGAGGCAGGAGGAGAGAGACGACGAGGAGGAGAGGGGAGGAGGAGAGAGGAGGAGCAGGAGGAGTCAGAGGAGGAGAGGAGGAAAGAAGAAGAGGAGGAGGAGCAAGGAGGAGGAGAGAGAGGAGGAGAGAGGAAAGACAGGAGGAGAGATTAGGAGCAGGAGGAGGAGAGAGAGAGGAGAGGAGGAGGAGAGAGGAGAAAGAGGAGGAGGGGAGAGAGAGAGATGAGAGAGAGGAGGAGGAGGAGAGAGGAGGAGAGCAGTTGTAAATGGAGAGTGTTAACAATCAGGTGGAGGAGGTCATTGTTCTTCAGTCTAAAGTTTGTTCAGTTCAATCTGCTTAAATCAGAATTTATCATAGATTTCCTCAGAATAATATTCAATAATAATCTGAAACTAAGACGTTTATGAAGGAGAACAACCAAATATGGAAAAAGAGAGAAAGAATTTGAATTATTGAAGGATAGTCCCTTGAGATGTTGCTTCTCATTTCAAGATGGTCCCTAAACAAACACAAACATAGAACTGAGGACACATGACCATACATGAACATGCATGAACATACATGAACAAACATAAACATATAAGAAATACAGACAATCTACTCCCACACACAACCCCAACCAACATATGCCTAAGACAGACAAAACTTATGAACAAGGATGAATAATGTGAACATAAATACAAAGAAAATATATCAGAAACATGAGTTTTGAGATGAGAGTATAGTGACATTCTAAAGTGATAAAAGAAATAATAGAACATAAATAAAGAGGTTATTCCAATCTGATGGGGCTTTATATTGAAACGATATTTTACCAACTTCTTTTAATATTGTAGAAATATAGAAAAATGGGAAGTTCATGTGTCTAAGAGAGTTTGGGGAGCTATATGGGATCAAGATTCAAGTTCTTTTTTCCTTTTTTTTTTTACAACTTTATCATTTTTCCATACTGAGAACATTGACATTAGCTAAACATTTCTTACAAAAGTTGTGAACCCGCCCCACCCCATCCAGGTGGCTTCACCCCAAACACATCCACAAAGACACTCACGTATCAAACATGCAAACAGAGCACCAAAAGAAGAAAACAAATATACACAAATACAAAAAACAGACAGACAGAAAAGACTCAAACCAATCTACATTGATCGTTATGATCATAACACCAACATTCTGGACCTCTGTCATAAGACAAAGACAAAATTCCCAACAGTGAGAATATAGGCATAGAGAAGGCTAGGACAACAGTCAAAGAGAATGAAAGAAAAATAAATACATTAATGAACAAAAACAAGGAGTCAGGCAAAACGCAGTCTCTTGATATGAGTTATGAACTGTGACCAGGTTCTGTCATATTTGTCCTCTAACCCGTGTACTGTATACCTAATTTTTTCCAGAGCCAATCCCATCATCATCTCTCTAATCCAATGAACATAGGCAGGAGGGCGCTTCCCTTTCCAGTTCAATAGTATCAGACGACGGGCATACAAGATGCAAAGGCAATTGCATTTTTGTGGAGGCAGGACAACTCTAGCTTGTCATTAACCACACCGAAGATAGCTATCAAAGGGTCAGGCTGCAGTGTTTTGCCAGGTATTGCTGAGAGTGATTGGAAGACTGAGGACCAGAAGCCATGCAACGATGGACACGACCAAAACATGTGTCCCAAGGAAATAGGAGAATGTTGACATCTAGGACAGTTTGGCGCAACATTAGGGTATAATTTAGACAGTCTGTCATTAGAATAATGCAACCTGTGGACAACCTTAAACTGAATCAAGCCATGTCTGATACAGAAAGAAGATGTGTGTATACGCTGTATGGCATTCTTCCAGGTGTCTTCTGGTATTATTTCTCCAACCTCTCCTTCCCATGCTGCCTTGATTTTGTCCCATGTATGAGGGCAGCTATCCAGAATTAATGCATATATTTTTGATACTGCTCTTTTATTGAGTGGGTTTACATTAAGGATTGAATACAGTAAGTCTTTAGAGGGTGGAGATGGATAACCTGGGAAAAATTTAGAGGCAAAACTCCGAAGCTGAAGATATCTGAAGTAATGAGACTTTGGTAAATTATGATCTTCACATAGAAATTTAAATGATGCAAAGCCATCATCGGTGAAGAGATCTTGAAAGTAGACCAATCCACTTCTGTGCCAAACTGCAAATGCCTGATCTATTTGAGATGGTGCAAAAAGATGATTTAACATTATTGGTGAGAAGCTACATATATTTGTCAAATTAAAATGTTTCCTGAACTGACGCCATATCTTAATTGAATTTTGTACCACCAAATTTGAGCTCAATTCAGATGCTTTGATATTTAGTGGGAGAGGGGCAGTTAGGATTGAAATCTGGGAAATTGGGAGTGTAGCCCTCAGTTCCATATCAGCACAAACCGGACCCTCCTTATCTGCGAACATGGTGATCCAGTATGTCAGCTTGACAATATTAACTGCCCAATAGTAAAATAAAAAATTAGGTAAACCAAAACCACCATCAGATTTAACTCTCTCCAGGCTTGCCTTCTTTATACGTGCAGGTTTTTTATTCCATATGAATGAAGAGATAGAGCAGTCCAGCTGAGCAAAATAGGATTTTGGGAGAAAAATGGGAATCATTTGGAATAAATAAAGAAACCTGGGCATCACAGTCATCTTCACTGCATTTATCCGTCCTGCCAGTGAGAGTGGAAGTTTCGACCACCTATCCAAATGAGTTTTGGTACGGTCCAAAATCCACCTGTAGTTATACTGAAAAATAGCTTTAATTGAACCTGCAATTTCTATTCCCAGATAAGTAAATTTGTCATTTTCAATCTTAAAAGGCAAGTTTTCATAAGTGATCTGTTTTGCCAGATTATTCAAAGGAAATAATAAAGATTTTGACAAATTAATGTTATACCCTGATATGTTACTGAATTTTTGGAGCCAGTCGAGAAGGTAGGGCATGCTCTCAATTGGGTCTGATATTTGCAAAAGCAGATCATCAGCATAAAGCAAAATTTTATAGTTTGTTTCACCCCTGGATATACTCTTAATCCTGTCATCTGATCTAATAGCAATTGCCAGTGGTTCGATAGCAATGTCAAACAGGAAGGGCGACAGACAGCAACCCTGTCTTGTACCTCTGTGGAGCGAAAAATATTCCGAGACCAGGCCATTTGTCCTGACTGCAGCAATAGGTGTTGAATATAGGATTTTGATCCACTTACAAAAGGTGGGCCCCACTCCAAATTTTTCTAAAGCTGTGAAAAGATAGGTCCATTCGATTCTATCAAACGCCTTTTCAGCGTCAAGGCTTAGAATAACTTCAGGTTGTACTGTTGAATGGGGGGAAAATAACACATTAAATAATCTTCTCATATTAAAAAATGATTGCCGTCTAGGAATGAAGGCTGTTTGGTCCTCATTAATAATGGTAGGAATAACAGGGTCTAATCGTTGTGCAAGGGTTTTATTTTATAGTCACAGCACAGAAGACTTATTGGCCTGTATGAGCTGCACTGTACAGGGTCCTTATCTTTTTTAAGTAAAACTGAAATTGTGGCCTGGGTAAGCTTTTGCGGCAATTTTCCATTGGCCAAACATTCATCATAGACTGATTTAAGGATAGGTACAAGTTTTGAAGAGAATTCCTTGTAAAACTCTATGGGGAATCCGTCCGGGCCTGGTGCTCTTCCTGTTTGAGATGACCTGATGGCATTTGCTATTTCTTCAAGCGACAATGGCTGCTCTAGAAGTGACTGAGCATCTGGAGAAAGCCTTGGGATATCCAGCGAATCCAGAAATGAGTAAATCTCAGATGAGCTACTATCTAACTCCGATTGATATAGAGTAGAATAATATTGTTTAAACTGGTCATTAATGACTCGGGAGCTGCGAGATATGGAGTCAGCGCCTGTATCAATTCCTGGGATTGTTTGTTCAGCTGACTGCTGTTTAAGTTGAAGTGCAAGGAGCCTCCCTGCTTTATCTCCATGTTCATAATATACCTGTCTGGATTTAAAAATATTTTTTTCAGCTTTCCATGTCATAAGTGTATTAAATTCAGTTTGCAACAGTAATTTCTCCTTAAAGAGATCTGGCATAGGCAAAAGAGCATAACGCCTGTCAATATCTGCAATTTTGTCAGCAAGCTCTTTAAATTGTTTGGAACGCTCCTTATCACTATGTGCCACATAAGAGATAACTTGACCCCTAATGTAGGCTTTCATAGACTCCCACAAAACTCCCCTTGAAACATCCTGAGTGTCATTCATTTCCAGGGTTGCTGGGGGTCTAGCCGCCAAGTTCATTGGGGCGCTACATTAGCTGGAAAAACTAGATCCATCTGCACTGGGCTGTGATCTGATAGCACTATACTGTGATATTTGCTGCTGGAAATTAAGGGAAGTAGCTGGTTATCAACAATAAAATAATCAATCCTGGAGTAACTATGGTGAGCGGGGAGAAGAAGGAGAATTGCTTCGTAGTTGGATTTTTTGTCCGCCATGGGTCTGATAGGCCATAAGAGCGAAGGAGGGAATTAATAGTCACTGCAGCTGACGAGAGTGTGTTGTTTGACCTTTACTTGACCTGTCTAGCTGGGCATGGAGGACGCAATTGAAGTCTCCACCTAGAATTAGTTTGTAGGAATTAAGATCCGGAAGAGTTGAAAAAAAATTAAGAAAGAATTGTGCATTGTCCCAATTTGGTCCATAAATGTTAGACACTATTAACGGTGTATTAAATATCTTGCCCACTACAACAATATATCTGCCATTAGCATCTGATATTACTTCAGAGTGTTCAAATGGAATCCCCTTCCTAATTAGGATTGCTGTTCCCCTGGCTTTATAGTTAAAACGTGAGTGATATATTTGTCCAATCCACTTGCAGCTTGTAGTCTTTTTTGGGAATTAATATTTTAAATGTGTCTCCTGAAACAATATTACATCAGGTTTTAGTGATTTCAAATGACTAAATATTTTGCTCCATTTAACCAAATTGTTCAGCCCTTTGACGTTCCAGCTAATGACCGAAATTGCTCCTTGTTGAAATCTACATTATTCAGAATCATAGTGCAACTGTTTGTAATGAACCGGTCCTGCATGTTGGTTATATCTGAGTACTTCAGTGCATGTTTGAGTCAAACCATAAGCAACAAATAAACCCAAAAGAAAACTGACAAAAACAAACAGATTGACATAGATAAACCCCTTACCATCCTGGACTTCTGGGCTGGTCTTCCTTAAACCTGAGACTGCCCTGAAAACTCTCCTTTCTCTCCTAGGCATATAACACGTCAACACTAACTTGAACTCTTACACGAACTCTAATAAGGCAGAACAAAATGTAATAGGGCTTTCCTCCCACTACTATTATTGCTGCATGTGTGCTGGCACTTATTTGGTCACAGGCTGATAAGGTTCTTAGCACTTACAGTTGGAAGATATCCCCACAAGAAAAGAGTAAAATCAACTAGAATTAGTGATAAAGGTGGTGACAAGGGGGTTAATTAAACAAAAAACATTAGAAAATAAAGAAAAGGTACCTTTAGGGTTATAATGTTAAATTTAGACTTAACATTAGACACTTACACTAACGTGGCAGGGAAAAAGGAAAACAAAGAAGAATATTGACATTTTTAAGTAAGATATTCTCCAGGCCACGCGGTGTCTACATAAACCCTTCACATACTGTAGTAAACTGTGCATAATTGTTCATCATGGATCCTCAGTCCAAATCCCCCCCCCCCCCCCTCGTTTATATTCCTCAGATGGCTGAAAAATGTCACTTAGACTTGTCCATAGTCCAAACATAAAATGCATCCAACTGCAGTGCCCTGATATTTACCAATCAAAATATAAGTCAGCACATGCAGACTACTGCAATGTTAACACGCAGAGTATGATACCTATTATGGCCCCGTGAATTAACTGTCACTCTCCCTCCGTCTCCCGTGGGCACAGATTGGTCTCGATGTAGTGCTTTGCCTTGGTTGGGTCATCGTAAGACACCTGCTCGCCAGCTGGGGTCGTGATCTTCAGTGTGGCTGGATACAGGAGATCGTATTTCACGCCCGTACACCGGCGAAGCAATCCTCTCACCTCGGTGAAGGCGGCTCTCTTTTTTCTGACGGCAGCCGAGAAATCTGGGTAGATGTAGAAACGCTTGCCTTTGTGGGTGATGGGACCTGCACCCATGGCCTTTTGAAGAACATCCACTTTCTCCTGAAAGTAGTGGAACTTGACGATTATTGGCCTCGGGGCATCTCCGACTTTGGCCTCGGCTGCAGGCTTCTGTGCGCCCGATCAAGCGTCGGCATATAGTCGAGGGTCAGCGCTTCCTTCAATAATTCGGCCACGGCTTTCTCCGGTCGTATATTTCCGAGTCCCTCTTCCACTCCGACTAGTCTGCAGTTAACTCGCCGCTGCTGAGACTCCAACTCTTCGGTCTTATCTGCCAACCGGGTGACTTGTGTAGACAGCGTATTAACTTTAGCTTCAAGCGCGACAACCCGGTTAGCATTGCCATTAGCTTCCTCCTCGAGATCACCAATGCGGCTTGAGAATGTGGCGTTTTCTTTCTGCACTTCTTCAGTTACCTTCTTAAACTCTGCGCGCACATTCAGGATTTCTGTCCTTAAGTCACTCGCCAAGCTGTCTATTTTCTTGTCCAGTTTACCTGCAGCCGCCATCACAGACGAGTCGATCTTGGTTAGCACACTCTGCTCCGTTTGCTTTATGGCAGCCATGATTGCGTCGAGATCCGACCCTGAACCCGCTTCCGCGGGCGGCTCCACGTCAACCGATTCTGAGGCGTCCGGCCCTGGCTTCGGCTTTTGAGATTTGGGCATTGTGAACAGCTTTGAATTTAGAAAAAAACGACTAATTCGAGGGACTTGGCACTTTAGAGACCCGTTTGCACCGGGAAGAACGAGAAGGAGAGGAGGAATATTAAATTAACATTCACTCTAAGCAGAGCTCACAAAAACACGTCTTCACATGTTGCTGCTCAGCTGCGCCCCCCGATCAAGAGTTCTTTTAAAAGTGAAGGTCAATGGAAACTAGAAAAATTGCATTTCCTTGCAGAAAATGCGTGGAAATGCTGAGTGCTGAGCAAGGCAATGCTAAACTGTTAATCAAAAATGGAGGAAGGTATAAATGTAAAAGCTGTTGAAGGGGTAAAGAAGAAATAGACGTTAAATAATTGTGAAAATGGTTGAAGGACAAATAGTATGAATATGCTCCATAAATTGAAATTTGATTTATACTGAAAGAAGGTGAAAAATGTCTGAAATTGCACAAAGTTTGAATGAAGAAGTAAATCACCTTAAAAGGCAGGTAAGTGAGAAGTGGCATAAATTTAAGTTGTAGTTCTGGTAGTAGTATTAGTCCAGTTGGAAGGAGGGGGTTCAGTGCACCCCCCGGAGATATATTTCTAATCAGTGTTTTTCTATAGGAAAAAATGTGCTGAAAATGATGAGCTATGATAAAAAGTTCTCAGAATGTCCCATCTGCCCCAAAACCCCCAAAAACCCACTTTTTGGTACATGGCTCTAGCGAAATTGTGTTAAGGCAAATATTAATTCACTAAAATTACATAATTGGACATGAAAGTCTAAAATTTGGCATGGGGTATCCTGAGACATAGGGTTAAGTAGCCCAATAGGATTTTAGGACCTGCTACAACTGTATTCATAATTATGACCAACATCATCCCCAGAAACACAAAAAAATATACTGTCCACTTGACAAATAATAACAAAGATGATTGATTTCCAGCACTTTATGGTGAATATCACTGCCTCATTTGTATATATAAACTTCCCCATGTCCCTAAGCTTCAATTTGAGCCCAAGATGACCTTTCTGGCTTGAAAATTACTCTTTCTATAGCCAAAGTTCTGCACTATACCTCAAATCGGAGAAAATGGGAGATTCTGCCAGTAGCTGTCTATTACAGGTATTATGCACCCCCATATATATTTATATATCTTCATAGAACTCCAGAGACGCTGAGCGTCCGATGGGTGGGACAAACCCACTTTGAGCTTCCAGATTGAAGTCAGCAGACGCTGAGTGTCCGGCTGTGTAAAGTGCTGAGGCGCTGCGAGGATGAATGAGAACGAAGTTATGCCGGTTACCTGTGATTATCAGCTTCTTATCACAGTGTGATTTTTTTTTGGGGGGGATGACATTTTAAGGGAAGATGAGCTTCCCTTGCAGTCTTAGAGCAATCGCCACTGATATATATATATTTCTGTATTTCACGATATGGGGATTCATGAGATTGTTGGAGACGTTGGTCCCGTATATCATGAAGATGTTGTAGTTTTTCTGCAGGGGTTCCTTTTACTTTTGAGAGGGGTGTGAAATTACCATGATCTGACAGGGATGACACATGAAGTATGCATACAAGTGATGCACTTTTGTGTGCCTCAGGATTTAAACTCTTTTTTCCCTTAGCCTTAGGCATGTTGGCTTGATGTCTATAACCACCACTGTTAAGAGAAGTGAATAAGAAAAACCAATAGCTGATGTTATGGGTGCAACCATCTTATTTTACAGTCATGTTTGAAGCTACTACTTGTTTTAGCAGACTAAAGATAAGATAAAATAAGAAGGAAAAATATTTAAACTATATGTGATAACTATATTCAAGAAGGAAATATAACATAATGTGTACATTGTGTAGTCAAAGTCAGTCAATTTATTCCACATGTATACAGTGGCTGATTTATGCTTCTTACCTTGTTTGTTGGGAGGATGATGTAGAAGCCAAGGTGTGGTGGTGGCAGAGTTTATACTGTCTGTATTGATATGCTCAATGCACAACTGCTGTGCAGTCATAGCTATCTCTATGCTCAATAAGTTTGACCTGGGTCATGGATAATGTTTACCAGTCACACCTGGCCTGAGTCAAATTAATAAAACATACATTGAAAGTACATTCAATTTCTTATGGCACTGCTTTACATGCAAGCATGTCACTGGAACATATGGTAATTTAACCTTGGCCCTCAAAACAGGTCCAGATACCTTATTTGTTAATTTGTTAATAACCTCCCGACTGCTCTTACTTTAACTCCCCGCGGACGTCGGGTCGTGGTGGAGGAACAGCAATGGTATATAAGAATGGCTTTAAATGCAAACAGCGCACTGTATCATCCTCTTTTTCAAGCTTTGAGGTGACTTTATTTGAGGTGGGTCGGTCTGACCCGGTGCTGTGCGCGGTCATTTATCGCCCCCCCAAATACAATAAGGAGTTTTTGAATGACTTCTCTGGTCTACTGGCTGAAATTATGCAGAACTATGATCGTGTTCTTCTTCTTGGGGATTTTAATATTCACCTGTGTTGTCCAGAAAAGCCGCTGATGAAGGACTTTGTAAGTCTTATTGACTCTTTTAATTTGGTGCAGTGTGTGTCGGGTCCCACACACGAGCACAGGCATTTACTGGACCTCGTACTGTGTCATGGTTTACCTGTGTCTAACCTGGTGATATGTGATGATGTATTTTCTGATCACAGGCCTGTATTGTTTGAAGTGTACCTTTCTTGCTCTGAGGTTAAATCTGGCGCCCCTGCTCAGAGACGCCGGATTCTTAACCCCTCCACTGCCGGTCGCTTCTCTGTGGCTTTTGAACAGCTCTGTCTCTGCCCTGCCTCTGCGGACACAGAGGAGCTCAGCTCCTGGTTTCATTCCTCCTGTGAAAACATTCTGGACTCTGTGACTCCTTTAAAAACTGTTCGGCCAAAGGCTAAATCGGAGCCCTGGTTCAATGAAGAAACTCGCGCAGCCAGACGAGAGTGCCGCAAAGCTGAGCGAAGGTGGAAGAAGGACAAGCTACAGGTTTCTTTCCAAATACTTAAGGACTCTTTGAACAGCTACCAGAGAACTGTTAAAGAGAGCAAAAGACAATATCTGGCAAACTTGGTGGAGTTAAATCATCATAACCCACGTGTGTTGTTTAAAACTATCGACGCTGTTCTTAACGCCCCACAGCCTGCCAGCTTGGAGGCATCTGTGGAAATGTGCAATAGTTTTCTGTACTTTTTTATTGAAAAGGTTGTGACTGCCAGGTCTCTCATCTCTGCTCCTGCATCCGACCCCTCTGTGCCTGTTCCTTGTTCTGCAGTTCTTGACAGGTTTGAGCCTGTGTCTGTCATTTAGAAGAGCTGGTTGGCCAAATTAAGCCTGCTGGTTCTCCCTGTGATGTTGTCCCTCCCAGGCTGTTTAAAGAGGTTTTCCCCTGCATAGGTCAGTCTGTTCTGGCTATCATAAATAGCAGTCTGTCCTCTGGTGTTGTTCCGCCAGGTTTTAAACATGCAGTGGTGCAGCCTCTACTTAAAAAACCAGGCCCTGATTGCAGTGTGCTGGCCAATTTTAGGCCAATCTCCAAACTTCCTTTTATTTCAAAGATTTTAGAGAAAGTTTTTCATGTTCAGCTAAAGTCCTTTCTGGATGAGCATGGTGTCTTGGAGGTCTTCCAGTCTGGTTTTAAAACTCGCCACAGCACAGAGTCTGCTTTAATAAGAGTTTTTAATGACATCCTCCAGGCAAATGACTCTGGTGATTATGTTATTCTTGTTCTGTTAGATCTAACTGCAGCCTTCGACACAGTGGACCGCAACACTCTGGTGGCTCGGCTAAGCTACCTTATAGGTGTCCGTGGTACTGCCCTAGAGTGGTTCAAGTCATATTTAACAGACAGAACAATGAGTGTGAGCCTTGGAGATACAAAGTCCAGCTCTGCTCCACTGCCGTATGGGGTTCCACAAGGGTTGATTTTAGGGCCCCTGCTCTTTTCTTTGTATTTGTTGCCCCTGGGATCCATCTTAAAGGGGACCTGCCATAAAAATGTAATTTTTGTTTTTTTTTGTGTCAGATAAGGTCCATATTATGTTCGTCTTATGTTGTAAATGTGAAAACAAACCGTTACGTCATTTGCATTCTGTAAAGGTTTAAAATAAAGGAACGAGTAAACCAGGCCAATTGAAAAAGCCCATCGGTGTTATGTTGCGCCGACCTTGCTCATTATTATTCACGAGCGCGTCCTCGGTGAGCCGTGCCCACTCTCTCGTTCTCGTACTCAGTCACAGCCAGAGCGAGACCCAGCTACCACTGTATCCGCTATGGGTCTCTTCCAAACGACCGGTGTTTCCTTCGGTTCACTGCCGGGAAAATGAACTTAAAGCTGGGCAGAATGAATGAGAAAACACCGCTTGAGATCTCCGGCTTCTTCCTCAACTTCCACCTCCTCTTCGGACTCGGGGTCTAAAATATATGGTTTAATACCTGCCGTTTTTAGCCTTTAGCATAAGGTGACCAGACGTCCCCGATTTCCGGGGACAGTCCCCGTATTGGATGACCTGTCCCCGGCAAAAGCTGTCCCCGAAAATGTCCCCGATTTAAGCGTTTCATGAATGAGAGCTAAAATGTTGTGTGTGGGCTCGAACAACGGTTATTACAGTAGCCGAATAGGTAGGAAGCACAAGTTAGCAGTCCTGAACAACAGTTCTTACGGGGGTTATTACAAGGGGCATGCGCTGCTACTAAATAGTACCGAGACTTTGTCTGTGATCACACAGCCCCTGCAGCCCCTGCACCGCCGCCGCCGCCGCATCGAATATCCCCGGATATCATTACAGACATCTGGGTACCTTACTTTAGCACACATTAGCATATGCTATTAGCATTAGCATAATAACAAGGGATAAATCGAAATCCGAACCTCCACTGCTGAGCCAATCAGAGCACAGCAGGCTTCACAGCAGCGATCCAATCAGAGCAAAGCTCATTACCATAAATGTTAATGAGCCAAAACCAGTTGGTTTTCCTGTAAGGTTTTTTAGGCATACTGAAACAAACCATCAAATAACTTTTCAGCTAAAATTATGTTGCAAACATTATCAGAGGACATCAAGGATTATGAAAAAATGATAAAAATGGGTATGAAATTTTGGTGGCAGGTCCCCTTTAAGAAAGCATGGCATTTCATGTCATTGTTACGCTGATGACAGTCAGATATATGTGCCACTTAACAAGAAAAATGCTTTCTCCCTCACTCCACTTCTGGCATGTCTTGAAGACATCAAAGCCTGGATGGCTTTGAATTTCTTAAATTTCAATGAAAAAAAAACAGAAGGGATGGTCTTTGGTCCCAGTGGCCCTTGTGAAACCCCTCCTGTAGACTTGGGTATTTTAGCAGATTATTTAAAGCCAACTGTCTCAAATTTGGGTTTTAAGATGGACAGTGATTTTAAATTTGATAGGCAAATTAGCTCGGTAGTGAAATCCAGTTTTTATCATATTAGGCAGCTGGCGAAGGCAAAGCCTTTTCTTTCACGTAAGCACTTTGAAACAGTAATCCATGCCTTTGTTACATCTCGGCTGGATTACTGTAACGCACTTTATTTTGGAGTCAGCCAGTCCTCCCTCTCACGTCTCCAGTTAGTACAAAACGCAGCCGCCCGGCTCTTAACTGGAGTACGTAAGAGGGAGCACATTACTCCCATCCTGGCCTCCCTCCACTGGTTACCCGTGCATTTTAGAGTTCATTTTAAGATTATTTTATTTGTTTTTAAATCTTTAAATGGTCTGGCTCCATCTTACCTCTCTGAGCTTCTCCACCCCTACACCCCAGCTCGGTGCCTCAGGTCAGCTGATCAGCTACTCCTGGAGGTACCGAGGTCCAAACGGAAGCTCAGAGGGGATAGATCTTTTTCTGTTGCAGCCCCAAATTTATGGAACGAGCTACCCCTCCAAATTAGACAAGCCCCCACACTGTCCATTTTTAAAAGTCGTCTTAAAACCCATTTTTATTCATTGGCTTTTAACCCTGCATGAGACTCGGCTCCTGTTTTAGTGTTTTATGGTTTGTTTTTAGTTATTTGTTTCTATGTTTTTAAATTAGTTTTTAAAAACATTGAAACTATATTTTACTTTTGATTCTGCTTTTATTTTATCCATTGTTTTAATTGTTTTTTGATTGTTTTCTATCTTGTTGTTTTGTCTAGTTATGTACAGCACTTTGTTCAGCTGTGGTTGTTTTAAAGTGCTTAACAAATAAAGTTGAGTTGAGTTGAGAATGCAACATTGGCTGAGATATAGGTAAAATCAGTGTTTCCAAAATGGCGGCACTAATTAGCATATAAATAATAGATTGGTCATGTCGACAACTATTAAACATCGCTCATCATTTTCAGCACATTTTTTCCAATAAGGAAATACTGATTAGAAATATATAAATATATATGGGGGTGCATAATACCTGTAATAGACGGCTATTGGCAGAATCTCCTATTTTCTCCGATTTGAGGTATAGTGCAGAACTTTGGCTATAGAAAGAGTAATTTTCAAGCCAGAAAGGTCATCTTGGGCTCAAATTGAAGCTTAGGGACATGGGAAGTTTATATATACAAATGAGGCAGTGATATTCACCATAAAGTGCTGGAAATCAATCATCTTTGTTATTATTTGTCAAGTGGACAGTATATTTTTTTGTGTTTCTGGGGATGATGTTGGTCATAATTATGAATACAGTTGTAGCAGGTCCTAAAATCCTATTGGGCTACTTAACCCTATGTCTTAGGATACCCCATGCCAAATTTTAGACTTTCATGTCCAATTATGTAATTTTAGTGAATTAATATTTGCCTTAACACAATTTCGCTAGAGCCATGTACCAAAAAGTGGGTTTTTGGGGGTTTTGGGGCAGATGGGACATTCTGAGAACTTTTTATCATAGCTCATCATTTTCAGCACATTTTTTCCTATAGAAAAACACTGATTAGAAATATATCTCCGGGGGGTGCACTGAACCCCCTCCTTCCAACTAGACTATATGGTAAGTAGTCATAGTAGTGATATAAGTAGTTGTGTAAGCAGTAGAAGTAGTTTGAGAATAGAAGAAGTCGATGAATTAAAAATCCTCAAGTATTAGAGAGTTTTGAAGATTGAGAAATGTTTGAATGAGTTTAGATTTGGTGCACTAATTTGTTGCCATGGGGAAGGTGGAAGCATCAATACAGCAGGAGAAAGGAGGCTTGAAGCTGAGGAAACAGCTCTCCAGCTACGCCCAGATGCTTTGCCCTATATTCATTATAAGGAGGTTGTGAAAACCGCAAGACTCTACTAAATATATTGATACAATTTATTAAAAACATCCTAGTAACACCCCATACAGTCCTTAATAAGCTGAATTTCTGGAGCCCAGAATGGTATCTGTAGCCCAAAATTTGTGGTAGAGGATAGGTGGTGAGGCAGACATATGGTCAAAGTGTGTGCATGGAGGTGTCATAGACAGAGAGAGAGTCACGCACACACATTGTCAGAGTGGGTGTGTGTGTTTGTGTGTCTGTTTATTAATGCATCCTATACAGACCAAAGGACCAACTGACCAACGTTTTGAATGAGAAGCTGCCTAACTGCAGTGAATTTAGAGTCCCGAACTTCTTCACATCGCACGATTTTCTTAAATCCCAGAATGAAAATAGGAACATTGTAGGAATCCCGAAATCCTAAAGAATACAATGATGTGGTTTTCATGTCTGTACTCTAAAAAATGTGGCCACAACAGCGAGTTAAACAGATTTAACCCTGAGTGATGATCAGGATTTTCTGGGAGAAAGATTACATTATGGTCAATGGGAGGAAACTCTGCCCCAAAGGAATAGTTTAAAAGTTGAACGGTTGAAATAGCACAAAGTATGAAGGAGTTGCAAAGTTGCAAAAAAGGTACGGAAGAATAATAACTAGCAAAATTGCATTTCCTTGCAGAAAATGCGTGGAAATGCTGAGTGCTGAAAGCTGAAGAGGTTGGATAATTGTTTAATTGGTTGAAGGACAAATAGTATGAATATGCTCTATAAATGAAAATTTTATTCATGTTGAAAGAGGCTAGAAAAATGTCTAAGTTTGAATGAAGAAGGAAATTGCTTAAAAGGCAGGAAGGTGAGAAGTGGCATAAGTTAAAGTTGTAGTACTAGAAGTAGTATGATAAGTAGTCAAGTAGTGATACTAGTAGTCATGTAAGCAGTAGAAGTAGTTTGAGAAGAAAAGAAGTATAAGTCAAAGTAGTAGAGAAAGTAGAAATAGTAGCAATAGCAGTTGAAGTAGAGGGGAAAGTACTAGTTTAATTGACATTAGCAGTAGTTATAGTTCTAGATGTGGGATTTTGTTTGAAGGATGAAATAATGCATAAATATTAAAACTAATTGAAACAGGGAAAATTTAAATAATTAAAAATCCTCAAGTATCAGAAGGTTTTTAAGTATCAGAGAGGTTTGAATGAGTTTAAATTAGTTTAGAAAAATAAATAATAAATCATCACTGAGTGACTTTAAAATGTGAAAAATGTAAATGAATAAAAATCCTGACTATACCCCATAATGCCCTCAATGAGCTTAAATCTTGAAGCCCTAAATGGTTTCTGTAGGTCAAAGTTCATGGGAGGAGATAGGGGCCTAAGTTCATAAAGCGCTATAGTGAAGAGTTTTAAATGTCACCCCCAGTGCTATGTGTACTGAGCCTGGCTTCATGTGTCTCATATGTGTCAATCCTAAATACACCCCATAATGTCCTCAATGAGCTGAATTTTTGAAGCCCAGAATGGTTTCTGTAGGTCAAAATTTGTGCTTGGCTTGGCCTGGCTTCATGTATCTCATATGGCCACTAGAAGAGGCTTTTCAGTCAGCTGTGTGTCTCCAGGTGCGCTAATTGGTTGCCATAGGCAGTGACACACGCACAGACACACATTGTCAGACTGTGTGTGTGTGTCTCGTTAATGATTTTATCCTAAACAGCTGTGAGATCAAAGCCATTAACTGACCTACTGTTTGACTGAGAGGTGCTGAACTGCAGTGAATTTAGGGCCTCTGAACTTCTTCACATAGCACGATTTCCTTAAATCCCAGAATGATAATAAGAACATCGTACGAATCCTCCGTCCTTCATGAACACAATGATGTTTTCATGTCTGTACTCCGAAAAATGTGGCCACAACAGCGAGTTAAAAAAGTCTGAGCCTGAGTGGCGATAAGGATTTTCTTGGAGAAAAAATACATTAGGGCTAATGGGAGAGATTTCCGCCTATTTGGACAGTTGGTCACCTGCTGGCCAAGGGGTAGGATTTAATGATTTGAAACCTTTTTTGTGAGAAGCAGGACACATATGCCTCCATTTTGATGTATTTTTTATGGCTGTGGAGTGAGATTTGTGGGCGTAGGAGCGATATATTCGAGCGAGGTTCTGTCGATCAGAGACGAGGTCTGCACTCTAGCTTTTCAAATCGTCACTCTAGCCTCTCCAATACACACCCATTATAAAGCCTGAAAATTTGCTGAAAACCACAAGTTGCTTAAAGCTAAATTGTGGAAAAACTGTAAAAGATATCAAAAAACTGAGTACAACTGTAATAGTCGACAAGTGAATGAACATTTTCAAGCAAAAATGAGGGCTCTAGGTGAAAGTACGCTGAAGTTATAAGGCTCAGAAGATGGAGGAGGAAAAGGTAGAATTTTAAGATTTCCCCATTCATTTCTAATGGTACAAATTTTGGCACAAAAAGTTAAAAAAACCAAAAAGTATAAAGGGTAGAAAAAAGAAAAATACATCCGCACATGTCCTGAAGGAGTGGAATAGTTTAAAGTTTGAACGGTTGAAATCGGACAAAGTTTGAAGGAGGAGAAGCGGTCCAAAAAAGGTACGGAAGAATAATAAGATTAAAGAAACAGGAGAATAACAATAAGTGGAAATGCTTAATCAGCATTTCCACTTAATAATGATAATAATCATAATAAAGAAATAGGAGAATAACAATAAGTGGATATGCTTAATCAGCATTTCCACTTAATTATAATAATAACTAGAAAAATTGCATTTCCTTGCAGAAAATGCGTGGAAATGCTGAGTGCTGAAAGCTGAAAAAGCAATGCTAAACTGCTAATAAAACATGGAGAAAGGTATCAATGTTAAAGCTGTTGAAGGGGTGAGAAAGAAATGTAAGTTGGATAATTGATTAATTGGTTGAAGGACAAATAGTATGAATATGCTCTATAAAAGAAAATTCTATTCATGCTGAAAGAGGCTAGAAAAATGTCTAAAATTGCACAAAGTTTGAATGAAGAAGGAAATTGCCTTAAAAGGCAGGAAGGTGAGAAGTGGCATAAGTTTAAGTTTTTAAGTATAAGAAAGGTTTGAATCAGTTTGAATCAGTTCAAATTAGTTTGAAAAATTAAATGATAAATCATCACTGAGTGACTTTAAAATGTGAAAAATCTAAATGAATAAAAATCCTAAATACACCCCATAATGTCCTCAATGAGCTTTCATTTTAAAGCCCTGAATGGTTTCTGTAGGTCAAAGGTCATGTGAGGAGATAGGGGCTTAGGTTTTTTCAAGCACTCTAGTAAAGGGTTTTAAGTGTCACCCCAAGTGCTATGTGTTCTGAGCCTGGCTTCATTTGTCTCATATGGCCATTAGAAGCAGCTTTCCAGTCAGCTGTGTGTCTCCAGGTGCACAAATTGGTTGCCATGGGGACCTTGGATGAATAACTATAGCAGGAGAAAGAAGGCTTGAAGCTAAGGAAACAGGACTCCAAGTAGGCCCTGACGCTCATCCTCTGTATAAATTCATAAGGAGCTTGTGAGAACACAAGATTTTGCTGAACACATTAATACAATTTATTATCACAATCCTCAAAACACCCCATAATATCTTCAATGAGCTGAATTTTTCAAGCCCAGAATGGTTTCTGTAGCTCAAAGTTTGTGGGTGGAGATAGGTGATGAAGCAGACACATATTACCTGTGTGTACAAGCAGGTGAACTGCCAGGTAGACCTGACAATGCAAATAGTACAAGAATGTGTGTGTGTGTGTGTGTGTGTGTGTGTGTGTGTGTGTGTGTGTGTGTGTGTGTGTGTGTGTGTGTGTCGTTAATGACTGCATCCTAAACAGCTGTGAGATCAAAGCATTAACTAACCTATTGTTTGAATGGAGAAGCTGCCGAACTGCAGTGAATTTAGGGTTCTGAACTTCTTCACATAGCACGATTTCCTTAAATCCCAGAATGAAAATAAGAACATCGTACGAATCCTCCATCCTTTATGAACACAATGATCTGTTTTTCATGTCTGTACTCCGAAAAATGTGGCCACAACAGCGAGTTAAAAAAGTCTGAGCCTGAGTGACGATAAGGATTTTCTTGGAGAAAAAATACATTAGGGCCAATGGGGAGAGATTTGCGCCTATTTGGACAGTTGGTCACCTGCTGGCCAAGGGGTAGGATTTAATGATTTGAAACCTCTTTTGTGAGAAGCAGGACACATATACCTCCATTTTGATGTATTTTTTATGGCTGTGGAGTGAGATTTGTGGGCGTGGGAGCGATATATTCGAGCGAGGTTCTGTCGATCAGAGACGAGGTCTGCACTCTAGCTTTTCAAATCATCACTCTAGCCTCTCCAATACACCCCCATTATAAAGCCTGAAATTTGCTGAAAACCATAAGTTGCATAAAGCTAAATTGTGGAAAAACTGTAAAAGATAGCAAAAAAAAGTTAATACAACATCAATAGTCGACAAGACAATGAACATTTTAAAGCAAAAATTAGGTCTCTAGGTGAAAGTATGCTGAAGTTATAAGGCATAGAAAGTGGACGAATAACAGGAAGAATTGGAACATTTCCCCATTCATTTCTATGGGAAAAAAAGTTTGGCACAAAAAGTGAAAAATAATAAAAAGTACAAAGGACAGAAAGGAAAAAAATACAAGCACACATGTCCTGATGGAGTGGAATAGTTTAAAGTTTGAACGGTTGAAATCGGACAAAGTTTGAAGGAGGAGAAGCGGTCCAAAGAAACGTATGGGGAGAGTGTTAAGTATAATACTAGAAAAATTGCATTTCCTTGCAGAAAATGCGTGGAAATGCTGAGTGCTGAAAGCTGAAAAAGCAATGCTAAACTGCTAATAAAACATGGAGAAAGGTATAAATGTTAAAGCTGTTGAAGGGGTGAAAAAGAAATATAAGTTGGATAATAGTTTAATTGGTTGAAGGACAAATAGTATGAATATGCTCTATAAAAGGAAATTTTATTCATGCTGAAAGAGGCTAGAAAAATGTCTAAAATTGCACAAAGTTTGAATGAAGAAGGAAACTGCCTTTAAAGGCAGGAAGGTGAGAAGTGGCATAAGTTTAAGTTGTAGTACTAGAAGAAGTATGATAAGAAGTCAAGTCGTGATACTAGTAGTCATGTCAGCAGTAGAAGTAGATTGAGGATAAAAGAAGTATAAGTCAAAGTAGTAGACAAAGTAGAAATAGTAGCAATAGCAGCAGTAGAGAAAGTAGAAATAGGAGCAATAGCAGTTGAAGTAGAGGGGAAAGTACTAGTTTAATTGACATTAGCAGTAGTTGTAGTACTAGAGGTAGGATTTTGTTTGAAGGACGGAATAATGCATAAATATTAAAACTAACTTAAAAAAGGGAAAATTTAAATAATTAAATTTCACTAGTATCAGAAAGTTTTTTAGTATTAGAAAGGTTTGAATCATTTTGAATGAGTTTAAATTAGTTTGAAAAATTAAATGATAAATCATCACTGAGTGACTTTAAAATGTGAAAAATTTAAATGAATATAAATCCTAAATACACCCCATAATGTCCTCAATGAGCTTAAATTTTAAAGCCCTGAATGGTTTCTGTAGGTCAAAGGTCATGTGAGGAGATAGGGGCTGAAGGTTTTTCAAGCGCTCTAGGAAAGGGTTTTAAGTGTCATCCCCAGTGCTATGTGTACTAAGCCTGGCTTCATGTGTCTCATATGGCCATTAGAAGCAGCTTTCCAGTCAGCTGTGTGTCTCCAGGTGCACAAATTGGTTGCCATGGGGACCTTGGATGCATAACTATAGCAGGAGAAAGAAGGCTTGAAGCTAAGGAAACAGGACTCCAAGTAGGCCCTGACGCTCACCCTCTGTATATATTCATAAGGAGCTTGTGAGAACACAAGACTCTGCTGAACACATTAATACAATTTATTATCACAATCCTCAAAACACCCCATAATATCTTCAATGAGCTGAATTTTTGAAGCCCAGAATGGTTTCTGTAGCTCAAAGTTTGTGGGTGGAGATAGGTGGCGAAGCAGACACATATTAACTGTGTGTACAAGCAGCTGAACTGCAAGGTAGACTTCATAAAGCAACAAGTACAAGAATGTGTGTGCGTGTGTGTGTGTGTGTGTCGTTAATGACTTCATCCTAAACAGCTGTGAGATCAAAGGCAAATCACTGACCTACTGTTTGAATGACAAGCAGCTGAACTGCAGAGGTTTTAGAGGCTCTAAACTTCTTCACATAGCGTGATTTCCTTAAGTCCCAGAATGAAAATAAGAACATCGTACGAATCCTCCGCCCTTCATGAACACAATGATGTCTTTTTCATGTCTGTACTCCGAAAAATGTGGCCACAACAGTGAGTTAAAAAAGTCTGAGCCTGAGTGGGGATAAGGATTTTCTTGGAGAAGAAATACATTAGGTCTAATGGGGAGAGATTTCCGCCTATTTGGACAGTTGGTCACCTGCTGGCCAAGGGGTAGGATTTAATGATTTGAAACCTCTTTTGTGAGAAGCAGGACACATATACCTCCATTTTGATGTATTATTTGTGTCAGTGGAGTGAGATTTGTGGGCGTGGGAGCGATATATTCGAGCGAGGTTCTGTCGATCAGAGACGAGGTCTGCACTCTAGCTTTTCAAATCATCACTCTAGCCTCTCCAATACACCCCTATTATAAAGCCTGAAATTTGCTGAAAACCACGAGGTGCTTAAAGCTAAATTGTGGGAAAACTGTAGAAGATAGCACAAAAAAGTTAATACAACATCAATAGTCGACAATACAATGAACATTTTAAAGCAAAAATGAGACATCTAGGTGAAAGTATGCTGAAGTTATAAGGCTTAGAAGGTGGAAGAAGAAAAAGAAGAATTGGAAGATTTCTCCATTCATTTCTATGGGAAAAAAAGTTTGAGACAAAAAGTGAAAAATAATAAAAAGTATAAAGGGTAGAAAAGAGAAAAGTAATAGCCATCATGTCCTGATGGAGCGGAATAGTTTAAAGTTTGAACGGTTGAAATCGGACAAAGTTTGAAGGAGGAGAAGCGGTCCAAAGAAACGTATGGGGAGAGTGTTAAGTATAATACTAGAAAAATTGCATTTCCTTGCAGAAAATGCGTGGAAATGCTGAGTGCTGAAAGCTGAAAAAGCAATGCTAAACTGCTAATAAAACATGGAGAAAGGTATAAATGTTAAAGCTGTTGAAGGGGTGAACAGAAATATAAGTTGGATAATTGATTAATTGGTTGAAGGACAAATAGTATGAATATGCTCTATAAAAGGAAATTTTATTCATGCTGAAAGAGGCTAGAAAAATGTCGAAAATTGCACAAAGTTTGAATGAAGAAGGAAATTGCCTTAAAAGGCAGGAAGGTGAGAAGTGGCATAAGTTTAAATTGTAGTACTAGAAGTAGTATGATAAGAAGTCAAGTCGTGATACTAGTAGTCATGTCAGCAGTAGAAGTAGATTGAGAATAAAAGAAGTATAAGTCAAAGTAGTAAAGAAAGTAGAAATAGGAGCAATAGCAGTTGAAGTAGAGGGGAAAGTTCTAGTTTAATTGACATTAGCAGTATTTGTCGTACTTGAGGTAGGATTTTGTTTGAATGATGGAGTAATGCATAGATATTAAAACTAATTTAAAACAGGGAAATTTTAAATTATCAAAAGTCCTCAAGTATCAGAAAGTTTTGAAGTATTAGAAAGGTTTGAATCAGTTTGAATGAGTTTAAATTAGTTAGAAAAATTAAATGATAAATCATCACTGACTGACTTTTAAAATGTGAAAAATTTAAATGAATAACAATCCTAAATACACCCAATAATGTCCTCAATGAGCTTAAATTTCAAAGCCCTGAATGGTTTCTGTAGGTCAAAGGTCATGTGAGGAGATAGGGGCTGAAGTTTTTTCCAACGCTCTAGGAAAAGTTTTTAAGTGTCATCCCAATTGCTATGTGTACTGAGCCTGGCTTCATGTGTCTCATATGGCCACTAGAAGCAGCTTTCCAGTCAGCTGTGTGTCTCCAGGTGCACAAATTGGTTGCCATGGGGACCTGGGATGCATAACTATAGCAGGAGAAAGAAGGCTTGAAGCTAAAGAAACAGGACTCCAAGTAGGCCCTGACGCTCACCCTCTGTATATATTCATAAGGAGCTTGTGAGAACACAAGACTCTGCTGAACACATTAATACAATTAATTATCACAATCCTCAAAACACCCCATAATATCTTCAATGAGCTGAATTTTTGAAGCCCAGAATGGTTTCTGTAGCTCAAAGTTTGTGGGTGGAGATAGGTGGTGAAGCAGACACATATTAACTGTGTGTACAAGCAGCTGAACTGCAAGGTGGACCTCAAAATGCAACAAGTACAAGAATGTGTGTGCGTGTGCGTGTGTGTCTCGTTAATGACTGCATCCTAAACAGCTGTGAGATCAAAGGCAAATCACTAACCTACTGTTTGACTGAGAGGTGCTGAACTGCAGTGAATTTCAGCCTGTGAACTTCTTCACATAGCGTGATTTCCTTAAGTCCCAGAATGAAAATAAGAACATCGTACGAATCCTCCGTCCTTCATGAACACAATGATGTGTTTTTCATGTCTGTACTTCGAAAAATGTGGCCACAACAGCGAGTTAAAAAAGTCTGAGCCTGAGTGGGGATAAGGATTTTCTTGGAGAAGAAATACATTAGGTCTAATGGGGAGAGATTTCCGCCTATTTGGACAGTTGGTCACCTGCTGGCCAAGGGGTAGGATTTAATGATTTGAAACCTCTTTTGTGAGAAGCAGGACACATATACCTCCATTTTGATGTATTTTTTATGGCTGTGGAGTGAGATTTGTGGGCGTGGGAGCGATATATTTGAGCGAGGTTCTGTCGATCAGAGACGAGGTCTGCACTCTAGCTTTTCAAATCATCACTCTAGCCTCTCCAATACACCCCTATTATAAAGCCTGAAATTTGCTGAAAACCACAAGTTGCATAAAGCTAAATTGTGGAAAAACTGTAAAAGATAGCACAAAGAGGTTAATACAACATCAATAGTCGACAAGACAATGAACATTTTAAAGCAAAAATGAGGTCTCTAGGTGAAAGTATGCTGAATTTATAAGGTCTAGAAGGTGGACGAATAACAGGAAGAATTGAAAGATTTCCCCATTCATTTCTATGGGGAAAAAAGTTTGGCACAAAAAGTGAAAAATAATAAAAAGTATAAAGGGTAGAAAAGAGAAAAGTAATAGCCATCATGTCCTGATGGAGCGGAATAGTTTAAAGTTTGAACGGTTGAAATCGGACAAAGTTTGAAGGAGGAGAAGCGGTCCAAAGAAACGTATGGGGAGAGTGTTAAGTATAATACTAGAAAAATTGCATTTCCTTGCAGAAAATGCGTGGAAATGCTGAGTGCTGAAAGCTGAAAAAGCAATGCTAAACTGCTAATAAAACATGGAGAAATGTATAAATGTTAAAGCTGTTGAAGGGGTGTGAAAGAAATGTAAGTTGGATAATTGATTAATTGGTTGAAGGACAAATAGTATGAATATGCTCTATAAAAAGAAATTTTATTCATACTGAAAGAGGCTAGAAAAATGTCTAAAATTGCACAAAGTTTGAATGAAGAAGGAAATTGCCTTAAAAGGCAGGAAGGTGGGAAGTGGCATAAGTTTAATTTTTTAAGTATTAGAAAGGTTTGAATCAGTTTGAATCAGTTCAAATTAGTTTGAAAAATTAAATGATAAATCATCACTGAGTGACTTTAAAATGTGAAAAATCTAAATGTATATAAATCCTAAATACACCCCATAATGTCCTCAATGAGCTCAAATTTTAAAGCCCTGAATGGTTTCTGTAGGTCAAAGGTCATGTGAGGAGATAGGGGCTGAAGTTTTTTCAAGCGCTGTAGTAAAGGGTTTTAAGTGTCATCCCCAGTGCTATGTGTGCTGAGTCTGGCTTCATGTGTCTCATATGGCCATTAGAAGCAGCTTTCCAGTCAGCTGTGTGTCTCCAGGTGCACTAATTGGTTGCCATGGGGACCTTGGATGCATAACTATAGCAGGAGAAAGAAGGCTTGAAGCTAAGGAAACAGGACTCCAAGTAGGCCCTGACGCTCATCCTCTGTATATATTCATGATAAGGAGCTTGTGAGAACACAAGACTCTGCTAAACACATTAATACAATTTATTATCACAATCCTCAAAACACCCCATAATATCTTCAATGAGCTGAATTTTAGAAGCCCAGAATGGTTTCTGTAGCTCAAAGTTTGTGGGTGGAGATAGGTGGCGAAGCAGACACATATTAACTGTGTGTACAAGCAGCTGAACTGCAAGGTAGACCTCATAAAGCAACAAGTACAAGAAGTGTGTGTGTGTGTGTGTGTGTGTGTGTGTGTCTCGTTAATGACTGCATCCTAAACAGCTGTGAGATCAAAGGCAAATCACTGACCTACTGTTTGAATGAGAAGCAGCTGAACTGCAGAGGATTTAGAGGCTCTAAACTTCTTCACATAGCGTGATTTCCTTAAGTCACAGAATGAAAATAAGAACATCGTACGAATCCTCCGCCCTTCATGAACACAATGAAGTATTTTTCATGTCTGTACTCCGACAGATGTGGCCACAACAGCGAGTTAAAAAAGTCTGAGCCTGAGCGATGATCCGGATTTTCTTGGAGAAAATTAACATTACGGTCAATGGGAGAGATTTCCGCCTTCTTTGGACAGTTGGTCACCTGCTGGCCAAGGGGTAGGATTTAATGATTTGAAACCTCTTTTGTGAGAAGCAGGACACATATACCTCCATTTTGATGTATTATTTGTGTCAGTGGAGTGAGATTTGTGGGCGTGGGAGCGATATATTCGAGCGAGGTTCTGTCGATCAGAGACGAGGTCTGCACTCTAGCTGATGACATCATCACTCTAAACTCTCCAATACACACCCATTATAAAGCTTGAAATTTGCTGAAAACCACAAGTTGCTTAAAGCTAAATTGTGGAAAAACTGTAAGAGATATCAAAAAACTGAGTACAACTGTAATAGTCGACAAGTGAATGAACATTTTAAAGCAAAAATGAGGTCTCTAGGTGAAAGTATGCTGAAGTTATAAGGTCTAGAAGGTGGAAGAATAAAAGGAAGAATTGGAAGATTTCCCCATTGACTTCAATGTTAAAATTTTTGCACAAAAAGTTAAAAAAAACAAAAAGTATAAATGTTAGAAAAGTGAAAAGTAATAGCAAACGTGTCCTGAAGGAGTGGAATAGTTTAAAGTTTGAACGGTTGAAATCGGACAAAGTTTGAAGGAGGAGAAAGCGGACGAAAAACGGCGGAAGAATAATAATAATAATAATAAAGAAACGGGAGAATAACAATAAGTGGAAATGCCTATCAGCATTTCCACTTAACTAGAAAAATTGCATTTCCTTGCAGAAAATGCGTGGAAATGCTGAGTGCTGAAAGCTGAAAAAGCAATGCTAAACTGCTAATAAAACATGGAGAAAGGTATAAATGTTAAAGCTGTTGAAGGGGTGAAAAAGAAATATAAGTTGGATAATTGTTTAATTGGTTGAAGGACAAATAGTATGAATATGCTCTATAAAAGGAAATTTTATTCATGCTGAAAGAGGCTAGAAAAATGTCTCAAATTGCACAAAGTTTGAATGAAGAAGGAAATTGCCTTAAAAGGCAGGAAGGTGAGAGGTGGCATAAGTTTAAGTTGTAGTACTAGAAGTAGTATGATAAGAGGTCAAGTCGTGATACTAGTAGTCATGTCAGCAGTAGAAGTAGTTTGAGAATAAAAGAAGTATAAGTCAAAGTAGAGAAAGTAGAAATAGGAGCAATAGCAGTTGAAGTAGAGGGGAAAGTACTAGTTTAATTGACATTAGCAGTAGTTCTAGTACTTGAGGTATGATTTTGTTTGAAGGATGGAATAATGCATAAATATTAAAACTAATTTAAAACAGGGAAATTTTAAATTATCAAAAGTCCTCAAGTATCAGAAAGTTTTGAAGTATTAGAAAGGTTTGAATCAGTTTGAATGAGTTTAAATTAGTTTGAAAAATTAAATGATAAATCATCACTGACTGACTTTTAAAATGTGAAAAATTTAAATGAATAACAATCCTAAATACACCCAATAATGTCCTCAATGAGCTTAAATTTCAAAGCCCTGAATGGTTTCTGTAGGTCAAAGGTCATGTGAGGAGATAGGGGCTGAAGTTTTTTCCAACGCTCTAGGAAAGGGTTTTAAGTGTCATCCCAATTGCTATGTGTACTGAGCCTGGCTTCATGTGTCTCATATGGCCACTAGAAGCAGCTTTCCAGTCAGCTGTGTGTCTCCAGGTGCACAAATTGGTTGCCATGGGGACCTTGGATGCATAACTATAGCAGGAGAAAGAAGGCCTTGAAGCTAAAGAAACAGGACTCCAAGTAGGCCCTGACGCTCACCCTCTGTATATATTCATAAGGAGCTTGTGAGAACACAAGACTCTGCTGAACACATTAATACAATTTATTATCACAATCCTCAAAACACCCCATAATATCTTCAATGAGCTGAATTTTTGAAGCCCAGAATGGTTTCTGTAGCTCAAAGTTTGTGGGTGGAGATAGGTGGTGAAGCAGACACATATTAACTGTGTGTACAAGCAGCTGAACTGCAAGGTGGACCTCAAAAAGCAACAAGTACAAGAATGTGTGTGCGTGTGTGTGTGTGTGTGTGTCGTTAATGACTGCATCCTAAACAGCTGTGAGATCAAAGGCAAATCACTAACCTACTGTTTGACTGAGAGGTGCTGAACTGCAGTGAATTTCAGCCTGTGAACTTCTTCACATAGCGTGATTTCCTTAAGTCCCAGAATGAAAATAAGAACATCGTACGAATCCTCCGTCCTTCATGAACACAATGATGTGTTTTTCATGTCTGTACTTCGAAAAATGAGGCCACAACAGCGAGTTAAAAAAGTCTGAGCCTGAGCGATGATCCGGATTTTCTTGGAGAAAAATAACATTATGGTCAATGGGAGAGATTTCCGCCTTTTTTGGACAGTTGGTCACCTGCTGGCCAAGGGGTACGATTTAATGATTTGAAACCTCTTTTGTGAGAAGCAGGACACATATACCTCCATTTTGATGTATTATTTGTGTCAGTGGAGTGAGATTTGTGGGCGTGGGAGCGATATATTCGAGCGAGGTTCTGTCGATCAGAGACGAGGTCTGCACTCTAGCTGATGACATCATCACTCTAAACTCTCCAATACACACCCATTATAAAGCTTGAAATTTGCTGAAAACCACAAGTTGCTTAAAGCTAAATTGTGGAAAAACTGTAAAAGATATCAAAAAACTGAGTACAACTTATAATAGTCGACAAGTGAATGAACATTTTAAAGCAAAAATGAGGTCTCTAGGTGAAAGTATGCTGAAGTTATAAGGTCTAGAAGGTGGAAGAGGAAAAGGTAGATTTTAAGATTTCCCCATTCATTTTTCAATGGTAAAATTTTTGCACAAAAAGTTAAAAAAAACAAAAAGTATAAAGGGTAGAAAGGAAAAAAATAGACGCCATAATGTCCTGAATGAGTGGAATAGTTTAAAGTTTGAACGGTTGAAATCGGACAAAGTTTGAAGGAGGAGAAGCGGTCCAAAAATCGGCGGAAGAATAATAATAAGTTTAATAAAGAAACAGGAGAATAACAATAAGTGGAAATGCTTAATCAGCATTTCCACTTAACTAGAAAAATTGCATTTCCTTGCAGAAAATGCGTGGAAATGCTGAGTGCTGAAAGCTGAAAAAGCAATGCTAAACTGCTAATAAAACATGGAGAAATGTATAAATGTTAAAGGTGTTGAAGGGGTGTGAAAGAAATGTAAGTTGGATAATTGATTAATTGGTTGAAGGACAAATAGTATGAATATGCTCTATAAAAAGAAATTTTATTCATGCTGAAAGAGGCTAGAAAAATGTCGAAAATTGCACAAAGTTTGAATGAAGAAGGAAATTGCCTTAAAAGGCAGGAAGGTGGGAAGTGGCATAAGTTTAATTTTTTAAGTATTAGAAAGGTTTGAATCAGTTCAAAGTAGTTTGAAAAATTAAATGATAGATCATCACTGAGTAACTTTAAAATGTGAAAAATCTAAATGTATATAAATCCTAAATACACCCCATAATGTCCTCAATGAGCTCAAATTTTAAAGCCCTGAATGGTTTCTGTAGGTCAAAGGTCATGTGAGGAGATAGGGGCTGAAGTTTTTTCAAGCGCTCTAGTAAAGGGTTTTAAGTGTCATCCCCAGTGCTATGTGTGCTGAGCCTGGCTTCATGTGTCTCATATGGCCATTAGAAGCAGCTTTCCAGTCAGCTGTGTGTCTCCAGGTGCACTAATTGGTTGCCATGGGGACCTTGGATGCATAACTATAGCAGGAGAAAGAAGGCTTGAAGCTAAGGAAACAGGACTCCAAGTAGGCCCTGACGCTCATCCTCTGTATCTATTCCTGATAAGGAGCTTGTGAGAACACAAGACTCTGCTAAACACATTAATACAATTTATTATAACAATCCTCAAAACACCCCATAATATCTTCAATGAGCTGAATTTTAGAAGCCCAGAATGGTTTCTGTAGCTCAAAGTTTGTGGGTGGAGATAGGTGGCGAAGCAGACACATATTAACTGTGTGTACAAGCAGCTGAACTGCAAGGTAGACCTCATAAAGCAACAAGTACAAGAATGTGTGTGTGTGTGTGTGTGTGTCTCGTTAATGACTGCATCCTAAACAGCTGTGAGATCAAAGGCAAATCACTGACCTACTGTTTGAATGAGAAGCAGCTGAACTGCAGAGGATTTAGAGGCTCTAAACTTCTTCACATAGCGTGATTTCCTTAAGTCACAGAATGAAAATAAGAACATCGTACGAATCCTCCGCCCTTCATGAACACAATGAAGTATTTTTCATGTCTGTACTCCGACAAATGTGGCCACAACAGCGAGTTAAAAAAGTCTGAGCCTGAGCGATGATCTGGATTTTCTTGGAGAAAAATAACATTACGGTCAATGGGAGAGATTTCCGCCTTCTTTGGACAGTTGGTCACCTGCTGGCCAAGGGGTACGATTTAATGATTTGAAACCTCTTTTGTGAGAAGCAGGACACGTATACCTCCATTTTGATGTATTTTTTATGGGTGTGGAGTGAGATTTGTGGGTGTGGGAACGATATATTCGAGCGAGGTTCTGTCGATCAGAGACGAGGTCTGCACTCTAGCTGATGACATCATCACTCTAAACTCTCCAATACACACCCATTATAAAGCTTGAAATTTGCTGAAAACCACAAGTTGCTTAAAGCTAAATTGTGGAAAAACTGTAAGAGATATCAAAAAACTGAGTACAACTGTAATAGTCGACAAGTGAATGAACATTTTAAAGCAAAAATGAGGTCTCTAGGTGAAAGTATGCTGAAGTTATAAGGTCTAGAAGGTGGAAGAATAAAAGGAAGAATTGGAAGATTTCCCCATTGACTTCAATGTTAAAATTTTTGCACAAAAAGTTAAAAAAATCAAAAAGTAGAAAGGGTAGAAAAAAGAAAAATAGACGCAATAATGTCCTGAATGAGTGGAATAGTTTAAAGTTTGAACGGTTGAAATCGGACAAAGTTTGAAGGAGGAGAAGCGCGGCAAAAAACGGCGGAAGAATAATAATAAGTTTAATAAAGAACAGAATAACAACTAGAAAAATTGCATTTCCTTGCAGAAAATGCGTGGAAATGCTGAGTGCTGAAAGCTGAAAAAGCAATGCTAAACTGCTAATAAAACATGGAGAATTGTATAAATGTTAAAGCTGTTGAAGGGGTGTGAAAGAAATGTAAGTTGGATAATTGATTAATTGGTTGAAGGACAAATAGTATGAATATGCTCTATAAAAAGAAATTTTATTCATGCTGAAAGAGGCTAGAAAAATGTCTAAAATTGCACAAAGTTTGAATGAAGAAGGAAATTGCCTTAAAAGGCAGGAAGGTGAGAAGTGGCATAAGTTTAATTTTTTGAGTATTAGAATGGTTTGAATCAGTTTGAATCAGTTCAAATTAGTTTGAAAAATTAAATGATAAATCATCACTGAGTGACTTTAAAATGTGAAAAATCTAAATGTATATAAATCCTAAATACACCCCATAATGTCCTCAATGAGCTCAAATTTTAAAGCCCTGAATGGTTTCTGTAGGTCAAAGGTCATGTGAGGAGATAGGGGCTGAAGTTTTTTCAAGCGCTCTAGGAAAGGGTTTTAAGTGTCATCCCCAGTGCTATGTGTGCTGAGTCTGGCTTCATGTGTCTCATATGGCCATTAGAAGCAGCTTTCCAGTCAGCTGTGTGTCTCCAGGTGCACTAATTGGTTGCCATGGGGACCTTGGATGCATAACTATAGCAGGAGAAAGAAGGCTTGAAGCTAAGGAAACAGGACTCCAAGTAGGCCCTGACGCTCATCCTCTGTATCTATTCTGATAAGGAGCTTGTGAGAACACAAGACTCTGCTAAACACATTTATACAATTTATTATCACAATCCTCGAAACACCCCATAATATCTTCAATGAGCTGAATTTTAGAAGCCCAGAATGGTTTCTGTAGCTCAAAGTTTGTGGGTGGAGATAGGTGGCGAAGCAGACACATATTAACTGTGTGTACAAGCAGCTGAACTGCAAGGTAGACCTCATAAAGCAACAAGTACAAGAATGTGTGTGTGTGTGTGTGTGTGTGTGTGTGTGTGTGTCTCGTTAATGACTGCATCCTAAACAGCTGTGAGATCAAAGGCAAATCACTGACCTACTGTTTGAATGAGAAGCAGCTGAACTGCAGAGGATTTAGAGGCTCTAAACTTCTTCACATAGCGTGATTTCCTTAAGTCACAGAATGAAAATAAGAACATCGTACGAATCCTCCGCCCTTCATGAACACAATGATGTGTTTTTCATGTCTGTACTCCGACAAATGTGGCCACAACAGCGAGTTAAAAAAGTCTGAGCCTGAGCGATGATCCGGATTTTCTTGGAGAAAAATAACATTACGGTCAATGGGAGAGATTTCCGCCTTCTTTGGACAGTTGGTCACCTGCTGGCCAAGGGGTACGATTTAATGATTTGAAACCTCTTTTGTGAGAAGCAGGACACATATACCTCCATTTTGATGTATTATTTATGGCTCTGGAGTGAGATTTGTGGGCGTGGGAGCGATATATTCGAGCGAGGTTCTGTCGATCAGAGACGAGGTCTGCACTCTAGCTGATGACATCATCACTCTAAACTCTCCAATACACACCCATTATAAAGCTTGAAATTTGCTGAAAACCACAAGTTGCTTAAAGCTAAATTGTGGAAAAACTGTAAGAGATATAAAAAAACTGAGTACAACTGTAATAGTCGACAAGTGAATGAACATTTTAAAGCAAAAATGAGGTCTCTAGGTGAAAGTATGCTGAAGTTATAAGGTCTAGAAGGTGGAAGATAAAAAGGAAGAAGTGGAAGATTTCCCCATTGACTTCAATGTTAAAATTTTTGCACAAAAAGTTAAAAAAATCAAAAAGTATAAAGGGTAGAAAATAGAAAAATAGACGCAATAATGTCCTGAAGGAGTGGAATAGTTTAAAGTTTGAACGGTTGAAATCGGACAAAGTTTGAAGGAGGAGAAGCGCGGCAAAAAACGGCGGAAGAATAATAATAAGTTTAATAAAGAACAGAATAACAATAAGTGGAAATGCTTGATCAGCATTTCCACTTAACTAGAAAAATTGCATTTCCTTGCAGAAAATGCGTGGAAATGCTGAGTGCTGAAAGCTGAAAAAGCAATGCTAAACTGCTAATAAAACATGGAGAAAGGTATAAATGTTAAAGCTGTTGAAGGGGTGAACAGAAATATAAGTTGGATAATTGATTAATTGGTTGAAGGACAAATAGTATGAATATGCTCTATAAAAGGAAATTTTATTCATGCTGAAAGAGGCTAGAAAAATGTCTAAAATTGCACAAAGTTTGAATGAAGAAGGAAATTGCCTTAAAAGGCAGGAAGGTGAGAAGTGGCATAAGTTTAAATTGTAGTACTAGAAGTAGTATGATAAGAAGTCAAGTCGTGATACTAGTAGTCATGTCAGCAGTAGAAGTAGATTGAGAATAAAAGAAGTATAAGTCAAAGTAGTAAAGAAAGTAGAAATAGTAGCAATAGCAGCAGTAGAGAAAGTAGAAATAGGAGCAATAGCAGTTGAAGTAGAGGGGAAAGTACTAGTTTAATTGACATAAGTAGTTGTAGTACTAGAGGTAGGATTTTGTTTGAAGGACGGATTAATGCATAAATATTAAAACTAATATAAAACAGGGAACATTTTATTAATTAAAAATCCTCAAGTATCAGACAGTTTTTAAGTATTAGAAAGGTTTGAATCATTTTGAATGAGTTTAAATTAGTTTGAAAAATTAAATGATGAATCATCACTGAGTGACTTATAAAAGTGAAAAATTTAAATGAATATAAATCCTGAATACACCCCATAATGTCCTCAATGAGCTTAAATTTTAAAGCCCTGAATGGTTTCTGTAGGTCAAAGGTCATGTGAGGAGATAGGGGCTGAAGGTTTTTCAAGCGCTCTATATATGTATAAGGAGCTTGTGAGAACACAAGACTCTGCTAAACACATTAATACAATTTATTATCACAATCCTCAAAACACCCCATAATATCTTCAATGAGCTGAATTTTTGAAGCCCAGAATGGTTTCTGTAGCTCAAAGTTTGTGGGTGGAGATAGGTGGTGAAGCAGACACAAATTAACTGTGTGTACAAGCAGCTGAACTGCAAGGTAGACCTGACAAAGCAACAAGTACAAGAATGTGTGTGTGTGTGTGTGTGTGTGTTTGTCTCGTTAATGACTGCATCCTAAACAGCTGTGACATCAAAGCCATGACCTATTGACCTATTGTTTGAATGGAGAAGCTGCTGAACTGCATTGAATTTAGGGTTCTGAACTTCTTCACATAGCGTGATTTCCTTAAGGCCCAGAATGAAAATAAGAACATCGTACGAATCCTCCGTCCTTCATGAACACAATGATGTGTTTTTCATGTCTGTACTTCGAAAAATGAGGCCACAACAGCGAGTTAAAAATGTCTGAGCCTGAGCGATGATCCGGATTTTCTTGGAGAAAAATAACATTATGGTCAATGGGAGAGATATCCGCCTTCCTTGGACAGTTGGTCACCTGCTGGCCAAGGGGTACGATTTAATGATTTGAAACCCCTTTTGTGAGAAGCAGGACACATATACCTGCATTTTGATGTATTTTTTATGGCTGTGGAGTGAGATTTGTGGGCGTGGGAGCGATATATTCGAGCGAGGTTCTGTCGATCAGAGACGAGGTCTGCACTCTAGCTTTTCAAATCCTCACTCTAAACTCTCCAATACACACCCATTATAAAGCCTGAAAATTTGCTGAAAACCACAAGTTGCTTAAAGCTAAATTGTGGAAAAACTGTAAAAGATAGCACAAAAAGGTTATACAATATCAATAGTCGACAAGACAATGAACATTTTAAAGCAAAAATGAGGTCTCTAGGTGAAAGTATGCTGAAGTTATAAGGCTTAGAAGGTGGACGAATAACAGGAAGAATTGGAAGATTTCCCCATTCATTTCTATGGGAAAAAAAGTTTGGCACAAAAAGTGAAAAATAATAAAAAGTATAAAGGGTAGAAAAAAGAAAAGTAATAGCCATCATGTCCTGAAGGAGTGGAATCGTTTAAAGTTTGAACGGTTGAAATCGGACAAAGTTTGAAGGAGGAGAAGCGGTCCAAAGAAACGTATGGGGAGAGTGTTAAGTACAATACTAGAAAAATTGCATTTCCTTGCAGAAAATGCGTGGAAATGCTGAGTGCTGAAAGCTGTAAAAGCAATGCTAAACTGCTAATAAAACATGGAGAAAGGTATAAATGTTAAAGCTGTTGAAGGGGTGAAAAAGAAATATAAGTTGGATAATTGTTTAATTGGTTGAAGGACAAATAGTATGAATATGCTCTATAAAAGGAAATTTTATTCATGCTGAAAGAGGCTAGAAAAATGTCTAAAATTGCACAAAGTTTGAATGAAGAAGGAAATTGCCTTTAAAGGCAGGAAGGTGAGAAGTGGCATAAGTTTAAGTTGTAGTACTAGAAGTAGTATGATAAGTAGTCGAGTAGTGATATTAGTAGTCATGTCAGCAGTAGAAGTAGTTTGAGAAAAAAGTATAAGTCAAAGTAGTAGAGAAAGTAGAAATAGTAGCAATAGCAGCAGTAGAGAAAGTAGAAATCGGAGCAAAAGCAGTTGAAGCAGAGGGGAAAGTTCTAGTTTAATTGACATTAGCAGTAGTTGTAGCTCTAGAGGTGGGATTTTTTTTGAAGGATGGAATAATGCATAAATATTAAAACTAATTTAAATCAGGGTAAATTTAAATTATTAAAAAGCCTCAAGTATCAGTAAGATTTTAAGTATCAGAAAGGTATGAATGAGTTTGAATGAGTTTAAATTAGTTTACAAATTAAATAATAAATCAACACTGAGTGACTTTAAAATTTGAAAAATGTAAATGAAGAAAAATCCTGAATACACCCCATAATGTCCCCAATGAGCTTAAATTTTAAAGCCCTGAATGGTTTCTGTAGGTCAAAGGTCATGTGAGGAGATGGGGGCTGAAGTTTTTTCAAGCGCTCTAGGAAAGGGTTTTAAGTGTCATCCCCAGTGCTATGTGTACTGAGCCTGGCTTCATGTGTCTCATATGGCCATTAGAAGCAGCTTTCCAGTCAGCTGTGTGTCTCCAGGTGCACAAATTGGTTGCCATGGGGACCCTGGATGCAGAACTAAAGCAGGAGAAAGAAGGCTTGAAGCTAAGGAAACAGGACTCCAAGTAGGCCCTGACGCTCATCCTCTGTATATATTTATAAGGAGCTTGTGAGAACACAAGACTCTGCTGAACACATTAATACAATTTATTATCACAATCCTCAAAACACCCCATAATATCTTCAATGAGCTGAATTTTTGAAGCCCAGAATGGTTTCTGTAGCTCAAAGTTTGTGGGTGGAGATAGGTGGTGAAGCAGACACATATTATCTGTGTGTACAAGCAGGTGAACTGCAAGGTAGACCTGACAATGCAACAAGTACAAGAATGTGTGTGTGTGTGTGTGTGTGTGTGTCTCATTAATGACTGCATCCCTAACAGCTGTGAGATCAAAGGCAAATCACTGACCTACTGTTTGAATGAGAAGCAGCTGAACAGCAGAGGTTTTGAAGCCTGTGAACTTCTTCACATAGCGTGATTTCCTTAAGTCCCAGAATGAAAATAAGAACATCGTACGAATCCTCCGTCCTTCATGAACACAATGATGTGTTTTTCATGTCTGTACTTCGAAAAATGAGGCCACAACAGCGAGTTAAAAAAGTCTGAGCCTGAGCGATGATCCGGATTTTCCTGGAGAAAAATAACATTATGGTCAATGGGAGAGATTTCCGCCTTCCTTGGACAGTTGGTCACCTGCTGGCCAAGGGGTACGATTTAATGATTTGAAACCTCTTTTGTGAGAAGCAGGACACATATACCTCCATTTTGATGTATTATTTGTGTCAGTGGAGTGAGATTTGTGGGCGTGGGAGCGATATATTCGAGCGACGTTCTGTCGATCAGAGACGAGGTCTGCACTCTAGCTGATGACATCATCACTCTAAACTCTCCAATACACACCCATTATAAAGCTTGAAATTTGCTGAAAACCACAAGTTGCTTAAAGCTAAATTGTGGAAAAACTGTAAGAGATATAAAAAAACTGAGTACAACTTTAATAGTCGACAAGTGAATGAACATTTTAAAGCAAAAATGAGGTCTCTAGGTGAAAGTATGCTGAAGTTATAAGGTCTAGAAGGTGGAAGAATAAAAGGAAGAATTGGAAGATTTCCCCATTGACTTCAATGTTAAAATTTTTGCACAAAAAGTTAAAAAAAACAAAAAGTATAAATGTTAGAAAAGTGAAAAGTAATAGCAAACGTGTCCTGAAGGAGTGGAATAGTTTAAAGTTTGAACGGTTGAAATCGCACAAACTGGGAAGGAGTTGAAAGCGGACGAAAAACGGCGGAAGAATAATAATAATAATAATAATAAAGAAACGGGAGAATAACAATAAGTGGAAATGCCTATCAGCATTTCCACTTAACTAGAAAAATTGCATTTCCTTGCAGAAAATGCGTGGAAATGCTGAGTGCTGAAAGCTGAAAAAACAATGCTAAACTGCTAATAAAACATCGAGAAAGGTATAAATGTTAAAGCTGTTGAAGGGGTGAGAAAGACATGTAAGTTGGATAATTGATTAATTGGTTGAAGGACAAATAGTATGAATATGCCCTATAAAAGGAAATTCTATTCATGCTGAAAGAGGCTAGAAAAATGTCTGAAATTGCACAAAGTTTGAATGAAGAAGGAAATTGCCTTAAAAGGCAGGAAGATGGGAAGTGGCATAAGTTTAATTTTTTAAGTATTAGAAAGGTTTGAATCAGTTTCAATCAGTTCAAATTAGTTTGAAAAATTAAATGATAAATCATCACTGAGTGACTTTAAAATGTGAAAAATCTAAATGTATATAAATCCTAAATACACACCATAATGTCCTCAATGAGCTCAAATTTTAAAGCCCTGAATGGTTTCTGTAGGTCAAAGGTCATGTGAGGAGATAGGGGCTGAAGTTTTTTCAAGCGCTCTAGTAAAGGGTTTTAAGTGTCATCCCCAGTGCTATGTGTGCTGAGCCTGGCTTCATGTGTCTCATATGGCCATTAGAAGCAGCTTTCCAGTCAGCTGTGTGTCTCCAGGTGCACTAATTGGTTGCCATGGGGACCTTGGATGCATAACTATAGCAGGAGAAAGAAGGCTTGAAGCTAAGGAAACAGGACTCCAAGTAGGCCCTGACGCTCATCCTCTGTATCTATTCCTGATAAGGAGCTTGTGAGAACACAAGACTCTGCTAAACACATTAATACAATTTATTATCACAATCCTCAAAACACCCCATAATATCTTCAATGAGCTGAATTTTAGAAGCCCAGAATGGTTTCTGTAGCTCAAAGTTTGTGGGTGGAGATAGGTGGCGAAGCAGACACATATTAACTGTGTGTACAAGCAGCTGAACTGCAAGGTAGACCTCATAAAGCAACAAGTACAAGAATGTGTGTGTGTGTGTGTGTGTGTGTCTCTCGTTAATGACTGCATCCTAAACAGCTGTGAGATCAAAGGCAAATCACTGACCTACTGTTTGAATGAGAAGCAGCTGAACTGCAGAGGATTTAGAGGCTCTAAACTTCTTCACATAGCGTGATTTCCTTAAGTCACAGAATGAAAATAAGAACATCGTACGAATCCTCCGTCCTTCATGAACACAATGATGTGTTTTTCATTTCTGTACTTCGAAAAATGAGGCCACAACAGCGAGTTAAAAAAGTCTGAGCCTGAGCGATGATCCGGATTTTCTTGGAGAAAAATAACATTATGGTCAATGGGAGAGATTTCCGCCTTTTTTGGACAGTTGGTCACCTGCTGGCCAAGGGGTACGATTTAATGATTTGAAACCTCTTTTGTGAGAAGGAGGACACATATACCTCCATTTTGATGTATTATTTGTGTCAGTGGAATGAGATTTGTGGGCGTGGGAGCGATATATACGAGCGAGGTTCTGTCGATCAGAGACGAGGTCTGCACTCTAGCTGATGACATCATCACTCTAAACTCTCCAATACACACCCATTATAAAGCTTGAAATTTGCTGAAAACCACAAGTTGCTTAAAGCTAAATTGTGGAAAAACTGTAAGAGATATCAAAAAACTGATTACAACTATAATAGTCGACAAGTGAATGAACATTTTAAAGCAAAAATGAGGTCTCTAGGTGAAAGTACGCTGAAGTTATAAGGTCTAGAAGGTGGAAGAATAAAAGGAAGAATTGGAAGATTTCCCCATTGACTTCAATGTTAAAATTTTTGCACAAAAAGTTAAAAAAAACAAAAAGTATAAATGTTAGAAAAGTGAAAAGTAATAGCAAACGTGTCCTGAAGGAGTGGAATAGTTTAAAGTTTGAACGGTTGAAATCGGACAAACTGGGAAGGAGTTGAAAGCGGACGAAAAACGGCGGAAGAATAATAATAATAAAGAAACGGGAGAATAACAATAAGTGGAAATGCTTAATCAGCATTTCCACTTAACTAGAAAATTGCATTTCCTTGCAGAAAATGCGTGGAAATGCTGAATGCTGAAAGCTGAAAAAGCAATGCAAAACTGCCATTAAGAAATGGAGGGAGGTATGAACGGAAAAACTGTTGAAAAGGTGGAGTAGAAGAAGAAATTGTATGAATGGAAGCATTGTAGTATAGCTGAAGGTTAATTAGTTGGATTAATGTACAAATTGTCTGATAGCCTAAGTGAAAAACGTATATGATTGATGTGAATAAACAGAACTGATAATAAGGATAATTGAATTTGAAAAACAAATGTCTTAAAATAATGTGTAACAATGTTCCTATTAAATGTACAAATAGTAAAACAGATTTTTGCAGTCTGCAGCATCAAACCATAGTAACTTGAGAATGCAGAACAGCGCCATCTATTGCCTTGCTTCAGTTACTGCCCTACATCTGAATGTAGAAAGTATGAAACAGCTGAAGTTAAATTATCTGTATAAATGTAGAAAGTACTGAGAAGAAAAGCAGAAGTAGAAGAAAAAGAAGAAGTTAGTATGTTAAAAGATGTAAAGACAAAGGCTGTAACAACAAAGTTAATATTGGGGGTGTATTTTCTACTGACAGAGAGACAGTAATGCACACATGGAAACAGTGTGTGTGTGTGTGTGTGTGTGTGTGTGTGTGTGTGTGTGTGTGTGTGTGTGCCCGCGCGGGGTCGGCCGCGCGCGTGCGTGTGTGATCGAAGCACACAGCCCATGACAAGTGCAGAATCTCTGGCTCCTAAGGAATTTACTCACCTTCTGGGCAAACTGTACAATTTCATGACTTCAGACCTATTTTGTGAGAAGCAGGACGAGTGTACCTCCATTTTGATGTGTTTTTTATGGCTGTGGAGTGAGAATTGCGGCCGCGGCAGCAAAATAAACACGCTTGGTCTAGTGAATCCAAAAGGCTCCGCACGCATCTAGTGATGACGTCACACGCTGTAGCGTGAGTCAGGCTGAAAAAGGCAGAAAACTTCATGTTGCTCCAAGCGAAATTGTGCAAAAACGGTAGGAAATAGCAAAAGGGAGTGAATACAACATTTGTAGCAGACACGTTGCTGAACATTTTAAAGCAAAAATGAGGTCTGTAGGTGAAAGTATGCAGAAGTTATAAGGGTGAGAAGGTGTTATAGCTGTATCTCCATTCATTTCTAATGGAACAAATTTTGCAGAAAAAGTGAAATATTGCAAAAAGTATAAATGGTAGAAAGGTGAAAAGTACTAGCAATAATGTCCTGAAGGAGTGCATTAGTATAAAGTTTGAATGGTTGAAATAGCACAAAGTGGTAAGGAGTTGAAAAGGGCCAAAAAAGGTACGGAAGAATAATAATAAAAATAATAATAATAACTAGAAAAATTGCATTTCCTTGCAGAAAATGCGTGGAAATGCTGAGTGCTGAAAGCTGAAAAAGCAATGCAAAACTGCCAATAAAAAATGGAGGAAGGTATAAACGGAAAAACTGTAGAAAAGGTGGAGTAGAAGAAGAAGAAATTGTATCAATGGAAGAATTGTAGTATAGCTGGAGGTAAATTAGTTGGATTAATGTACAAATTGTCTGATAGCCTAAGTGAAAAATGTATATGATTGATGTGAATAAACAGAACTGATATGGATAATTGAATTTGAAAAACAAATGCCTTTAAACAATGTGTAACAATGTTCCTATTAAATGTACAAATAGTAAAACAGATTTTTGCAGTCTGCAGCATCCAACCATAGTAACTTGAGAATGCAGAACAGCACCATCTATTGCCCTGCTTCAGTTACTGCCCTACATCTGAATGTAGAAAGTATGAAACAGCTGAAGTTAAATTAATTGTATAAATGTAGAAAGTATAGAAAAGAAAAGCAGAAGTAGAAGAAAAAGAAGAAGTTAGTATGTTAAAAGAGTTAAAGACAAGAACTGTAACAACAAAGTTCATATTGGGGCTGTATTTTCTACTGACAGAGAGACAGTAATGCACACATGGAAACAGTGTGTGTGTGTGTGTGTGTGTGTGTGTGTGTGTGTGTGTGTGTGTGTCCGCGCGCGCGCGCGGCCGAGCCCGTGCGTGTGCATATGCGTGTGTGATCGAAGCACACAGCCCATGACAAGTGCAGAATCTGACAGAGACAGTAAGAGAGAAAGAGACACAGTAATGCACTCATGGAAACAGTGTGTGTGTATGTGTGTGTGCCCGCGCGCGCACGAGCGGCCAAGTCCGTGCGTGTGCGATCGAAGCACACAGCCCATGACAAGTGCAGAATCTGACAGAGAGATAGTAAGAGAGACAGTATTGCACTCATGGAAACAGTGTGTGTGTGTGTGTGTGTGTGTGTGTGTGTGTGTGTGTGTGTGTGTGTGTGTGTGTGTGTGCCCGCGCGCGCACGAGCGGCCGAGTCCGTGCGTGTGCATGTGCGTGTGCGATCGAAGCACACAGCCCATGACAAGTGCAGAATCTCTGGCTCTGAAGGAATGTACTCACCTCCTGGGCAAGCTGTACAATTTCATGACTTCAGACCGATTTTGTGAGAAGCAGGACGAGTGTACCTCCATTTTGATGTGTTTTTTATGGCTGTGGAGTGAAAATTGCGGCCGCAGCAGCAAAATAATCATGCTTGGTCTAGTGAATCCAAAAGGCCCCGCCCGCATCTAGTGATGACGTCAGACGCTGTAGCGTGAGTCAGGCTGAAAAAGGCAGAAGACTTCATGTTGCTCCAAGCGAAATTGTGCAAAAACGGTAGGAAATAGCAAAAAGGAGTGAATACAACATTTGTAGCAGACACGTTGCTGAACATTTTAAAGCAAAAATGAGGTCTGTAGGTGAAAGTATGCAGAAGTTATAAGGGTGAGAAGGTGTTATAGCTGTATCTCCATTCATTTGTAATGGAACAAATTTTGCAGAAAAAGTGAAATATTGCAAAAAGTATAAATGGTAGAAAGGTGAAAAGTACTAGCAATAATGTCCTGAAGGAGTGCATTAGTATAAAGTTTGAATGGTTAAAATAGCACAAAGTGGTAAGGAGTTGAAAAGGGCCAAAAAAGGTACGGAAGAATAATAATAAGAAAAAAAATAATAATAATAATAAAGAAATAGTAGAATAACAATAAGTGGAAATGCTGTGTCAGCATTTCCACTTAACTAGAAAAATTGCATTTCCTTGCAGAAAATGCGTGGAAATGCTGAGTGCTGAAAGCTAACAAAGCAATGCTAAACTGCTAATAAAACATGGAGAAAGGTATAAATGTTAAAGCTGTTGAAGGGGTGAACAGAAATATAAGTTGGATAATTGATTAATTGGTTGAAGGACAAATAGTATGAATATGCTCTATAAAAGGAAATTTTATTCATGCTGAAAGAGGCTAGAAAAATGTCTCAAATTGCACAAAGTTTGAATGAAGAAGGAAATTGCCTTAAAAGGCAGGAAGGTGAGAAGTGGCATAAGTTTAAATTGTAGTACTAGAAGTAGTATGATAAGAAGTCAAGTCGTGATACTAGTAGTCATGTCAGCAGTAGAAGTAGATTGAGAATAAAAGAAGTATAAGTCAAAGTAGTAAAGAAAGTAGAAATAGGAGCAATAGCAGTTGAAGTAGAGGGGAAAGTTCTAGTTTAATTGACATTAGCAGTAGTTGTCGTACTTGAGGTAGGATTTTGTTTGAATGATGGAGTAATGCATAAATATTGAAACTAATTTAAAACAGGGAAATTTTAAATTATCAAAAGTCCTCAAGTATCAGAAAGTTTTGAAGTATTAGAAAGGTTTGAATCAGTTTGAATGAGTTTAAATTAGTTTGAAAAATTAAATGATAAATCATCACTGACTGACTTTTAAAATGTGAAAAATTTAAATGAATAACAATCCTAAATACACCCAATAATGTCCTCAATGAGCTTAAATTTCAAAGCCCTGAATGGTTTCTGTAGGTCAAAGGTCATATGAGGAGATAGGGGCTGAAGTTTTTTCCAACGCTCTAGGAAAGGGTTTTAAGTGTCATCCCAATTGCTATGTGTACTGAGCCTGGCTTCATGTGTCTCATATGGCCACTAGAAGCAGCTTTCCAGTCAGCTGTGTGTCTCCAGGTGCACAAATTGGTTGCCATGGGGACCTTGGATGCATAACTATAGCAGGAGAAAGAAGGCTTGAAGCTAAGGAAACAGGACTCCAAGTAGGCCCTGACGCTCACCCTCTGTATATATTCATAAGGAGCTTGTGAGAACACAAGATTTTGCTGAACACATTAATACAATTTATTATCACAATCCTCAAAACACCCCATAATATCTTCAATGAGCTGAATTTTTCAAGCCCAGAATGGTTTCTGTAGCTCAAAGTTTGTGGGTGGAGATAGGTGGTGAAGCAGACACATATTAACTGTGTGTACAAGCAGCTGAACTCCAAGGTGGACCTCAAAAAGCAACAAGTACAAGAATGTGTGTGCGTGTGTGTGTGTGTGTCTCGTTAATGACTGCATCCTAAACAGCTGTGAGATCAAAGGCAAATCACTGACCTACTGTTTGACTGAGAGGTGCTGAACTGCAGTGAATTTCAGCCTGTGAACTTCTTCACATAGCGTGATTTCCTTAAGTCCCAGAATGAAAATAAGAACATCGTACGAATCCTCCGTCCTTCATGAACACAATGATGTGTTTTTCATGTCTGTACTTCGAAAAATGAGGCCACAACAGCGAGTTAAAAAAGTCTGAGCTTGAGCGATGATCCGGATTTTCTTGGAGAAAAATAACATTACAGTCAATGGGAGAGATTTCCGCCTTTTTTGGACAGTTGGTCACCTCCTGCCCAAGGGGTACGATTTAATGATTTGAAACCTCTTTTGTGAGAAGCAGGACACATATACCTCCATTTTGATGTATTATTTGTGTCAGTGGAGTGAGATTTGTGGGCGTGGGAGCGATATATTCGAGCGAGGTTCTGTCGATCAGAGACGAGGTCTGCACTCTAGCTGATGACATCATCACTCTAAACTCTCCAATACACACCCATTATAAAGCTTGAAATTTGCTGAAAACCACAAGTTGCTTAAAGCTAAATTGTGGAAAAACTGTACAAGATATCAAAAAACTGAGTACAACAATAATAGTCGACAAGTGAATGAACATTTTAAAGCAAAAATGAGGTCTCTAGGTGAAAGTATGCTGAAGTTATAAGGTCTAGAAGGTGGAAGAATAAAAGGAAGAAGTGGAAGATTTCCCCATTGACTTCAATGTTAAAATTTTTGCACAAAAAGTTAAAAAAAAAACAAAAAGTATAAGGGGTAGAAAAAAGAAAAATACATCCGCATATGTCCTGAAGGAGTGGAATAGTTTAAAGTTTGAACGGTTGAAATCGGACAAAGTTTGAAGGAGGAGAAGCGGTCCAAAAAACGGCGGAAGAAAAATAATAATAAAGAACAGAATAACAATAAGTGGAAATGCTTAATCAGCATTTCCACTTAATAAAAGGAATAGGAGAATAACAATAAGTGGAAATGCTTCATCAGCATTTCCACTTAATAATTAAGAAAAATGGCAGACAGGAATAACAATAAGTGGAAATGCTTAATCAGCATTTCCACTTAATAATGATAATAATCATAATAAAGAAATAGGAGAATAACAATAAGTGGATATGCTTAATCAGCATTTCCACTTAATTATAATAATAATAAAGAAATAGGAGAATAACAATAAGTGGAAATGCTTAATCAGCATTTCCACTCAATAAACACATTTAAAAAGGAAATGAAGCCAATGAAATTACCGTGTTGATTTGGGTTTTAACCAGTTCAGTGAGTGAAACATAAAACAGTTATGAGTTCTAAAAACAAATCTACATAAAGGGTGAAATAAAATGAGATTTAAGATGAGAGTCAGATAATGAACTATTTCAGAATAATCAATAAGTGGTAATATTAGTTTTATTATTAGTCTTTTTCTGACATTTAAAGAAAAACAATTAATCGATACAGTGATGGAGGACAGCCAGATGACTAATATAATCAATATGAGGTTAGAAGGTTCAGACAAAGACGACGTCAAACTTTGGATCAGAACCGAGGTTAAAGTTCTCATTTCAGAGACTTCTAAGAGGACCAACAAGAGACCAGAACTTCAGGTCAGCCTCAGCAGAATCTTTTGGCCTTTTTGGTTGTTCTTCTATCAGAACTTTGTACCTGTTTGGTTGTACCTCTATCAGAACTTTGGACCTGCTTGGTTGTTCCTCTATCAAGAATTTGGACCTGTTTGGTTGTTCTCTATCAGAACTTTTGACCTGTTTGGTTGTTCCTCTGTCAGAACTTTTGGACCGGTTCTTCTGTTGTCCTTCTTTGAAGACTGATTCTGGTTTTTGTGTTTCCAGGTTCACTTGAAGTCTCATGGGTCCCCTTCCTGGTGGATCAGTCCTCCAGCCCGGAACCAGAACATCCAGCAGCAGTCTGGACCTCCTCTTCAGGTTCCTCCTCCTCCCTCCCAGTCCCGGCCTCCTCAGGTCCCTATCAGACCCTGGGGGTCCAGAATATCCTGCAGCCTGGTTCTGTTCTCACAGCTGCGGTCCTGCAGCCGGTTCCACAGTCCACCAGTGTCCTTCAACGGGACCAGTGGGGTCCGCCCCCTCAGAACCAGTCCACCTGTCTCCAGGTGCCTCAAACCCAGGCTCTGTACCAGATGGTCCGCTTGAACCCTCTCAGTACCGCCTTGGTTCTTGATCGATATGCGCCCCCCAACACACCCAGACTCACTTGGTCCAGCACCAGAAGGACCGCTCAGCAGAACCAGCAGAACCACTTCAGCAGGAAACTGGTGGTCCTCCCAGAAACCACAAGAACTCAGGTCTCTACCAGACCAGAACAGTCGGTACCACCAGGTCATGGTCCACCTCTGCCAGGTGGACCATCAGAACCATCACAGACCAACCATCAGTCTACAGCTAACCCTCCACTGATGCCCCGCACAGAACCACAAACCCAACAACCTTCACTGGGTCACAAACAAACTAAAGACCAGAACCTGCTGCTAACCTGCCCACAAACACTGGAAAACCCACCAGAACCAACCCAGAAACCATCAGTGGACCACCAACCAGAACCATCAGTAGACCACCAACCAAAACCAACTCAGAAACCAGCAGTGGACCACAAACAAGAAGTAGAACCATCAGAGAACCCCCAACAAGAACAAGAACCGTCTGTGGACCACAAACAAAAACCATCAGTGGACCGCCAACAAGAACCAGAACCATCTGTGGACCACCATCCAGAACTATCGGTACAGCCAAAGTTCAGGTTTTCCCGCTACAAAGACTTACTGGATCGTTATCCGTTCCTGGCCAGTACCTTACTGCTGGTGGACCGGGACCAGAACCGCCAAGCCAACGAATATAACCTATCACCTGACCAGCACTTTAAACCAGGTATCCAACAAACGCCAAACCCAGAACCAGAACCAAACCACCAACCGTTCCCGACCTACGGACTTACTCCAGAGTACCAGCCACCTGTAGCCCCCAGAGAAGGTCTAGATGAGGATCCATCAGAATCGCAGCAGACTGAAAACCCTCCCGACAGGAAGGGGCTCCTCAAGTCGTCCATCCCCAGCCCCTCCACCCTGAAACTGCAGCAGCCCGGCGCTGTGGTCCGGGCTGTGGCGGACTCGGCCTGTGACAGCAGCCGGCAGACCCTGACCCTGAGGCCGCAGGAACCTTCAGAGAACGAACCCACCTCCACGGTGTTGGAGGAACCAGAACCAACCCCTGAAGTATTAGAGAAGGACACTGAAGAACTGGGCTCTGTGGTTGAATGTTTGGACCTTAAACTGACCCAGAGGCGGCCTGTGGTTCCTTTGTTCAGGCTGCCTTTGCAGCTGGCCCACCCTGGGAGAACCGGTCCTGGGTACCGGCTGGTTCCTGGAGAAGCTGAGGATGAGCTCTACGTGGAGGAACTGAGCGAGGACTCTGAGGTAGGAGGTCCTGGTAAACCTTCACATGATCTTTGGTCCACCTGGACCTTCTCACAAGGCTCTGTTGTTCCCTGTTGTCATGGAAACCCTCCTGACCTTCTGTCCGTTCAGAGCTGAGTTGTCCTCCTGGGGCCGATGCCGATACTGATTATTGGGGGGGGGGGGGGGATTCTATAACCGATTAATCAGCCGATTTTTTAAACTTTTTTTATGAAGATATAAAAAATATATATATATGTACTGATGATATCTACTGTAGATATACTGTAGGCTACTGCTCTTCACGCTGACAGGAAGACCAACTGATCAAACTCAGACCAGAAAAGCGCTTTCAACTACCCCACCTCGGCGTCTTAACTCATGTTCCTCATTTCCAGTCCGGTCTCATCTGGAAACATGCAGCTGCCTCAGTAAGAGAAGTAGCTTGATCACGTAATGTATACTGTTGTTTATTTTACCGTTACTGGCATGGCTAACAGTGTAGCAAGGCTAATAGCAGTTGGCTAACTCTAACTTTAGCTTGCATATTGTATGGTGCTTCACCGTTAACCCTGCGTGACCGAGACCAGCACAGCGGGGAACATCGTAAAGTGGGTTGAACTGAAACTTGTTGACTTACTGTGTATTTCACAAACTGGTTTATTTACCACTGAGGCGGACCACTCTCCCCTGTGCGTCCCTGAGCTGTCTGCTTCAGATCCCTCACTGTGCTGTGCTGTGAGTGGATGAAGATTGTGAGGTCCCTGCAGGATAAGTCGGGGAACTTTTCAAAGTGAAACCGAATCTTAAGGTCCTTTTACACTGGAAGCATTTTTGTCGTGCGATTATTTCGGACGTCAATATTTTTTTCGAATCAGTATCCTGTCAATACAAGCGTTCACATCAGCGACGTTTTCCCATCCTGCGATATTGCAGCATTTTTTTTTTTCGGATCACGGTTGATTTTCTGAAGTTTCACAGACTGTGTGTCCACTTCTGACCAATCAGATTGCGTGTTGTTGCAACGTCAGATTCACTGGTATATCCAACATGGCCAACCGGCTGATTGTTTACATGTCGGAGAACAGAGTGCTTTTTGATACAAAACACAAATATTACAAAGATAACGACCTAAAGGACAACTTGTGGAGAGTCATAGCATCGGATTTCTCATATAATGATGTTTTGTCTGCTTTAATAGTTTGCTAAACATCTTTGTTTTAACTTTCATCTGTGCTAATGTAAGCTAACGGTTGTTACCATAGTTTCATGTGCTCATCTCCATTTTTAGCTTCTCGCTTCCACCCAGGATGCTGAAGGATGGTAAGGGAAGGTCCCGCCCTCCTTCGCCTCTGATTGGCTATAATGCTGGCTTGAGCGTGTAATGACGTTTCTAGCTTTTCTAGCCAATCAGAGGCAAAGGAGGCTTCACTTTCCCTGGGAAAAGTCTTCCCCGAGATGCGTCTTTTTCCCCCCGGAAAGTCACAAAATCGCATCAGACTTGATGTGTATAGTCATTTGCGTCAAAATTCGCCTCCAAATATTTCGTTATTTCACGTTCTATATTTGCCTTTATTCTCCACATTTTATTTCTGAAAATATTGGCGAAAATCAGTTTTGGCCGATTACCGATTAGTCTCAAACGGGCTACAATTGGCCGATTAAATCTGCTCGCCAATAAATTGGTTGGGCCGAGTGTTTACATCTCAATAAATTTCTTTTACTTTTTCCAGCTTTTTGTGTACTATTACAAACATCCACAGATAATGTTAATAATCAGAGTAATCATCTTAAATAAACAATGTCCACTCCAAAGTTCAGATTTATAGGCACAGATTCTAGTCAGAGGCAGGATGACAGTATTTTGATATGGATAGGAAGTACTTACACCATGAACATAAAGTATTGCATTTATAACGGTTCCACAAGTTCAATAAAGGAGGCCCTCTGAAGCCTTTTGATCTGCTCCTATTGGAAAATATCCCAGACTTTTATAGTCCAGATATTGTAGGAGGAGGTTCTGATGGTTATAGACTCAATAAGATGTTTAAGATGTTTTATTTTACTGACCTCCTGTCCAAACCTTCAGGTATTACATTAATATTCTTTTTAAAAACCTCCTTCAGGGTGTTCAAAACCTCCGTCCAAAACTCACATAATTTAGGGCGGAGCCAAAATATGTGGGTGTGGTTATCTATTTGGGCTCTGCAGATTATCCGACATGAACTGGGATAATGTGGACTAGTGCTGGACGATAATTCGATAACAATATATATCGATCGATAGACGTGTGGAGCGATAGAAAAAAAACGGGTCGATAAAAAGTTCGATAGAAAAACACAGTTTCCCTTTCTTTTTCATCATAGCCTATCATGTAGCTTTTACTACAGTCATTACTTCCTCCCAACCAATCACAAACGCAGACCCAGGTACGCTACGGCACCAAGCCCAGCCCCTATCAAACCACAACAGACAGCACGTGTATTAGAAATAATGTAACAGCAAGGAGAAGCGGAGGAAATTGTCCCGAAAAAAGGTTTCAGTAGTTCACCAGCATGGCAATGTTTTGGTTTTTAGAAGTCTGACAAAAAGCAAACAGCGGTCGTTTGCAAAATTTGCAGAGAATTAGTAAAAACCAAGTCCGGTAACACAACCAACTTGTTTTACCATCTAAACCGGTCGCACCCGCAGGAGTACGAGCTGTGTCGGCCGCGCCGCGGCTCCACGTTGTCGTCGGAGGAATCCTCTGGAACCGCTGTTAGCACCAGCACAAAGCAAGTGAAGCAGACCAAACTGGACTTCGTTTCTTGCCAAAATACGACAAAGCGTCCAAGCGGCATAAGGACATCACCCATGCAGTAACATGCTCCATAGCGAGGGACATACTGCCAATAACTACCGTTGAAAAGCCTGGCTTCGACCAGCTTCTAGCCACTCTCGACCCGCGATATGAAGTGCCCGGCCGCAAGTATTTCTCAAACACAGCGCTTCAGGCATGAAAATGGGTCAGGGGTTGAAAAGGTGAGAAGGGTGCGGAGGAAATACGCTCCGGTGTAGCTTCTTAAAGTGGAAGAAAATGAGCTCATATTTTACAAAGACGCGAGTATTTGGATCATGGCTACTAGCAGGGGGGCATTCGGCAGGGGTGCATTCTACGACACAACACCGGCGTGGATAAGTCCTGCTTCTCGTGCTTAGTTTGTTTAATAAGTCAATCACATGATAATTAAAAAAAATAAATCTCCCGACCCCAGGAGAAATATTTCAGTGTTCAGACACCAGGCTGTGGGCAGTTTCCCACACAGTTAAAACTGGTAGTATGCTATTCCCACCTAAAGCTATTCTGTTTATTTATATATTTGTTTGTTTTGTTTATTTTCATCAAAAGACTATTTAAATATTTATTTATCAGATTTTCTGGTCACTTTAGTCTTTATGTTTGTCAGTATTTACTGACGTCACTCAGGCCACTTAAGTTGATTTATTTTTTTTTTAAGTTCTTTTTAAAAAAAACTTTCAGTTGTGGTAAAAAAAAAATGGTGGTTGAATAAAGGTTTGAATTTGAATTCAGTGCTTGTGTGTTCTTTATTAAAAGTAGGTCATTAAGCAATAGCATAAAACATCCAGGGCTGCAATTAAAATATATGTTAAATAATTATAATAATTATATCGATAATTATCGATATCGATCAATATGATTTATTTTTTATCGATATGCTTTTTTTCTATATCGTCCAGGCCTAATGTGGACCCATCTTGGACACTATCTCTGGTGTTCTGAAATATCGAGTTATTGTTTTCCAGTTGAATTCCCTCCATGTATTAGAGTTTGTAACCTGATGTTCTTCAGTACATACACTGTCTCCTCGTGTCTTCTGATGTTCCTGTTCTTCGTTCCTCTCCCAGGATGCTGACCCCCCAGCTGACATCATGGGGCCCCTGTCCTCTCCAGAGTCCCCCCTGACCCTGCAGATGGTCTGCTGCTCGGCCTGCGGATCAGCTAACGGGTCCATCATCTGCTCAGCGTGTGGTCGAGGGTTCCACACAGACTGTCACGTTCCTACTGTGGACCAGAACATCTGGTGAGGAGACCACCTTCACTTGACCCAGTAGAGCCTGTTGGGAGGTCTTAGTGGGTCCCTGTTCAGGTTCAGACCTCTGTGAGGTCTCTGCAGCTGGTACAGTTAATCCCTCATTTTTGTTTTACAGGATGGATTGGACCTGCTCCCTGTGTCAGGACCTGAAGGACCCCTTAGACCCCTACAGCTTCAACAGACCACCAAGACCTCCAGGACCCTGTCTGGGTGTGCAGGAGCAGAGGGTCAGGGTCTCACATGAATTCCCAAAGTTTTGATGTGGTTTTGTTTAAACCAGGAGCAGGAACTGCCCTGGACCCAGGGCCAGTGCCAAAAACTAGCCTATTCTGTCGTAAAATTAAGTTTGGGTCAAACACACTATAACACCGAGTTAGACACCCCCTCCAGAAATGAATGTTGCCGACCGCTTGCTTCTCTAGTTATACCAACTTTAGTAACAACCGCAGGATAGCAATACACAGCAGTTTCAGGAGCCATAAACAAATCTTAACCAAAACGCCACTCTATAGCCACAAATAATGCTCAGAACAGCACCTAACTTCATCGACAGTACATATAGGGTCCCAGCCATAGTACTAGCCACCAAACATCTTTTTAACTTTGACTGATTTCTTAAGCAAAGAGACTAAACACAACTCACCTACTCTCTTCCAGCAGCCGCTTGTTTGTAGCGAGACCTCAGGCCAGTCCAATACGGACTACAGCAGGGTGATGCAGCTCAAGGAAGAACATTTATAATAATAATAATAATAATACATTTTATTTGAAGCGCCTTTCACGTCACTCAAGGACACTTTACAGAACATATAAAACAATAATAACAAAACACTATTAACAATTAAAATCATCAATCATCAAAACAGTTAAAATCAACAAAGCAACATAAACAACAGCAAAGGAATAAATAAAGAAATAAATAATACTAATTAAAATTAAATTAAAAGAGTGAGTTAGGGGTGGTGTGATGGATAGGCCAGTTTAAACAGGTGTGTCTTGAGTTTGGACTTGAAGAGGGGGAGGGAGTCTATGTTGTGGATGTGTGATGGTAAAGAGTTCCAGAGTCGGGGGACAAGTGAACCGGAGTCAGCTGCAGTGAGAAGGTCGTTGGTGATTTTTAGCAGTGCGGTTTCGCTGCTGTGGCGGGGGCGGAAACCAGATTGGAAGGGGTCGTAGAGGGAGTTCTGGGTTAGGTGGGTGTTTAGTTGGCTGGCGACAACCTTTTCCAGTATTTTGGCTGTGAACGGTAGATTCGAGATGGGGTGGAGGTTGTTGAAGTTATTGGGGTCAGAGCCAGGTTTTTTTCAGGATAGGGGTGATGGCTGCTGTCTTGAGGGATGCGGGAACAGTTCCAGTGGTGAGTGAGGAGTGAATGATGGTAGATATGAGAGGAAGCACAGACGGGAGGCATGATTTGACCAGTGTGGTGGGAAGGGGATCCAGCTGACAGGTTGAGGGTTTGGATTTCCGGATGAGATCGGATGAGTTGACGGGGAGAAGAAAACTGGAGAAGTACTGACAGTGTGGCAGGGGAGTTGGTGGGGGTGGGGGGTGGAGTCCGGTGGCTGGAGAGATTTTTTAAGGAGAGTGAATAGTGATTGTTGGATGATGATCCATTGTTTATGATCATTTCCTTATAATTTCCTTGAAGTAATAATCATCATGTTCATCATTTTGCAGACGCGGTAGATTCTCTGCCTTAGAATCTCGGTCTGATTGTATTTCCATGAAGAAATGGTCATAAATGTTCTTCCTTGAGCTGCGTCACCCCGCTGTAGTCTGTAACCCCCAAATTTTCGCATCGTGAACGTCTACTAAAAGGTCGTATCCTCCGATCGTAGCTGATCGTAACCATTCAAGTTAACATGTCAATTTCCACCGGCTTCTTTCCGTTCCTCTGCGGATCGCCGGACTCCACAGCTGATCACTAGAGTTCTATTTTTTCCGGACACAGGAGCATGCAGGATAAATTTAGCACAGATTAACCTGTGCTGGAAAGGAAGTCAGGCACAGACACAAAATAAAACATCCTGCTTCTTTTAAAAAAAAATACTCTGTGTTTCAGGAGGATCATATTTCACACCATCCAAATGGGTGGCGACGAACAAGTGAAAGGTTTTTAGACGTCATTTCAACCCGATGACACCATGGATGAGGAGATGCTGATTCTAGAAGTCTACAAGGTTATTTCTTCCTCTGGAAGGACACAATCTACTGCTTATATGTCTATGTGTCTGTCTTTATAGAGACTTGTTATATACAAACTCGTTATTGCGCGATTGAACATGAATCCGAGGGTTGTTGTGAGTTCTTGGGATTCCTGCTGTCTGGAATCTGCCACAAAATTCGTCTCACAAATGGATCCGGTAGGAATTGACGTACCACGAAAATCACCGCCGTTACGGATGCGGTGGAAATCCCAGGTAATGGACTGACCACAAGTGTCTGCTGGAAGAGGGTAGGTGAGTTGTGTTTAGTCTCTTTGCTAAAGAAATTAGTCAAATTTAAATGATGTTTGGTGGCTAGTACTATGGCTGGGACCCTATATGTACTGTTGATGAAGTTAGGTGCTGTTCTGAGCATTATTTGTGGCTATAGAGTGGCGTTTTGGTTGAGGTTTGTTTATGGCTCCTCAGACTGCTGTGTATTGCTATCCTGCGGTCTTTACTAAAAGTTGGTATAACTAGAGAAGCAAGCGGTCGGCAACATTCATCTCTAGAAGGGGTGTCTAACTCGGTGTTACGGTGTGTTTGACCCTAACTTAATTTTAAGACAGAATATGCCTTTAAGGCTACCCCATTATTCAAAGTCTGGTGTGTGTTTTTGTGTGTTGTTGTGTCACAGAAGTGTGAGACTCTGCTGCTCTACCTGAAGGTGGAAGGCTGCGCTCGACTGACCCAGGTGAGTCCGGACCTGTGAGTCCATCTGCTGCCCTGTACCAGAAAACTGGAGATCTGACGGGGTCTAAAAGGGGGTCTGTGAAGGTTCTGACTCAGCCCGGTCATGGTTCTCCGGTTCTCCACATTCAACCGGGAACTGGAAAAGAATAAAGAGTTAAAAGATCCGCTGTGTGTGTGTATGCATGTGTGTGTGTGTGTGTGTGTGTGTGTGTGTGTGTGTGTGTTTTCAGATCCCTCTTGTTTGGTCTCAGTTGAGGTTGATATCGGACCGTCTGACTCTTCATCGGTTTCCTTCGTACGTGACAACAGCAGAGTTTCTCTGGGACGTCTGGAGGCTCTTCAGATACGCAGTTAAGGTACCAACAACCCCAGGGTCATATGACATACCTCAAGGTCACGTGACCCTACGAGACTGGGCCTCCCAGGGCTCCAGCTATTGGAACACACACACACACACACACACACACACACACACACACACAGTAGTAGTGAGAGGAGAGCTCAGGGCTCCTCTGAGGACTCTGGTCGCGACTCTCTGGTTCTGATTCCCCACACACGTTTCCACATCACTGTCTCTGCCTCTTTCAGGAGGACGACGGCGTGAAGAGTCTGCAGGAGGGTTTTCAGAATAAAGTGACTGAAACCTTCACCTTCGCTCTTCAACCTGGAGCCCAGAGTCGACCGAGGAGCAAGAAGAAAGTGAAACCTGCTGACAGACGCACACACACACTGATGCCACCTGCTGGACTGGAGGGGCAGAGGTCAGAGGTTACAGCAAAGAGGGAGGAGGAGGAGGGCGAGTGCAAACTGGACAAGATGAGGAAGAGGCTGAGGGAGTTCATTGACATCCAAGTGGCCAAGAGGAGGAAGATGGAGAAAAAGACTCCTCCCCCTTCTGAGTCACATGATCAGGACCTCTGAATGTGAATTCTGGGAGCTGAAGTGCAGAAAGCCTATCAGATGAGATTAATTGACAGCTGAGGAGGCGGGACTATTCCTGCCGTCACAGTTCGATGTTTGTGGATCAAACTTTATTTTTTTGTATTAAAACTACAACTGTGAAGTTTTATCAGAAACTTTATTGACAGCCGCTCCGACAAACAAACCGTAGCAAAGTTTTAATGATGGATGTTTCGTGTCTGTGTGTTTATGTAAATTTAATAAATGACTGTCAGCACTGAACTGACGCTGTGTTAGTCCTGATGCTCCTCCTGTGTGCTCTCAAATCAGACTCAACATTTCTTGTCCAAAAGGTCCTTAAAAATAATATTAATAATAATGATAATAATAATAATCATCATCATCATCATCATAGTAATAAAAGTAATAAAAATGATAATAATAATAATAATCAAATGATAATAAAGATAATATGATAATAATAGTAATAATATTAGTAATAGTAATAATAGTAATAATAATAAAAAGGTTGTAATAACAGTAGTAATAATAATAATAAAAGTAATAATTATAATAGCAACAATAACAGTAATAATAGTGATAACAGTAAGAATAAAAGGAATAGTAAGAATAATAACTAATAATAGAAATAAGAATAAGAATAATAGAGATAATAATAGGAATAATAATAATAGTAATAATAACTTTATTTTTATATCACTTTTAAAAACAAGTTTACAAAGAGCTTTGATAAACAGTTGTAAAGTTAAGAACATCAGCACATGGAAATAAAAACAAATGAAAAACAAAAGCTCAGTTTAAAACAAGACATTCAGACAATACAAGAACCATACAACATAATAAAAAAAAATGAAACCATGAGGACCAAAATAAAAACATAAAATAGGTAAGAAAAAGAAATGTTGTAAAAAAGGGAGGTAGAAAGCAGGAAACAGGATAGTAAATATAAAAGAGGGTATTAATAATAAAATCATAACAAAATAATAATGATGGTAATAGTAATGATAAAACGGAATAACAAAAATGAGCAGGAAAAAAAACACTAAAATCAATAAAAGACCTAAAAGGTTAAATAGGAAAAGATTATAAGTAGAACAAAGACTAAAAATACAGTAAGTCGAAATAAGATAAAAGAGATAAGAGAGCAAAGACATCGTCACATAAAATCAAGTCTGTAAAAGTGAGTTTTTAAATTTGACTTAAAAGAAGCGTCTGTCTCTGCCGTAAGCCTTATCTCCTCTGGCAGGTCGTTCCAAAGTAATAATAATAAAAAAAAAAAAAAAACACCAAACACCTGCTACAGAAACAAAACCACCACCAAGACATTTAAACCGTAAACGACAGGTAGAAAACAAAAAACAACTTGAGAGAAACCCTGATCCTGGAGTCCCAGAGCAGACCTGCTGATGAATTCAGACTTTGAAGGTCTTCATTGCCAATGTTTGGATTTTCTTCTGCCTCAGTAAACTCTGAGTTTATTTTCCTCTGTTGCTTGGGCTCTGATCACGGTCAGTATATTTTATAACTGAATAACTGAGGGTGAAATATGGACCTGTGTGTCTGAGCCTCATGACAAGGACTGCCATGAGTCCTACTGGCCACCAGAGGTCAGTGTGTGCTAAGTTTGAGCCTCAGAGGTTTCAGTCTGTCAGCACTGAGTGACAGGAAGTGCCACAAAACTCTGTCCATCCATCTCTGAGGAAAAACCACAGACAGGCGGGGGGACCCGAAAAACCTGTTCAAGTGCGAGGCCTCGTAGTATATGAAAAACAAGCACAAATACACACACACACACACACACTCACACACAGACTGATCTCAGTCCAGCCTTACTATTTAAGGACCCACCAATCACACCTCAGGCTCTGCCCTGAGGCCCCGCCCACAGGGGCTATATAAGACCCTGTTCAAGTCCAGGAGTTGACCCAGGACTTTAACCAGGATCTGAACCCTGCTGTAGTCCAGCTCTGCATGTGATTGAGATGGTGCTGGAGGTCAAAGGTCGTGTGGAGGCGGTGGAGGGGAACCAGCAGAAGTTGGAGGTGAAGCTGCTGCTGCTGGGAGCAAACAGCGTTGGAAAGTCCGGTACGAAAAAACAAAAAAACACCAGGAGGTTTTAAAAACTCCACTGTCTAACCCTTTATTTTCTCAAGACTGAACTTCTGTCTCTCTCTCCTCTCTGGTCTAAATCAGAAATCACTCTCCCTCCTCCAACTAGTTCAGAACGCAGCAGCTCGGCTTTTCACTGGTTTTATTCGACGGCGTCACATCACTCCAGTTTAAGCCTCCCTTCACTGACTTCCTGTCAGTTTTAGAATTGATTTCAAGATATTATTGATTACTTTTAAAGCTCTCAAAGGACTTGCACCAAGCTACATTTCAGAGCTTTTAATACCTTATGAGCCAACTCGCAGCCTCAGATCCTCTGGTGAAGGCCTCCTGGTCGTTGCAAAGTCAAGGCTCAATACTAAAGGTGATAGATCTTTCTCCATCAGAGCTCTTGACTTTGGAACGACCTGCCAGAGGAGATAAGGCGTACAGCAGAGACAGTCACTTCTTTTAAGTCAAATTTAAAAACTCACTTTTACAGACTTGATTTTATGTGATGACATCTTTTATCTTTTATCTGTCATCTCTTTTACCTCTTATTATCTTATTATCTTATTTCAGTTTTTCTGACTTTTTAGCTTTTGTCAAACTTGTGTTCTTTTCTTAATGAACCTTTTAGGCCTTTTATTGTTTTATCTCTTGCTCATTTCTGTTGCTCTATTTTATCTTTACTATTGTTAACAGTATTACCTGTTATTATTTTATTATTATTGCTGATATTGCCTTTTATATTTACTATCTGTTTCCGCTTTCGTCCTCCCTTTCAATTGCATTTTCCTTTTTTCTTAACTATTTTATGTTTTTATTTTGGTCCTCATGGTCTCGTTTTATTTTGCATGGTTTTTGTATTGTCTGGGTTCCTTATGACATGAAAATGGCCTTCAATTCTGTTTCAACTAATATTTCTGCTTTTATTTGTCTTTTTCCATGTGCTCTACGACTACATGTCAAAGCACTTTGTAAACTTCTGTTTATAAAAGTGATATACAAATAAAGTTATTATTATTATTATTATTATTATAACCCGACACTGCAGAGTCCAGTTTCTGAGATTTTTAGTTCGTTGTTCACGTTTGTCATGAGGAAGTTTTTAAATCATGTTAAAATGATAAAGAAGACAAAACTTTTTCAGAAAACAGCAGCTGATAATTCTGGAATAAAAAAACCCCAGATACTTTAAAAGTTGATTCAAGTTGATTGAAGTTTTTTACCCACTGATCAGGAAACCCTGATGAGGTGGACGATTCACCCAAATTTAAAGACGTGGACTAAACCGTGGACACGTTTGTGTTTTCTGTCTGCAGCGCTCACTGTCAGGTTCCTGACTCGCAGGTTCATCAGCGAGTACGGTGACATCGGTGAGGACACATTCACGCCAAGATGGTTGGTTTGACGATGATTCCTCCTTATTTTATCATAAATTAACTTTCTGAACTCTGATGGTGTTTCAGAGTCGGTGAACAGTCGAGTGGAGCGGATCCACGGACAGGAGGTCTGCTTCAACGTCTGGGACTCTCTCTACACACAGGTAAGACACACACCTGTCAGGGTCAGAGGTCAGGGGCAGACCTGGATCAGCTGTTTAACTTCTCTTCCCTCAGAGTGATGTCACAGCTGGTTCTGTTCACTGATTGGTTGATTGCAGAAAAATTTGTTTTGTGTTCTGGTGAAAAAAAAACAACAAAGCAACATTGACACGGTCCAAAACCCGATAAAACCGACCCCGAAGTTCTGTAGAGTGATGCTAACCAAAATACAACGGTGTCTGTCTGAACAGCTGCTGTGATTGGACGATTGATTGATGGCTGCTAAGACTTGAAAATTGACTAAAGACTGCTGTGATTGGATGATTGCCGAAGGCTGCTGTGATTGGATGATTGACTGAAGGCTGCTGTGATTGGACGATTGAAGGCTGCTATCATTGGATGATTGACTGAAGGCTGCTGTGATTGGATGATTGGCAGAAGGCTGCTGTGATTGGACGATTGACTGAAGGCTGCTGTGATTAAATGATTGACTGAAGGTTGCTGTGATTGGACAATTGAAGGCTGCTGTGATTGATTGATTGATTGATTGATTAATTGATTGATTGATTGATTGGCTGAAGAGTGCTTTGATTGGATGATTGACTGATGGCTGCTGTGACTGGATGATTGCCTGAAGGCTGCTTTGATTGGATGATTGCCTGAAAGCTGCTGTGATTGAACGATTAACTAAAGGCTGCTGTGATTGGATGTTTGATAACCTGTCAGACTCTCTGATTGGACATCTCCTTGTCCCTCTCTCAGGACTGCGAGAAGATTCCGTCAGTCAGTGACAAACAGCTACAGTGGGCCGACGGGATAATTCTGGTCTACAGCATCTGTGACCATCAAAGCTTCGACGTGGTTCGCCAGCAGCTACAGCACATCCGCCGCTGCCGCAAATCAATACCTGTGGTCATTGTAGCGAACAAACGGGACCTCTGGCGCCACCGCAGCGTCTCTGACGAGGAGGGCTGTCTGCTCGCTCAGTCACAGAGCTGCAGCTTCTTTGAGGTGTCTGCAGCGGAGACGTTCCACGGCGTCCTGCTGGTGTTTCACCACCTCTTCGACCTCATCAGAGAGAGCCGAGTGCTGAGGAAGAGCTCGGCTGGCATGCAAGGGATTGTCCGCAGCATGTCGGCTGTTTTTTGGAAGAAGCGCGCTGAGTAAGGCGGGTTTCACTGATGACATGAGAGGAGGTCATAGGTGAGAGATGTGATGGACAGACGCAGGTAAACAGGAAGTAATGAAAGTTGGGAAAATGTGTTTTCAGTGGAGGCTGAGGCTGATTGGACAGAAGAGGAATATGTGGGCGGAGCTTATCTGACAGGTCATAACTTGTTCGATGGACTGAGATGAAATGATGTTCAGATGTTCCTGCTCCCCCCAGGATGGACCTCAAACTCTGGAGGTCAACATGTGAACGTTCATTTAAATGAAACAGAGGGAAGAGTTCTCAACCCACCAGAGACTACAGGTTGACCAGCAGGTGGACCAGATGGACCAGCAGGTGGACTAGGTAGACCAGCAGGTTGACCAGCAGGTGGACCAGCAGGAAGCCCCCACAGCAGTCGTACCAGTATATGAAGACTGTCTGAAAACTACCCGGACTCTGGGACTACAGCGGTCTTGACAGGTATCTGTGAAAGAGACGTGATAATGGAAGAAGTGAGTGGGAAGAGCTTGTAATATTTACCTTTATAGGGCAGAGTTTATCATTTACAATATATTTGTGTTTGCAGACAGAAACCGTAGAGTCCCAGTCTGGTTTTGACTGTCGTGGTTCTTCACGACATGCAGGACAAAGAGGTTCCAGGTCCCTTTATTTCTGCTGAATCACTTTTTCATGAGCTGTGATATTTTAAACACGGTGATGGTATAAATCCATGAAGACAAATGTGTGTAATAAAAATCTGAGAATGAAGAGAGTGAAGTCTGTTTGTTTGTGACACACACACACACACACACACACACTCAGAGGAGTCCACAATTTTATTTCAACATTTAACAAACACAAACATCTGTGTAAGAAGAGGAGAGGAACCTGTTCGGTATGACTGAATTCAACTTCCAGCCTGACCAGCAACCATCCAACAGAAACAGTCAGAGCAGTCACTGCTGTCAGTCAGACTCACTCAAACATATTTCATTTCTTTAGTCCACATCAGACCTGCAACCAAGAACTCATCGACTAACCCTAACCTTTATTTAAACAGGCAGAACAAACAGGAAGCTGTGTGTCAGGTGGGGCTTAGCTGAGGGGCGAGAAACCAACCAAAATCAGGCAGTATAACACATGAAAACAGTCAGAGAAATAAACAAAAAACAATCAGAAAAACCCACAAAAACATTCAGAAAAATAAACACAAAAACAGTCTGGACAGGAGTCCCCCCCCCCCCCCCCCCACACACACACACACACACACACACACAAAAACAGTCAGAAACATAAACACAAGACCAGCCTGAAAAAAAACCACAACAGTTAAAAGAAAAATAACAGTAAAAAAAAAAACAGAAACAAAAAAACAAAACAACGTCAAAAACAACAACGAAAAAAAACACTAAAACCTTATTTGTTTATTCAAACATAAGTCAGTGTTCCCAGCTGAATGTCTTTTTTCTTAAATCTTGTCTGAATGAACACATTAACTTGTCTGAATGAACACATTAACTCCTGTCTGAATAAACACATTAACTCCTGTCTGAATGAACACATTAACTCCTGTCTGAATAAACACATTGACTCTTGTCTGATTTAACACATTAACTCCTGTCTGAATGAACACATTAACGCCTGTCTGTAAAGACACATTAACTCCTGTCTGAATGAACACATTAACTCCTGTCTGATTGAACACATTAACTCCTGTCTGATTGAACACATTGGCCCTCATTTATCAATCTTGCGCAGATCTGAGCGCAGGATTCATCCTACAATAGGACACACGTGAAATTTATGAAATGGTTGGTATCTGACCAATTCCAGCATACGTATGATCAGGTCTTGATAAATGCGGCGGCTGAAATCGATCGTCATTGACATGTTTACGCCCTTAAATATTCATGGTTCAGAAGCCTCGCCCACTGAGGTCAAACGTGAAAGAGTAGAAATATTACAAAGATTCGAAACTTTTTCGAGCTGATAGTGGATATCTTCACATCTGTGGTGAAAACTAACAAGGATTTTCTCTTTGGAAGCATCAAAACTGGAATAAAAACAGTCCAGAAAACTCCTGTCTGGAGCAGGATTATGGTGGCAGTGAACAGCGCTGCTGTGGAATAGTGGACAGTGGCTGAAGTTTAATTAAATCATTAGTCAATAAGTTGCTCTTGATGATAATTTAATATCTCATACATGCTTCATATTTGTTTATTGCCATGACATATGGTACGTTGCTCCTATTATTGAAAGTATTTAGTTTTAATTCGTTGTGTCTTTGTAATGTAGAGCAGACTGGAGAGTCTGACAGAGGCTGAACAAAAATAGTTATTAACCTGACCAAATAGTGTGTTGCTGCCCCTAAGGCACATTTTTATGGATTTCTATTGGATTTTTATCACTGATTAAATAGCAAGAGCACTTTCTAAACTTATATTTTACATGTCAGAATCCATGGATAAGGTCCTGTCTCCTCTGTGCAGCACCTTTGTAGAGTCTCTCCTCGTTAGTGTTCTCCGGGCATCGGGTCCTCATGTTGCACCGGCACAGCCAACGGCACTCCATTCACCAGTAGAACATTGTGCAAAACTGTACTGGCCCAAATGATGTCCCACATCCTTTCAGGAGTGTACAACAACGTCCCCGCTGCTGGGCCAAGACAGAGACACCTGCCTTTCAGGAGTGAAACGCAGCGCTCCACAGTGGTGTGTGTGCGTGTCACTCAATGTTAAAACAGCACTCCTGCTCTGTGGCAGTGTTTCTGGGCAGAGTTATCAGATAGACCTATTCACTAAGGACATAACAAATGTATTTTGTTAAATTTTATTTAGTTCTTTAGCTTTAATGAAATCTGGCTGATTGTGCGTAATGACTGGTTTGAGGTTTGTTTATCATTTTCAGACAGACATTTGCTGCAACGCAGATCCACACTCACTCAAACTTGCGTACACGATGTCAGACCTGTCGTGGGATTTGGTCGTAGCGTACGCTCACATGCAGATTGATAAATGCCGATCTTCACGTCAAAATTTTTGTAGGCAAGGTGTACGCAAGTTTTCTGCTGTACGCAAGCTTGATAAATGAGGGCCATTAACTCCTGTCTGATTGAACACATTAACTCCTGTCAGAATAAACACATTAACTCCTGTCTGAATGATGACAGTAACTCCTGTCTGAATGAACACATTAACTAGTCTGATTGAACACATTAACTCCTGTCTGATTGAACACATTAACTTCTGTCAGAATGAACACATTAACTGAAGTTCATCTCGGCAACAACATTACTCTTTGCAGGTTATATTTCGGCGATTTGATAGCTCAGCTGAAGACAGACAGGACATGTTGGAATACATGCAGCCAAGGGTCACAGCCGGGAATTGAACCAACAACCACTTCAACTCCAGCCTTTAAATGTTCGGCGCTTAGATGGCCAAACCAAAGGCGCCCTTGGATACAACATAAACGGAATAACAGACAGATCAGGGCGGAAAGCGTGCAGCTGAGGGGACTTCTAAACCATGTGATGGAGTCGCCCCCTGCTGGATGTCAGAGAGAATGCAGGTTTAAGAAGCAGCCACGGCCACATTTCACAGTCCACGCTCTATAATAACCAGCAATAACTAATTAATCGTCTTAAAGGTTCATGTTTGTGGGTAAATATTGAACCTGTGGTAATCATAAACTCAGATAAATATGTCGACAGAATAAATGAGCAGACATGGAAATTAGTACAGATATCAAACTCTGAGACACAGTGGAAGTGAAGCATTATGGGAGATCTTTGTTTAGTGGCCAAAAAAAGGAATCTCACACATCTGTGAACAGAACCATGAATTTAAGAATTTTGATTTAAATATTTATACAGATTTTAAATTTAAACTGATTTAAAAATATTTAACAGGTTTTAAATTTAAACAGACTTGAAAATTTTAACCAACCTTTAAAGTTTTAATTGAATTTAAAATTAAAACATTCTTAAATTTTAACCAATCTTAAAAATTTTCTTTTGAATTTCAACCAATTTTAAAATGACGATTTATAAATTCTATCAATTTTTCAAATTGTAACCAATTTTAAAATTGACACTGATCTGCTCTGTTGGTGAAAAGTGAACGCACAGGCTCCCATCAGCTGAGGGGGAGTGTCTCATTATCAAGGACAGAGAGAGAAAAGGCTGTGATTGGTCAGGGGGTGGGACTAGCAGCTGTTATCGGATCAGAGCAGGTGTAACCTTGGTGTGCTGTTTATTAGTCGTCTGTTGCCGTGGTGTTGGCAGCGTTGTCAGTGGAGTTGGGGCTCAGGTACTCGAAGGCTTTCTGGCTCTGGGTGACGAACTGTTTGAGCGGAGTGAGGAGCAGCTCAGTAGCCGACGGACGGCGATGGGCGAAACTTTCCGTGGGGACGGACAGACCATCCATCTCTACGGCAGGGGTGTCCTTCAGGCTGGAGCGGCGGCCATTAGGGGGATCAGGGCTCTGGGGACTTCCAGGTGTCCGGGCGGCACGAGAGTATAGACTACGCCGACGGCGAGGACGACCATCCATTGCTTTGAGAAAGAGGCTGTTAGCAGAGCTGCGACGAGACGAACTGGCGGCAGTAAATTCCTCCCGGTTCAGGAACTCCTCAACCTCTTGAGCCGATGGCTGCTGCAGCTAAAATAAACAAACAAAGGTTTAACTTGTGAGTTTTTATTCATAAATCTAAAGCCCAAAAATGTAAAATCAGGGCTGTCTGGGGATCACCTGGTCAGTGACTTGGCATGTAAAGGACCATAAAATTAAATTATCTTCATCATTAAAAGGAAGATCAAAATGTGGATATGACCTTACATGACTTCACTAATTACAACACAAACCTTATAAAACCGAAAGAAAGGATCTCCATTCTTATATGTCCATGTAGATTCTCATTCATCCAGGTCATGGTTATCTTGAAGACAGGCAACTGGACTGTATAGAGTTGAGAAGACGTTTCGCCTCTCATCCAAGAAGCTTCTTCAGTTCTAAAATTAACTCAGTCACATACAAAGTGGCAAAACATTTGGCCACCATCCTAGCTCCTCTTGTCGGCCACACCACTCACCACGTCAAAAACTCACAGGACTTTGCCGAGAAAATCAAGGACATTGGGCTGGACCCAGATGAAACCATGGTTTCCTATGATGTCACATCACTTTTCATGAGTATTCTGACAACAGAGGCAGTCCAAGCAGTAAGACAACGCCTCTTACAGGACAGCACACTGGAAGTCAGAACCAACTTAACCCCCGACCACATCTGCTCCTTATTGGACATCTGCCTCAGCACCACCTATTTCCAGTTCAGAGAGCGCCATTACAGACAGAAGCATGGATGCGCTATGGGCTCCCCGGTTTCTCCAATAGTGGCAAACCTGTACATGGAAGAGGTAGAGAGGAATCAGATATCATCAGATATGTGGATGACACCTGGGTTAAGATCAAAACACATGAAGTAGAGGCCTTCACTGACCATATCAACACAGTGGACAGCAACATCAAGTTCACCCATGAAGATGTCAAGGACAATGTGTTGGCCTTTTTGGACTGTGCTGTACACTTGGAGGCAGATGGGTGTCTCAATGTTGAAGTGTACAGGAAACCCACACACACAGATCAATATTTCATTTTTGATTCCCACTATCTTCTGCAGCACAAACTGGGTGTTATCAGAACACTCAACCTGCGGGCTGAGAACATTCCCACGTAGAAAGAAGGTAAAAAAAAGGAACAGAAGCTCATCAAAAATGCCCTGACAACCTTTGGATACCCTAAGTGGGCCTTTGTGAAGAACAAAAAGAGAAATAACACTGAAAGGGAGGAGAGACGCAAGAGCACTGTAATCCCTTACGTTGCAGGCCTGTCGGAAAAACTCAAGAGGATCTTGAGTTTTTCACCATATTCCTGTTCATTTCAAGCCTGGTAACACACTAAGGCAGAAGCTAGTCCATCCCAAGGATAAAACACCGAGACATAAACAGAATAAAGTGGTGTATGCTGTCCAGTGCAGCGAGGAATGCTCAGACCTGTACATTGGGGAAACTAAACAACCGCTTCACAAGCGCATGGCTCAACACAGGAGAGCCACTTCCTCAGGTCAGGACTCAGCTGTCCACCTTCACTTGAAGGATACGGGTCACTCTTTCGAGGAAAGCAAGGTACAGGTGTTGGCTCGAGAAGACAGATGGTTTGAAAGAGGAGTTAAAGAAGCCATCTTTACCAGGCTGGAGAAACCTTCTCTGAACAGAGGGGGTAGACTCAGGCACAATCTCTCTGGCACTTACAATGCAGTTCTCAGCTCTCTCCCCAGGAAGCTCCACAAACATCCACACCTGGAACCACATGACCCTGGTGGCATGAGTCATGTTGTCACATGACGGGGGGGGGGGAACACACCCATAGATGGGTTTCTACGACCAATTCTTTCCAACTCCTCTCAGTCGTTGTCTGTCCCCTTCTCCAGTTCTAAATATCTGCTCCTCACACTAGCAATTTTAGAACTGAAGAAGCTTCTTGGATAAGAGGCGAAACGTCTTCTCAACTCTATACAGTCCAGTTGCCTGTTTTTAAGTCTTCAAGATCTCCATTCTTATTTACAGAAGCTTCAAAAAATGTTGAACATTTTAACACACAGTCTGCAACAGGAAGCACAAATACTCCAGAGAGGATCGAGGAACTGCAGATGATTCAGTTTTCTACACTATGGTCGGAAAAAAGGCTGTGTCAGTGTTATTTTCAGCTACACTTGTATGTGTGTTTCAGGTGTGTTTCAGGCAAGTTTCAAGTGTGTTTCAGGCGTGTTTCTGTTGTCTTTCAGGCATGTTTCTGTTGTGTTACAGGCACGTTTCAGGTGTGTTTCTGTTGGGTTTCAGGTGTGTTTCAGTCGTGTTTTTGGCGTGTTTCCGCTGCGTTGACTGTTGTCAGGTGCTCACCAGGTTGTAGAGTGGTGTGGCGTTGATCACCAGCTGCAGGAGGATTTTGGCGAGTTCCTGAAGGTCTCCCAGTAGCTGCTGGACCTGAACTGGCAGCTCTCTGATCTGACGAATGGGACGTAGCTCAGCCAGCATTATGGCCTGACCTTTGACCCCGCTCAATGTGAGCTCCCTCAGGCTCTCGGCACGGTACACCAGAGCCACAAGCAGGCTCTGCAGGTACCGAAGCAAATCATCCACCAGCTCCAGGACCCGACCCAAACCCAACTGTAGGGAAAAAAACAAAAAAACAAAAACTGTTAAACTAGTTCAGAAACGGAGTTTGTGTGTCTATACTCCTCACAGACACAGGCCTGAAATTATATACATATATTTACTGTATAGATACTGTATATATATAAATATGTATATATATGTGTGTATATTTACAGGCAGGTTTCAGAGGATTTCATGTTAACGTGTGAAAACTCTTCAGTCTGGATGTGGAACAGTAAACTTCGATCTGGCAGCTTTTACAGTTTCCCAGCAGACAAACAGAATAAACGAGATCTGGACTGAAACCAGCAGACTGAGACACGTGAGGACAAAGAGGGACAGAGACCAGGACAGAGACCAGGGCAGAGGTCTGATTCAGGGTCAGTGACCGGGGTGGATCAATTCTCCTGGTGTCCTCATGTCTGGAAAGATGACCTGGAGTAACCTCTTCATGCTCCTCATCAAATGTTCTCTCTGGTCTCCTTCCTGAAGATGTCATGTAAAGATGCCCCCCCTTTAGAATATATGGGGGCTGATATAGAAATGTTCCTCCTAGATGTGTCATAATTTATTCCTGTGTTTTGGTTTCTTCCTGATTTTGTGTTTCCTGATTGATTTTGGACTTCCTCCTCCTGTGTCTGATCTAGTTTGACTTCCTGTTGTCCCCCCCTGGTGATTGTCTCACCTGTGTCTCCTTGTCTCACCTGTCTCTCATTGCTCGTTACCTGTTGTGTATTTAGTCCCTGTGTTCCTGTCTCCGAGTGCTCCAGTTTTGTTGATTCTGATCTCTGACAGTTATTGATTAGTGAACAGGTAAAGTAAGGTGACCAGACGTCCCCGATTTCCGGGGACAGTCCCCGAATTGGATGACCTCTCCCCGGCAAAAGCTGTCCCCAAAAATGTCTCAGATTCAAGCGTTCATGAATGAGAACAAAAATGTTGCGTGTAGGCTAGAACAGTGGTTATTACAGTAGTCGAATGGGTAGGAAGCACAAGTAAGCAGTCCTGAACAACAGTTTTTACAGGGGTTAATACAAGGGGCGTGCGCTGCTACTAAATAGTACAGAGATGTTGTCTATGATCACGCAGCCCATGCACCCCATTTCCCACCCCCACACCGAATGTCCCCGGATTTCATGACAGGAATCTGGTCACCTTAAGGTAAAGTCAAGTTTAAACTTGTTTAAACTGATTTATTATGATTTATTTTGAATGATTCTTCTTCAAAATATTTTTAAAAATCACCCAAACGCGAGCTTCATGTTCTTCGTTTGGCAGATTAACACGTTTTGTTTTAATTTAGTGTAAATACTGGTCAGACTGCAGGAAGTCGGTGCTGATGCTGAAAATGTTCTGACTGGATCTGAATCAGGCCGAAGTCTGTCCGGTTCTGTGGACCCAGAATCTAAACATTTGACTGGGATTCGCTGTGATACTGAAAAACTCAATGATCAACTTCAGAGTTCATACTTAGTCGGGTCGGTCTGTGAGAAAATCACCCACTCATGCGTCTCCTCTGACAGAGTTCTGGTTCCTGCTGCGGCTCTCTCTCTCGGTCTCCTTGGGTCACACACAGATGGCGGGATGTGACCTCTGAACCCCCTAACTGGGAACAAACAGCCTCAAAAACACGTGAGGGTCTGAACCCAGACCAGCAGGACCAGTGCCAACACATTTACAGACCAAAAGGCCTAACGAGGCAGCTTATTGACTCTGCAGTAACGAGAGTGCGTTAAGGTAGAAGCTTCCCGCTTCTCCGTTCAAAGAAAGTTCACGTCTAAAAACTGCTCTGAAATAACAATGGAGGAAAGATGGTATGAGATTTGGCTTTAATGGCCGTCATCTTCAAAATGGCGGTTTCCCTCAGACGACTTTAACCGTCACCATCTCGCCTCCATGAGGGGATTTCCCCCCTCACGTGTTTTGACCCTCGGTGACCAAAGACGCAGCACACCTGGATCATGGAGCTCCTGAGTGCAGCTGATCAACAATCAGCAGGTGAGGTCAACACACCACTCTGATCAATAATCAATACTGAGATCAATACACCAAAGAAGTCTGTTAGAGGGAACCTTCAGTCCCTCAGTCTGACCGTCTTTGAGCTGGAATGGAGATGGTGGAGGTGCAGGTGTAGTTGTGTTGTTGTTGTGTAGGTGTAGTTGTGTCGTAGTTGTGTTGTAGTTGTTGTTGTGTAAGTGTAGTTGTTGTTGTGTAGGTGTTGTAGTAGTTGTGTAAGTGTAGTTGTTGTGTAGTTGAAGGTGTAGTTTTAGTTGTAGTTGTAGTTTCGTTGTAGTTGTAGGTGTTGTAGTGTAAATGTAAGTGTAGATGCAAGTGTAGTTGTGTTGTTGTGTAAGTGTAGTTGTGTAAGTGTAGTTGAAGGTGAAGTTTTAGTTGTAGTTGTAGGTGTTGTTGTAGTGTAAATGTGGGTGTAGTTGTGTAGATGTAGTTTTAGTTGTAGTTGTAGGTGTAGCTTTGAATTTGTCGTTGTAACCTTTGACCTTTTCCTGTCCTTTGTCTACTCTTGAACTCAGTGAATCAAAAATCCACAGAGATATTTTAGTCAGCAGAGTGAAGCCGTCATGTTATGAGATTAAAATCATAATATCAGGATGATAATCTGTTATTCAATGGGCTCACTATGTTGTTAAAAAAAGGGTTAATGTAACAAAAAAACATGACAGTTATTTGTTATAAATTTGATTATTATGATAAAAAAGTCATTATGAGAATAACGTTTTTATGAGAATACAGTTATACAAGAGAGTTTGAACGAGAATGAGGCCATAATTAAAATATCATTTTCATGAAAATGAGGTTTTAATAAGAAAAATAGATGACGAGAATAAAGTGGAATTTAGAATAATGCTTCAATAAGAATGAAGTCATAATGAGGGAGTTTTGTGTAAATTAAAAACATAAGAATAGAGTGTGAATGAGAATAGTTATCATGAAAATAACGCTTCAACGAGAATATCGTTTTTTAAGAGATTTTAATCAGAATGAAGTCATAATTAAAATAACATTTTCATGAAAAAAAAGATTAGAATAAAGTTAAATTGAGAAGAATGCCTTAATGAGGAGTAAGCCATAATTAAAGAGATTTGATGAGAATAAAGACACAATGAGAGTTATGTTTTGATGAGAATAAAGTTAATATTTTATGAGAATAATGTTTTAATAAGATAATGAGAATAAAGTCATAATGAGAATTATGTTTTGATGAGAATAAAGTTAATGTTTTATGAGAATAATGTTTTAATGAGATAATGAGAATAGAGTGTTAAGGAGAGTAAAGTTATAATGAGAATAATGCTTTAATAAGAATAGTGTTATATGAGTTTCACTCAAGATGGAAGTCATAATTACAAAAACATTTCAATGACAATTAGGTTATTATGAGAGAAATAGATGATGAGAATAAAGCCATATTGAGAATTATGCTTTAATGAGAATAAAATCATAATTAGAGAATTTTGATGAGATTAAAGGTATGATAAGAATAGAGTGTTGATGAGAATAAAGTTATCATGAGAATAACACTTCAATGAGAATATAGTTATATAAGAGAGTTTTAACAAGAATGAAGTCATAATTATAGTAACAGTTTCATGAAAAAAAGATGATAAGAATAAAGTTATATTGAGAAGAATGCTTTAATGAGGAGTAAGTCATAATTAGAGAGATTTGATGAGAATAAAGTTATAATGAGAGTTATGTTTTGATGAGAATAAAGTTAGTGTCTTATGAGAATAATGTTTTAATAAGAAAATGAGGATAAAGTCATATTGAGAATAGAGTGTTAAGGAGAAAATTTAAAATGAGAATAATGCGTTAATGAGAAGAAAGTTATATGTTTTAACAAGAATTAAATCATAATGAGAATATTTTCATGAAAATGGGGGTTTAATAAGAAAACAGAGATGATGAGAATAACATGGAATTGGGAATAATGCTATAATGAGAATGAAGTCATAATTAGGGAGCTTTGAGGAGATTAAAGGCATGATAAGAATAGAGTGTTAATGAGAATAAAGTTGTTAGAATAACGCTTCAATGAGAATAAAGTTTTATAAGAGAGTTTTAAAAGGATGGAGTCATCATTAGAAAAACATTTTTATGAGAATAAAAGATGATAGGAATAAAGTTATATTGAGAAGAATGCTTTAATGAGGTGTTAGTCATAATTAGAGAGTTTTGATGAAAATAAAATCATGATGAGAATTATGTTTTGATGAGAATAAAGTTAATGTTTTATGAGAATCATGTTGTAATAAGAAAATGAGAATAGAGTGTTAATGAGAGTAAAGTTATAATGAGAATAATGCTTCAATGAAAATAGAGTTATATGAGTTTTAACAAGACTGAAGTCATAATTAGAAAAACATTTTTATGAAAACTTGGTTTTAATGAAAAAAATAGATGATGAGAATATAGTTATATTGAGAATAATGCTTTAATGAAAATGAAGTCATAATTAGAGAGTTTTGATGAGATTAAAGTCATAAAGAGAATAATGTTATGATAAGAATAAAGTCATTATGAGAATAAATTTTTAAGAAAGAATTAAAGTAATGATGAGAATATTATCATGGCTGTTGCCTCTCTGTTATCATGGCTGTTTCCCCTGTAATCCACCTTAAAGCAGTTTCTTCAGACACAGAGGAGACCTCACTTCAGGTCTTCCTTCTCTTTTTGTCTTTTTGTCCTCATCTCTATCATCTCTAAAACACACTGGTGCTGTGAAGCAAAGAGAGGAAGTTTTGTTTGAATATCGTATTACTGTCTGCTCCATGCTCCTTATTTCAGGGTTTGTGTGTGTGTGTGTGTGTGTGTGTGTTATCTCTGCAGCATCAGTTCAGACGCCGTCAGCAGCACGTAGGCACTCGGACAGATCAGTCCTCAGGAAACCAACATTTATCCTCCGTTTACATAAACCCACCATGTGTTTGTGTTTGCAGCCAGTCTGACATTTATATAACTCTAAAATGATTATGTAAAATAATCAGAATATTTAATTAGATTTAACTTTCATGTCCAGGAGGAACTCTCATCATCTGATGTTCAGGTACTTTATAACTGTATTAAAGGGGACCTGCCACCAAAATTTCATACCCATTTTTATCAATTTTTCATAATCCTTGATGTCCTCTAATCATGTTTGCAACATAATTTTAGCTGAAAAGTTATTTGATGGTTTGTTTTAGTATGCCTAAAAAACCTTACAGGAAAACCAACTGGTTTTGGCTCATTAACATTTATGGTAATGAGCTTTGCTCTGATTGGATCGCTGCTGTGAAGCCTGCTGTGCTCTGATTAGCTCAGCAGTGGAGGTTCGGATTTCGGTTTATCCACTGTTATTATGCTAATGCTAATAGCATATGCTAATGTGTGCTAAAGTAAGGTGCCCAGATGTCTGTAATGATATCCGGGGATATTCGGTGCGGCGGCGGCGGTGGTGCTGGGGCTGCAGGGGCTGTGTGATCACAGATAAATTCTCCGTACTATTTAGTAGCAGCGCATGCCCCTTGTAATAACCCCCGTAAGAACTGTTGTTCAGGACTGCTAACTAAATTCGGCTACTGTAATAACCGTTGTTCGAGCCCACATGCAACATTTTTGCTCTCATTAATGAAACGCTTAAATCGGGGACATTTTCGGGGACAGCTTTTGCCGGGGACAGATCATCCAATACGGGGACTGTCCCCGGAAATCGGGGACGTCTGGTCACCTTATGCTAAAGGCTAAAAACGGCAGGTATTAAACCATATATTTTAGACCCCGAGTCCGAAGAGGAGGTGGAAGTTGAGGAAGAAGCCGGAGATCTCCAGCGGTGTTTTCTCATTCATTCTGCCCGGCTTTAAGTTCATTTTCCCGGCAGTGAACCGAAGGAAACACCGATCGTTTGGAAGAGACCCATAGCGGATACAGCGGTAGCTGGGTCTCGCTCCGGCTGTGACTGAGTACGAGAACGAGAGAGTGGGCGCGGCTCACCGAGGACGCGCTCGTGAATAATAATGAGCAAGGTCGGCGCAACGTAACACCGATGGGCTTTTTCAATTGGCCTGGTTTACTCGTTCCTTGATTTTAAACCTTTACAGAATGCAAACGACGTAACGGTTTGTTTTCACATGTACAACATAAGACGAACATAATATGGACCTTATATGACACAAAAACCCCCAAAAATTACATTTTTATGGCAGGTCCCCTTTAATGTCAGACCTCATTACCGTCCTCACAGGAACATCATAAGGAGTGAGAGTGAAGATGACGGCTGAGAGCTTTCTGAGGAGGATCACTGAGATCTGAGTGACTTCAGCAAACACACTGAAAAGTTTCAGCTCTACAGTGTTTTTGAATCGACTCTAGTTTTTATTTCAAATCCAAAATGTGTTTATTTTGATTTTATCTCAGTCATGAACTCAGGTGGGGACATCAGGACTTCAACTGTCACGTAGTTGCCACACACACACACACACACACACACACACACACACACACACACACACACACACACACACACACACAGTGTGTGAGTGGTTGAGGAGTTGTGTCTCAGATTTCCGTTCTGATTAGAGGGCTGTTAGAGTCTGTTTTAGTCTGATTTAGGCTGGTTCAGGCTGTCAGAGAATGTCTGGATGAATGTTGGTTAGCTGTGGGTCAAATGTTAAATAAATGTTAAATGAATGTTGGATAAATGTTGGATGAATGTTTGATAGATGTTGGATAAATTTTGGTCAAATGTTGGATGACTATTGGATGAATGTCAGACTAGTGTTGGTCAAATGTTGGATAAATATTGATGAATATTGGATAAATTTTGGTTAGATGTTGGATAAATGTTGGTTAGATGTTGGATAAATGTTGGATGAATGTTGGTCAAATATTAAATAAATGTTGGATAAATATTGATGAATGTTAGATAAATTTTGGTTAAGTTCTGGATGAATGCTGGATAAATGTTGGATAAATGTTTGATGAATGTTGGATAAATGTTGGTGTCAGAATAATGTGTATTAATGTATATAGAAGTTATCATCTTTACTCAAATTCTTATTTAAGAGTTTGCTACAACTATGAACTGTTTTAACCTCTTGTTACACATCACATATGAGTGTTTCCTAACTTCTCTGACCTTGTTTCTTCTATCAGCAGGTATGTGTGTGTTGTAACCTCCACTGTAAATCGTGGAAAGTAATAAGGAGGATCCGCTTCTATCAGAGGGAGCTCGTTTAATGTCAACAATGTCGCCTTGACCCTCACATATTTTCTGTTGTTCATTATTATGTTTTATGAGAGTGCTTCCGCTGCTGCAGATAGTTTCCCCCATCCTTTAGTGTATGCAGTGTTGTGTAACCAGGGACAACCCTAAATAAAAGAGACTGGACGGAAATACCTTCAGAATGGTTTTGAGATTGTAACTGAAACTATCTCTGCCCATTCTCCTCGCGAGTAAGAAATCTAAAACCATTGTCTTTCTCTTCTTTGTGTGTTTTCAGTCATTTGTTGCAGGTTTTAGACCCAACATTTTCTTGGTCCTTCGAGCCGTATTCCAATAGACCTGACGATTCCAGCAGGCGAGGTGGACGACAGATAAGACCGTGGCCACGGCAGACTCTCTAGGTTGAGTCTTAAAGACCTCTTTGAGGAACTGGACTCGACCCGCCTGCTGGGATCCGACGGTTGATGGAAATCCGAAGAAAAGGGGAAAGACAAGTGGTGAGTTGGTCTTTTATAAAAAGAAACGTGGAATGATTGAGATTCGCTCCGTGTAGAGACTCTATAAAAGACCAAAAAGGACGCACAGGTCCTGTAAAACCATGGACAAAGGACGCGCGGGTCCTACAAAGCCGTGGACAAAGGACACGCGGGTCCTATAAAGCCGTGGACAAAGGATGCGCGGGTCCTACAAAGCCATGGACAAAGGCCTAATTGGGAAAGTTTCAATCAAAGGACGCGCGGGTCCTGTAAAGATGTGGATAAATGACGCGCAGGTCCTATAAAGCCGTGGACAAAGGCCTAATTGGAAAAGTTTAAATTCTGTAAAGCAAAACACATGTTAAAAGTGTGATTGTGAAAGTGTGAGAGTGATTGGAATAGAGATATATCACTAGATATATCCTATTCATACCTAAACAGTGGGATTGTAAGTAGTGACCTTATTGTGGAAGCAAAGGCAAGAATTCTCCACTCGCAAGAGTAGAAGCGAGAATTACCACATAAGGAATTTTTATCACTACTCCATTGAAAGAACCCAGCTTAATAGGACACCCTAGGTGTCCCCTAAGCTGGACTAAAACACATAAAAAATTGGACGGAAGCCAGTAAGAACTAAAATGTCAAGATTGGAGAATCTTTGAGAAAAAGCCCGAAAAGTTACAATTTCTCAAATTATGGGTAATCAAATTTGGGTTTGACGGCAGCCTAAGAACAAGCCAATTAAATAAACTACATGTCTCCATAAACAAAAAAGCTATTAGTAAAGACAACTTTAATAATAATAATTATAATAATAATAATACCGATAATAATGCTAAAATAAAGGTAGAAAAGGCAGTTAAAAAGGCCGAAAGGTTTAATGCATACTGCAAATTTTTAGCAAGTTAAATTCTCTGTACAGTCGCTGTTCTCTGCACAAATGATGAAATGATTCATCAAAGGCCAGTTACGACCTTGACTCCTCCAGAGACACAGCAGCCAAAGAATCCCTCCCTATGCAGAAGCATGTAGCTATCAAAAGACAAAACTGTGACTAAACTGTTACAGTCTATGAAGTGTAAGTTGTACATGTAGACGTGTCGCTGGAGGTTTCCTGACCTCAGCTGGCATCCCTGTTAAACATTTGAACCAACTGATTGATATTATACCTTATTGGAACTTAAAGAAGTAACCATAGTAAAGTGCAGAGAACACCAAAGCTAACTTGGAATTAAAGCCCTCCCTATAATGCTATTTAACGTAAGATTAACTCCAATTGTGACAATGAATTTCATACTACATGAGATAAATAGGACAACTATGGGACAATAGGAGAGATGATAAACCATTTGATGACTATGACAGGGAGAACGAGAAAGAAGCAGGTTCAGAGGCAGGAATTTCAATAGAGAAAACGATAGAAGAAGTAGAAATTTTGACAAAGGTTATGAATCGCAAGAGCAGAGAGGTGAAGAACAGTACCCTGACCGAGGTCATGAACCACAACATCAGAGAATTGCAGAGCTTTTGGTCACTAGGTGAAGAGCTGTAGAAAAAAGTATCAAGCATGACTAGAAGAGGGAGAGACAGCAAGTGTTATTCGACAGAAATGAAGAGAAAGTGTGAACAGAGAAGAAACAGAGGAGGAAGAAGTGCTAAACTTGGAGGAGATAAAGATATATATATATTTTTATATAGATAGATAGATAGATAGATAGATAGATAGATAGATAGATAGATAGATAGATATACTTTATTGATCCCAAACTGGGAAATTCTCTTGTTACAGCAGCAAAAAGAAAATACAAAATAAAATTAGATATAAGAAGAAGTAAGTACAATGCAGACTAAAAATAATAAAAAATACCAAGTATATACAATAAATACAGGCTAAATATACTAAACATCCTAAGAGATAAAAGTGAGATATGAAGAATGTGGGCTATTGAAATGAGTAATAAATATGAAATGAATAATAAATATGAAATGCGAAATATTACAGATGGGATGATAGATATACAGACAATTTAAGGTGCTCGGTAATGTGATGTGGTAGGAGTTTTTAAAAATGGACTATACAGCAGACAGGTGTGAGTCCCTGTCTGACATATCTGAGTTATTGAACAGTGCAATAACTTGTGGCAGGAAAGATTTCCTGTATCTGTCCCTTCGACAGCGGAGCTGCAACAGTCTGTTGGAGAAGGAATACATTATGCAGACACAAAACCGCAGATATAGTTAATGATTCATGGTTTACCTGTAACCTTTTTGTGTGACTCCGGTGCAAAGAAAACAGTTCTTAGACATAAACTACCACAGATTAAGTTTTCCAAACAAAAGATTTTTGTCAGATCAGCAAACAGAGCTTTAGAGGCAGCAATAGCGAGTCATGGGCCTTTCCATGTCTCGACAGGAGGGATGAGTGTAGTAGTTAATCAACACTTTACCCCCTATTGATTCATAAATTATTCAAAAAAAATTTTGTTTGATTTGTTCAGTTTGTGCTAGACATAATAATCAAGGCAATATAAAACCAAAAAGAGGCCAAATTTCCACCAACCAATGCATCATTTGAAGCCATACACATGACATGGACTTCATAGAATTAAATCAGTGTGAGAGAAAGAAATACTGTTCAGTGTTAATAGATCCTTTCACTAAATGGATAGAATTATTTCCTGTCACCCACCCAGATGCATTAACAGTAGCGAAAATCTAGTGTAGAGAAATAATTCCTCGATTCGGCATTCTTAAACGAATCTACAGTGACAATGGAACTCATTTTGTAAATTAAATAAATAAATAAATAAATAAATAATAACTAGAAAATGCAATTTCTGAAGAAATTGCGAGTGGGATTGCTCCAGCTGAAATTGCCATCGCTAAGCTGCTATTGTGAATGGCTGAAGCTCAAAAATATGTGAAAGATATGAGATTTGAAGATTTAGAAAATGAGTTGGAATTAGTTTGAAAAAATTGAATAAAATGATCATAATCTGGAAGTAGAGAATAGTTGAAGGCTTTTGAAGTTGTGTAAAGAAAATGTGAGAAAAGGGCCAATTTGAAAATTCCAAAATGCATTTCTAATGGGAGAAATTGGTCGGAAAACCTGGAATATCTCGGATAGTATGAATGTTAGGAAAATTTTGAATAGAAGCCGGAATCTCCTCAATGAGATGAATATTTTGAAGTTTGAATGGTTTGAATACGTTGAAGTATGTGGAAGGAGTAGCGGTCCAAAAAACGGTGGAAGAATAATAATAATAAAGATATGAATAACATATAGTGGGAATGCTTCGCAATCTCACTCAATAAAAATAAAAAAAATAAAAAGGTCCTGCTAACGACACCCACAGCAGTAAAAATAGCACAAAGAAGTAGTTGGATACATCTTTCCCATTGCAAAAAAAAAAAAAAACCTATATGGGTTTTAGTTAGGAAAGTCTGACTTCAAAGGGGGGCGTCCTTATAGTGGGCATTCGTCTCAGTGTCAGTGAAGATTAGATGGTCTTGAATTCCTTAGGAGCTTAGGATAATGGGGAAGTTAAGTATCTTACTTCTGCTAAACCTGATACTGTTAATTTACCTACTGAAAACATTATTTACAACTTCAGATGAACTTAAGGAAGGAAAGAGAAGTGACAGCAACAGACCAGATGTGGAGATAGAGTGGCTAATGAAAGTGACAGACTACAAAAACTCATTTGAAGTGAACATGTGGTACAGATATGCAAAATATCTAGCAAAGACGAAGAATCAGTCAAACTTCTATGTCTGTACTAGGATGTCCCTAGCCATAACAAACCTGTACGTGGTTCCGTAGCTGTACCTGAATGACAGCAGACTGATAATAGGGCCTTAGTGACCTTGATCCTAACTGTTGTAACTTTCCAGACCAATGTGACAAATTTAACCTCTGCAGTTAGTCTTATTCCTTTGTTGAGCCACTTCAGAGTAAAAAGAAACTAGCAAACAGAATCAGATCCGACTTATATTGATAGTTCCTCGTGAGGTACCAGATGAGTATAAACTGGTAAATCAAGTTGCTGCAGGCTTTGAGTCTCTCGTCGGTCCTTGGTGTACAATGAACAAAAATATAGATCGAATCAACTACATCCATTTCAATGTTCAAAAGCTAGGTAATTGGACTGAGGCTGGTTTTCAAGCCGTTCACTTGCAGTTATCTGCAACATCCCTGATGGCTTTCCAAAACCGTACAGCCCTTGACATGCTGCTCGCAGAAAAAGGAGGTGTATGTGCCATGTTTGGAAAAACGTGTTGCACGTTCATTCCTAATAACACTGCTGCCGATGGCAGCCTCACTCGAGCCATAGAGGGCCTAAAAACGCTTAACGGCAAAATGAAAGACCACTCAGGAATAGATAACTCCTTTTTGGAAGATTGGATGAATGTCTTCGGAAAATACAGAAATCTTGTTGCTTCAGTTCTAATCTCTGTTGCTGTTTTTGCAGCTATTTTTGACCTTGTGTGGATGTTGTTGTATTCCCTGTATTCGTTCTCTTCTTAACCGCCTTATCACAACAGTGTTGTCCCCTGTGGAGCAGCAGATGCAGGAGTTGTACCCGCTGCTCCAACAGCAGGACGAGGAGGACAGACTTGATGACACTTAATGGCCTGACCTGTGCCCCAATCCTGATGATGAGTATGATTCTGACTAAAGCAACATCTTGTACCTCCATGTGGAAATTCTTTGTAGTCACAAAACATGAACTCGCAGCTGAAAATCTAGAGAAGTGGCTGAACTAGAGGGATTATGAGAATTTGAGCAAAGTAATGATAAACAGGAGGGAAATGTCAGAATAATGTGTATAAATGTATATAGAAGTTATCATCTTACTCCAATTCTCATTTAAGAGTTTGCTACAACTATGAACTGTTTTAACATCTTGTTACACATCACATATGAGTGTTTCCTAACTTCTCTGACCTTGTTTCTTCTATCAGCAGGTATGTGTGCGTTGTAACCTCCACTGTGAATCGTGGGAAGTAATAAGGAGGATCCGCTTCTATCAGAAGGAGCTCGTTTAATGTCAACAATGTCGCCTTGACCCTCGCATATTTTCTGTTGTTCATTATGTTTTATGAGAGTGCTTACGCTGCTGCAGATAGTTTCCCCCATCCTTTAGTGTATGCAGCGTTGTGTAACCAGGGACAACCCTAAATAAAAAGAGACTGGACAGAGATACCTTCAGAATGGTTTTGAGATTGTAACTGAAACTATCTCTGCCCATTCTCCTCTCGAGTAAGAAATCTAAAACCATTGTCTTTCTCTTCTTTGTGTGTTTTCAGTCATTTGTTGCAGGTTTTAGACCAAACAGTTGGTCAAATGTTGGATGAATGTTGGATAAATGTTGGTCAAATGTTGGATAAATATTGATGAATGTTGGATAAATGTTGGTTAAGTTTTGGATGAATGTTGGATAAATGTTTAATGAATGTTGGTCAAATGTTGGATGAATGTTGGATGAATTTTAGATGAATGTTGGATGAATGTTTGATAAAGGTTGGTCTAATGTTGGATGAATGTTTGTCAAATGTTGGTTAGATGTTGGATGAATGTTGGTTAGATGTTGGATGAATGTTGGATGACTGTCGGATAAATGTTGGATGAATGTAGGTTAGATGTCGGATAAATGATGGTTAAATGTTGGAATAATGTTGGATGAATGTTGGATGTATTTTCAGTGACTCTAGTCTGAAAAAACACTTCATGATACAAACTCACTGACAGGAAGTACACACGCTGACGTCACGTTGGCAGTCTTACCGTGTTGGCGGCACCCCCGAGCGTCATGGCTGACCTCCACAGCTGCTCTCTCACCTTGGTCATGCGATGGTAGAGCTGCAGGTTGAGACTGAGCAGGAGGCTTCGAACCCGGGTCCACAGGCTGGGTTCGTCATCGTCATCTTCATCCTCATACTCCTGCACCCTCATCTCCCACTCTCGACCTGAGACACAGAGGGACAGGAAGTACACACGCTGAAATAAATGTCTGAACAAGTTTGAGGATTTTCAAAATAAAAGACCTGCAGCAGCTTTTACTGCATTGAAGGAAAATAAAACATGAAAATACTTCAGTTATGTCTGAGAGAGGATATGAACAAAATAAAAAATAAATTCAGGAAAACTGAACCCTGTTCCTCCAGACTCTCTGTGTGAACAGAAGGACTGACGGCTCCCCCTGCTGGTCAGCTCTAACAGTTACAACCTCTGTGTACTAAGACTTCTTGATTCTGACCGTTTTTAACCCTTTAAAACTGAGACAGCTGTTCAAGTTTGAGTTCAGATCTTTTTGTTCTTGACTCTGCTTTATTCATTACACTTATTTATTGATTCATTTTCTTATTGACTTATTTATTTATTACCTGACACTCTAAAGCAGCTAACTGAAGCACAAGAAATCGATCAATCAATCTTTATTTATATAACTGCCATTTTACTAAGATTCTTTACTAAGATCGGGTCGGGACCAGAATGAAGTTGACGTGTTACAAAGACCCGACCTTCAGATGGGACAGTTCTGACCCACTTCAAAGTACTACAGTAATTACAATACTGCAGAATTTACAGTACTACAGTACTTACGGTACTTCAGTATTTACAGCAGTGCAGTCTTTACTGTACTTTAGTATTTACTGTACTGCAGTATTTATGGTACTTCAGTATATACTTTACTACAGTTCTTTCCAGTACTACCGTATTTCCAGTACTACTGTATTTCCAGTACTTCAGTATTTATTGTTCTTCAGTATTTACAGTACTGCAGTATTTACTGTGCAGTACTACAGTATGTACAGTACTTCAGTATTAACTGTACTGCAATATTTCCAGTACTAGAGTATTTATGGAACTGCAGTATTTACAGTACTGCAGTATTTACTGTGCAGTACTACAGTATGTGCAGTACTGCAGTATTGACTGTACTGCAGTATTTACAGTAGTAAATATGGAACTGCAGTATTTACAGTACTGCAGTATTTACAGTACTACAGTATTTATGGAACTGCAGTTTTTACAGTACTGCAGTATTTCCAGTACCACAGTATTTATGGTAAAGAGGAGGCAGAAACCTTGACTGTCAGAAACGTCCTTTTTCCTCTAGACTCAGTTACCCAGCATGCATCTGTACTTACGCAGTGTGGCGGGGAGGGGCAGGTAGTAGGCGGTGGCATCCTCCAGTCGGCTCAGCATGTCATCCAGTCCTGAGGTGGCGGCCCGGCCCACCTGACTGTCCTGCAGCACCCGGACCGCTGTCCACGCCGCGTCTGACAGACGCTCCAGCTGATCCAGCGCCACGTCCAGCCCGTCCACCATCCACACCTGCACGTCATCCAGCGTCAGGAAGAAGGCATCCTTCAAGTGTCCCATCACCTGAGGGGGCGGAGACAATGCTTAAACAGAATAGACTTTTACTAACATCAGATTAGAGCCCCTACTGTAGACCAATCAGGGACAAAACAAACCTCGTCTGTTGATTGGTTCAGGATCGGGAAGTTTCTCTCCAGACGGTCCAGACCAACCAGAGCAAAGTTGTTCGCAACTTCAACTGCAGAGGAACACAAAGACACAATCAGCCAATCAGCATCCAGTATTGATATTAGCATGTTAGCGTTATTTCAAGCACATACTCTGTGGCTCCAGGGTCTGTAGGAGGGGCGTGGCCTGTGTCATGGCCACGTTCGAGATGCTGCGGACGCTGACCTCAGCCACACCTCCCATCAGACGCAGCAGAGGGTATCGACCTTTGACCTCTGAATATGCTGATGTCATTGTCTGTAGAGCCGAGCGGACCAGAGGAAGGCGGGAAACTCTCAGCATGGCGCTGTTCTGAAACAACAAAAAAAGACTGTAAAAACCCACACTGCTGGTTCTGATTTCCCTGATTGGACCTGTTCTTTAAAACAAATGTTACTGGTTCCAATTCTTTTTTCTGGTTTGTATCCTGATGTAACTGGTACTGAAGGGAGTTGTAGTTTTTTATCTATTTAACATCCAGATATTGTGGTTTTTACTGAGATGGTGATGGTCGTGGTAGTTTTTTACAGTCTGATGTTTTTATTTCTATTTTAGATGTTGTGTCCTGGGTTCAGATGTTGTATTTCTATAGCAGATGTTTATATTTCTATGTCAGATGTTGTATCCCTGGTTCAGATGTTGTGTCTCTATATTGTATTTCTATGTTAGATGTTGTATCTCTGTGTTACATGGTGTCTCCCAGGTTCAGATGTTTATATTTCTATGTTAAATGTTGTCTCCTGGGTACAGATGTTGTATCTCTATGTCAGATGTTGTGTCTTTGGTTCAGATATTTTTATCTCTATGTTAGATGTTGTATCTCTATGTCAGATGTTGTCTCCCTGGTTTAGACGTTGTATCACTATGTAAGATGTTGTATTTCTATGTTAGATGTTGTATCTCAATGTTAGATGTTGTCTCCCTGGTTCAGATGTTTATATTTCTATGTTAGATGTTGTCTCCTGGGAACAGATGTTGTATCTGTATGTCAGATGTTGTGTCTTTGGTTCAGATGTTTTTATCTCTGTGTTAGATGTTGTATCTCTATGTCAGATGTTGTCTCCCTGGTTCAGATATTCTATCACTATGTTAGATGTTGTATTTGTATGTTAAATGTTGTATCTGTGTTGTATTTCTATGCTAGATGTTGTCTCCCTGGTTCAGATGTTGTATCGCTACGTTGTATCTCTATGTCAGATGTTGTATCTCTGTGTTAGATATTGTATCTCTATGTTAGATGTCATGTCCCTGGGTCAGATGTTGTATTTCTATGTTAGATGTTGTCTCCCTGGTTCAGATGTTGACTCGGCTCCGTGTATTTGGACCTCCCGGCTCCTCACCTCTTGTTGATCAGTCATGTCTCCTTCTCCGAAGCTGCAGAGAAACAAACAGAGAAGATTTCAGAGTTCGGACTCAACGTGACTCTGTCGCTGCTCTGAACATGAGGCAGTCAGCTGCTGCTCCTCCACAAAGATCACGACTGTTCACTTCAAACCAGCGTGAAAATCCGCTTCTCCACACTAGGAGGAACCCAGACGCCATTTTGTTTTCTGACTGTGAGAGACAGAGCGGCTCAGAGCGAGGACACAGAACCTCATTCAGGAGGTTCCTGATGATTCTCATCATGAGAATGAGAAGAGTTCATGAGTTCAGAGAGATGAGTGTGTTTCTGAGAAAAATCCCACCTGTTTGTAGAAACATCTGTCATCATCAGAACAACAACATCAGAGAACCCCGACCATAATCATCATAACAAAACTGGTTCTGGTTCTGGTTCTGTTCATCATCAACACGTTCTGATAGATAAACGAGCCTTTATGATGTTTGCACAGTAAATCTGCGTTTCTTTGTTCATCTGAAAGTTCGAGTCTTTCTCAGAGGAACGTTTATCTCATGACCTCAATGGTGCATGATGTGTCCCCTTTAGGGACCCCAGCCACATGTTGAACCCCACATTTGACCCTGATGCGTGTCAGGTGGTCCTGTGTTCTGAGGCCATGGTCCTCAAGTGGACGGTCCGGGTTCGATTCCAGCCTCTGTTGCAGCTCTAATCTCTGTTTTATGATGGCCACAGGCTGGAATTGGACCTGGACCGGACCAGCTGAGACCGAGGTCCAACCAAGTGAAACCCAAAGAGCTTTAAAAAGAGTTAAAAATAAATAAAAACATGAACTTTTAAACTTAAAATCAGCTCATCAACAACAAACACTGAAAGAACTCGACGGATCAGAACCAAGAAATTCTTCCAAACACGTAAAAAAACGTTGAGGAACCAAATTTAAAAAAAAAAGAGAGACAAAACATGAAAAAAAACAAAAAAATTGATTTTACTGAGTATCAGAGAAGCAGCATGACTTCATATGAGAGGATCAAATCATGACGGGTCTGAAACTAAAATAAAATAAAATGAAATAAATTGAAATAAACATTTTTAACACAGACACACGCTGACTCAGCTCACTGTAAAAAAGACTAACGTTTCACTCAGACTGAATGAAAGTGTGAATTTAAAATCAGTAAAAACGTCCCAGACTGAACGACACGGAGAAATCAGTGAGTGAACTTTTACAAATTTAAACCGTTTTTTATTTTACCCCTTAAAGTTCATTAAAAAAAACGACCGAACAACACAGTTAAAAAAAAGGGTCGGACTGAAACACAGAGTTCACTTTTTTTTCATTTTTACCTTTTCATTAAAAAAAAAAACTGAAACAGATCCTAAAAAAATCTCTAAAAAGCTTTTTAACTTTTCAGACTCTTTGTTTGTTAATTTATTTATTTTTAGATGTTTTTTCTGCCGAAGTTTGAGACACAATCACCATCATCTTTATTTTCTCGACACCTGAGGGAGCGCAGCAGAGCATCAAACCTCTGAGAACAACCAGGAATAAAAACAATAAAAGCATGTTTAAGTGTTTGACTGAACTCTTTTAAGGAGAGAGTGAGACCGCGCCCAAAAGCCTGATGGGAAAATATCTCAGAACGGTGATGATGCCGCTCCAGAAACCATCCAGACCCGAATAAAGAAAATCTAAAACCAGAAGAACCAAAGTTCTCTATCAGCAGGTCCAGGTTTAACGGACTTTAAAGAACACACAAGTTCTGGACCAACAGAGACCCGATCAGAACCTTTAACCAGGACATGATCCGAGTTTTTCTTTCAGATTAAACCCAGAACTAAAATAACCACGGGTCCGGTTCTGATCCAGGATCTCTGGATCCTAAATGAAGGAGTTCCAGGTCTTACCCCATTAGAGAGTCTGAAGATCCGATGGAGGAGCTGAACTGAGAGAGGGGGATGAAAATGATGAAGATGATGATGATGAAGACTCTGAGTGTATGACCTGATGCTGAGGAATCTGGACACTTTTGGAGGTTTGGATCTGACGCCTGATTGGTTGGATGTGACTGATGATGTCACTGATGATGTTTCATTCTGAATCAGTTGTCTGGTTGTTAAAGCTCCGAGGGCGACCAATCGATTAACGGTCGATCAATGAAGTCATTTACACACACACACACACACACACACACACACACACACACACACACACACACACACACACACACACACACACACACACACACACACACACACACTGTAAAACCTTCATCCTGGAGGATCTAACCCTCGTTAAAGGAAGGAGGGGAACGTTTGACTTCCTGCTGTCACTGAAAGGTCAGAATCTGGAATTTTCTGCAACACAAAGACTCTCAGACACACACACACACACACACACACACACACACACACACACACACACACACACTGTAAAACCTTCATCCTGGAGGATCTAACCCTCGTTAAAGGAAGGAGGGGAACGTTTGACTTCCTGCTGTCACTGAAAGGTCAGAATCTGGAATTTTCTGCAACACAAAGACTCTCAGACACACACACACACATGCACACACACACACACACACACACACACACACACACACACACACACACACACACACACACACACACTGTAAAACCTTCATCCTGGAGGATCGAACCCTCGTTAAAGGAAGGAGGGGAACGGTTGACTTCCTGCTGTTACTGACAGGTCAGAATCTGGAATTTTCTGCAACACAAAGACTCTCAGACACACACACACACACACACACACACACACACACACACACACACACACACACACACACACACACACACACACACACACACTCAGACTTAAAGCTCTTCAGCACTGTATCTGTTTGAATTCTGGACCTCCTGAACAGAACTCAGATCCAAACAGGTGGTCTGGCCTCAGAGACAAACGTGGCTCTTTAAGTTGGCGTTCCTCAGGGGTATGTCCTCAGTCCTTTTTCCCTCGTTATGCCAGTATAGAGGCAGAGGGCAGCCTGGTTTGTGTATGTACAGGTCTGAGCATTCCTCGCTGCACTGGACAGCATATACCACATTACTCTGTTTATGTCTCGGAGTTTTGTCCTTGGGATGGACTAGCCCAGGGGTGGGCAAACTTTTTGACTCGCGGGCCACAATGGGTTCTAAAATTTGACAGAGGGGCCGGGCCAGGAGCATTTGGATGGAGTGTTTGGGCCGGACATACTAAAGCATTACATGTAGTGTGTGCAAACCTCATAGCACAGTAAGAACACTACAACCCAATTTATTAACTGTCTTTCAAATGTGAAAAATAGCCCTTATCAGTTAATAAGTTTGTCTCAAGGAATATGCAAGATATGGCGTTTACATACTATTTTGCACGATACTGGGAGGAGGAAATGTAAATAGATTAAAATAGCATACGCACTGTGATTTATCAAGATTGCGTCTGTTTTTAATAAGTTTTAATCGAAGGTGCAAAGTTAAAGAAATCAACATTTATTGAAAAATGGAATCACTTTCAACATTCAAAACATATTATTACACAACGAAATACTCAAGCTCAATAATATATACTTGTGTTAAACCCCGCAAAATCATGGATGGATTGTCCTGACCGCACGCTCTACAAACTCGCCACGGACGCCCTCACCTTACAGTACACATGTATCGTTGCCAAGCACACAGGCATAGGCTGTATTAAATATCCTACCTGCAGCTGAAAATTGAAATTGAAATTAAGAGCGATGTGCGGCGTGTTAATTAAGCAACTGTACCGCTGCTGTGCGTAAATGCGCATTGCTCTTAATTAAAAGATGCACTTCCAAACTTCCCATATGCATTTTTTCATAACACAGCAGAAAAACTCACCAATTTCAGTGGGAACAGTGTTGTTGGTCTCCCTTTTTTGCCAGTGCATCAAAGTCTGGAGTAAGTTTTGTTGTGGCAATTCTCAGGACAGATCTGAGGTGTTGGTCAGTTAACTTGGATCTGTGATGGGCTTTGTTGATTTTCATGACGCTAAACGTCTGCTCACACACGTAGGTCGAGCCAAACAACACCAGCATCTTCTGTGCCGTCCTCCGGAGGTTTGGGAACGTGGTCTCGTTAAGTGAAGCGTAAAAGTCATTCAGTTTAAGAGACTTGAACTTCTGCTTTGAGACGGAGTCAGACTGAAGATCGATCAGTTCCAATTGCAGCTCCTGCGGTGCTGATTCGGGGTCTTGTGACAGGGGCCAGGACACCAGTTGAAGTGACTTCTCAATTTTTTCAAAATCACAGAACCGACGGCAAAATTCTCTGTGCAGGTCGTCCAGTGATTTGCAGTATTTCTTCACACATCGGGCGGCCTCTTTCTGCACGGCTAGTGTGGGAAAATGTGCGAAAGATTTGTTTGACATTTGCCTGGAGAATAAAACCAGCTTGGATTTGAAGGCTTTCACATTTGTGTACATGTCGTGCACAAACTGATCTTTCCCCTGTAGCTTCACGTTCAGCTCATTCATGTGTGAAAATATGTCCACAGCAAACGCAAAGTCACAAAGCCAGTTTGTGTCGCTCAGCTCGGGGAATTCGTCGGATTTCCCCATTAACTCCAAAAATGAGCGAATCTCCTCTTTGAGCTCCCAGACTCGTTGAAACACTTTCCCAAGACTTAACCAGCGGACGCGAGAGTGGTAAAGTAGGTCCTGGTGATCTGCATCAGTTTCTTCCAGGAACGTAATGATTAGGAGCTGAGCAGTGTCTTTTATGTCGTTACTTTCATCCAGTGCTAGTGAATATAACTTAAAGGACTCCACCTTTTTGTTTAACTCGCTGACTAAATCTTCGTCAATCAATTCCACGCGGCGAGTCACTGTCCTGCGTGCTAAACTGATTTTTTCAAACTTGGCTTTGCTCTCCGGACACAAGAGACCTGCTGTCTCTACCATGCACTCTTTCAAAAACTCGCCTTCGGAGAAAGGCTTGCTAGCCTTTGCTAATTTGAATGCCAGCAAATAACTTGCCTTGTTACTTGACTCTTGAATTGCAGTTTGTCGGTGAAAAAAGTTCTGTTGACTCTGTAAATTAGCTGCCAACCTCTGAGCAGTAGCCGCCCGTTCTTGTGTTGACTGCTTGCTAGCATAGTTTGCATGCTTCGTGGTAAAGTGACGGCTGATATTGTACTCTTTGAAAACCGCAACAGCTTCTTGGCATATCAGACATACAGCCGTTGATCGGACTTCAGTGAAAAAGTATTTTGTTGTCCACTCCTTATTAAACACTCGGCATTCGCTGTCAACTTTCCTTCTCTTTGGTCCGCTCATTTTCACAATAGGGCTCAAATGGCAATGTGAAACGAAGTGAAAATTAAAGTGAAATAAAGAGAAATATGCGCCACTCCAACAACGGTCAATGTGTTTTGAGTGCGCCATCTATTGGGGAAACGTAGGCATTGCAGCGAAAGGGGAAAATGAAGGAGGTTTTTACTGTAATTTGGACAAGTTCGGCGGGCCGGATTAAAAAGCCTAACGGGCCGTATGTGGCCCGGGGGCCGTAGTTTGCCCATGTCTGGACTAGCCTCTGCCTTAGTGTGTTACCAGGCTTGAAATGAACAGGAATGTGGTGTTTGCCAAAGATCCTCTTGAGTTTTTCAGACAGGCCTGCAACGTAAGGGATTACAGTGCTCTTGCGTCTCTCCTCCCTTTCCTGTTCAATGTTATTTCTCTTTCTGTTCTTCACAAAGGCCCACTTAGGGTATCCACAGGTTGTCAGGGCATTTTTGATGTGTTTTTGTTCCTTTTCCTTACCTTCTTTCTTCGTGGGAATGTTCTCAGCCCGGTGGTTGAGTGTTCTGATGACACCCAGTTTGTGCCGCAGAGGATGGTGGGAATCAAAAAGTAGATATTGATCCGTGTGTGTTGGTTTCCTGTACACTTCAACGTTGAGACACCCATCTGCCTCCAAGTGTACAGCACAGTCCAAAAAGGCCAACACTTTGTCCTTGACATCTTCACGGGTGAACTTGATGTTGCTGTCCACTGTGTTGATATGGTCAGTGAAGGCCTCTACTTCATGTGTTTTGATCTTTACCCAGGTGTCATCCACATATCTGAACCAGTGGCTAGGAGCGGCTCCCTTGAGAGCTACTTTTTGATTCCCACCATCCTCTGCGGCACAAACTGGGTGTCATCAGAACACTCAACCACCGGGCTGAGAACATTCCCACGAAGAAAGAAGGTAAGGAAAAGGAACAAAAACACATCAAAAATGCCCTGACACCCTGTGGATACCCTAAGTGGGCCTTTGTGAAGACCAGAAAGAGAAATAACATTGAACAGGAAAGGGAGGAGAGACGCAAGAGCACTGTAATCCCTTACGTTGCAGGCCTGTCTGAAAAACTCAAGAGGATCTTTGGCAAACACCACATTCCTGTTCATTTCAAGAGAAACCTTCTCTGAACAGAGGGGGTGGACTCAGACACAATCTCTCTGGCACTTACAATGCAGTTCTCAGCTCTCTCCCCAGGAAGCTCCACAAACATTCACACCTGGAACCACATGACTCAGGTGGCATGAGTCATGTGGTCACATGATAGGAGTCGCTAACGACCCTTTCAGGATAACAACTTGGGGGGGACACACCGAGAGATGGGTTTCTACGACCCATTCTTTTCAACTCCAGCCAGTCGTTAACTGTCCCCCTTCTCCAGTAAGATAAATATCTGCTCCTGACACTAGCACTTTTAGAACTGAAGAAGCTTCTTGGATAAGAGGCGAAACGTCTTCTCAACTCTACACGGTCCAGTTGCCTGTTTTTAAGTCTTCAAGATAACCATGACCTGGATGAATGAGAACCTACATGGACATAAAAACTTGGTTGGACATGAATAAACTGTATATATTATTATTATATTGGGAAATAAGCAAGAAATTCAATGTAGAAATTTAACTACAGATAAAAAGGAACTCGAGGTTGTAACTGAGAATGGATTCCTTGGGGTCATAGTAGATAACAAACTTAGTTAGAAATCACACATAAATCATATTAAAATGTCAAAATCTATCTCCATTCTGGATAAAACCAAAGATTTACTTTCACAAAAAGAGTTAGCAACTCTAGACTATTCCCTGATAACTCTGTACATGACTTATTGTATTGAGATTTGGGGAAACATTTATATAACAAATACAAACCCAATATTTCTTTTACAAAAGCGAGCCGTAAGAGTCGTCTGCAATAAACATTACCATGAATCAACTCATTCCCTTTTTACTTCCTTAATTTTTTTAAAATTCAAAGACCGAGTAGATTAAATCAAAATATAAATCATGTAGATAAAATGATGTACTATTATGAATGTGAAGTGTAAAGCATGTTCATTACTCAATCTTATTTGAAGAGTGAATATATATTCAAGTGTTGATATTTGTATAATAAGAGTGTATAATGGACTCCATGTTTGGTATAAGGGGGAGGTCTTTATAGGCATTACTTCTGCCTACACCCTTTCGGTCAGATTATACCAAAATCATTCATTCATTCATTCATTCATTCATATGAGCTCTGAACTCTGAGCTCTGCAGTCCGAGGACCTAGGGTCTGAATCAGGTCCTCTAAGAAGGATTTAAAGACACAGGACGCTCAGCTTCGGTCTGAAACTGGCAGCTGGTGGCGGTGTGTTTTCTCTGCTCTGGTCGTAGTCCTGCTGAACTCATGAGGGCGGTGGTCTCTCAGCAGACAGACACACACGCCTTGTTTCCTGTGACATCATCACCACGTCTGACTATTTCCTGTAAAAAAGCCCGAGGGTGGGGTCAAAGGGAAGGCCAGAGCGTCCTGTTGATGAAGGCCTCAATGTGTGCATCCTTCTTGGAAACCTCCATGTGACTGAGCTCATCACAGACTCGGCTCATGAGCTGCATCACATGATTGGACGGTTCTTATATCAGCCGCCGCAGTAACGGAGAAGGACAGAAATAGTTCAAACTGTCAGAGCTACACTGAGAGAAATACACATACACGTGTGTTTAAACACACCCTGACTCACACTGACTGCTTACATGTTAATTCACCATAAACACACACACACACACACACACACACACACACACACACACACACACACACACACACACAGGGCTCTATTTTCGTGCGCGCCGGTAAGGCGGCGGAGGGCGGCGAGCCCCACGCAGTTGTATTTTCGTCTGGCGGAGCCCAGCGTAAGGCCAATTTGGTATTTTCGTGGCATGAGCCGCACGGAGGCGAGCCGAGATCCGCCAAGCTGGGCGTGGTGGTGTGGCAGGGGGAGGTGTCGACAGAATCAGCAGGCGCAGTGACATTTTCGTGCTCGCCAACGGCGTGTAAAGTGCGCTGAAAGCTCGCCGATTCAAACCTGGTCAGCTTTCAGCGCAAGGCGGAACGCAGCTGGTCCAGTAGTATTTTGGTAGACCGGCGGCGTATCGACATACGTCACTGATGCCTCACCGGCAGGTTTCCACAGTGTCAGGCAGATTTCAGTGCAATAAATAATCATCAACAACTATTAATCTGAGTCAGCACATATATTTAGATCTATATCGATATATTCTGATCTATATGTGATCTGATGAGCGCGTTTGGCACGAGTTTGGACACACAACCTGACCGAATCAACACAGCTGAAACCGCATCAAATTAAATTAAATATCTAGTAAATAAACACACATGATGAAGTTAACAAGATATGTAATTCGTCCTCCTCCTTTTCTTTCTTCCTCTTCCTCTTATTTCTCGCACAGCTCGACCTGGACACGTCTCCGTGTCCTCTGTCCGTCTTGCTGCTGCTGCAGCTGAACAGATGATTTGTTTCAGTGCTCAGATGCGTTATCTACTTTAAGCCGACATACGGATATTATAATAGTCAGTTTTGTGAGCCAAATTTATTTTATATGCCAACATCTATGAAAGAAAGAGCCAGGCCACGGAGCGCGATGCGTCATTTACGCACAGATGGTTCCGATTTTAATGCCATTTTTGGAGTTTATGTTGTGATCTGTGCGCTCAACCCACCTTTGTCACGTGAGGTTTGAATATGAGCAACTTTATGTGAGTGTCTTTATTTGTGGAAAAGGGTGTTTGTCTTACCAGTGGGTCCAACATTACGCACACTAAATCCATCTGTGCTCATATGAGAGAGTGTGGAGGACACTTGTTGAGGAGCTGCCCTCTGTCGCCATCTTGTGGCATTACTGTCTTAAGACATCTCTTGATCTCTTTGACTACTTCATGAAAATAGTAATACGCCTCGCCTGTGGCGGATTTAAAGGCAAGGAGAGGAGCCTATGTGATTGGTGAAAACAGGTCTCAGCTGTGTTAAACCCACTTCACGCCCTTTCTCCTCCCCGTCTACGACTTATGGTGCTGGGAGGAGCTGAGTTAGGGAGGGGGGATACTTACGCCGGGCTGCGCGGCTCACCAAAATACCAAAATGTGCTTGGGAACGCCTTGTCAGCGCGGCGGATCTGACTGACGCTGCGCTTGCGGCACGTCTCCGGCGAGGCACCAAAATAGAGCCCACAGTGTAGTTTGTTAGGACTCACACACTCTGCTGTGATGAATGTGCTCTACA